CTTTTTTAGGCTAGTGCCTATCTTCAACTACTTTTTTATTTACTCTGCTAAACTGTCATCGTAAATGAAGGCTTTAACGTCCCCTTGTACACTCAATAACATTATTTTCAGAATTTACATCAACATGTGGGCCTTTTTACATAGTGAAACATAATTTAGAAATCGAAAGCGCAACACAAAACATCATGTGAAAAATACTTTGTTACGCCCATGAAATAACTAATCGCATCACATTAGACTGTCCTTTGTTACGGATCGCTTAAAGAGAGTACTTGCGTATGCACACCAAGGCTCTTTTGGCCATCTGTGTCTTTTGCCAATATGCCTTGGCGCCAGAGTGCGTATTGAAATAATTTGCGCATCTTTATTACCCAAGGTTACCTCGAAATAGCATGGGAGACAATCCCAATTATGAGGTACATAAAACCAACTGCTCAAAATAGTCACGATTTTCTTTTGACTTAACTTTGTAATCCTTCTTCTCTAGTAGCAGAAGCTATTACTTTTTTTACTTCTTCCATCTATCTATCCAGAGTTATTAAGATTTTTCTGCCTGAACGCTTACGCGCAACTGAGTCGTAGGTCAACCAATTTCCCGCACTCCACTTATAACAATTTAGAAAAAATCAAGGTGAATTCATCCTCTTCTCCTGAAATTACCCGGGTTGAAAACTAGTAAATACCATCCAGTTGCTTCATCAAGGGTGAAATTGTCCCCAAATAAGCTTTTGTGGTTGAGTGTTTTACTGATTGCCACATTCACAACGATTTGCTAAACTACAGTGAAACCTTTTGTTTTCTGTACGCTTTATTAAAAGACAGTTCTCCGTCTGACAAGAGGTAATCTATCTAATTTAAAACATGGATTCGAACAGCTCATCCATTCCCATCAGTTACGCAGGCGGAACTAAAATAAAAAAACTTAAATGCACTGATTTTGAGGTACCAACCATTTATTTATAATTAAAAAGTATATATGGTAAGAAAATGCACATTATGCAACACTGTGCATTCTCAAATGCTATCAGTCTCCTTCAGGCAATTAGGAAGCATAAATGATTGGCAATTTATTCACTTATTGCAGTGAACAATATCTTCCTCGGAATAGTGTTTTTTAAGACCTAGTTCTGATACACTGAATATTCTTACAAAATGAACTGGAAAATCTTATTTTTTAAAGCACCTTGGACTTAAATGAAGAGTGAAGAAAGTAAAATCTCACCTTCGGACAGCTTTATGCTGTCCTGCCCTCACGGATGTTCACCCCTACTTACAGCCCCGTTTTAAAACGAGAGTGACGCAACAAGAACTCCTGTCGCAATTCTCCTCAAAATCATGCATTTTTTTAGAATCAAAGTTACGGATGCAAGTTTGATTATAATCATGAAGAGAGCCTATTAGACCGTCACACTTTGTATTGTCCAGGCGTGCAGGAAGGGTGAGGGGAGGTTGACATGAGGATGCAGTACCAGGCCGTCCTAGATGAGGAAACGAAAGGAGAAAAATGGCATTAGCGGCATCAGATAGACCGATACCGTGGGAAATGGTAATCGTGACTGTGCAAAACAGGACGCCGCCGTCACATGTCCCTCGCTTGGCCCCTCGTACCGCCTGAACCTCTGAGACGGATAGTTGTATTTGATGGGTTAACACAGAGTTAGTCATGAATTTAGTCAGTGTTGATGGTTGGAATTTGTCTGGGTCCCTATTTTTGTCACCAAACTTCTCTTCAAATGCGATTCTTTGATCGATTTTTCTTAATATTTCGCATGCACAATCAGATATGGACGCTAAACTACTGGACGATGACGCTCATTGTCCTTAAGAAGTATTGCTCAACTGCTAAAAAGAATGGATTTGGAAAGAAGGATTTGAATGAGTCTTCCTAATGTGTGTAAAAAAGATCTAAGCACAAAAATAGACCAAGGTAGCAAATTTAATTGTAATTTGTTTAAAACTATGAATACATCAAGGCTTTACTTAAAGTGCAACAAACAACAATTAAGTGTCCCTATAGACAAATTGAACTCATTTTAGGGATAGTAGATCTGGAGAAAGGTATAGTTTTCCTCAATTAATTTCCAGCCAGGCATAACGTGTCCTTGCGGTTTTCTAGTAGCAATTTTGACTTCGCTAATTTAATGACGGTGAAGTATTTTACAATGATTCCCTTTAAGCGTTAAAAAGTAATGTTAAACTACCACAAAGTGTGATTAAATAATGTCTCCATGCTCCAGTCTAATTTTAACATGGATAAGTTGAGCATTTGGTTGTAAAAAATGGCCACACATTCAGATACGTGGATACGAAACTTGCCCAGCTAGCTTTTTAATGTAGAACGAACTATCAGAGGCAAACGAGTGGTGATATCTCGTTCTACCAATGCTCACCACAAATACTTGGAAAATGGTATGACTCTATTATTATAAAATTATGAAAAAAATAGCTTGGGGACTCTTGAAAATTATCTTACTTATGACAAAGTACGTACGTTTTAAACGCGTCAACAAAAATATCAGACGAAACAGGTGGAATGAGTTATGTGAGCCACGAACAATTTTACACATTTTTGTTGGGCACTGCTTTTTAAACAGACGAAATAATGGCATTTGTAGCACTTAAAATCGGGTTGGTCATAGAATTTCCAATCCAAATTTTGAGTTTAAAGCAAACTCAGGCACACGCTTGGATTGAAAACCTTAGGTGGCGCACTCACATTTCGTCCACTGTCATCTTGCGTGGAATTTAACGTAAAGCCTGCTGAAGGAATGTTGATTGTGGTTACGAGTTCAGCGTGGTCTTCAGAGTTGGGTCTTTCATACTTGCTCTATTGCATGAAATAATTGAACCCTGGGCAAATTCTTGAGAAGTAATAAAGCACTTGAGTACAACTTTTTTAAAGATACGGAAACTCTATTGTCTTATCTATGCGTATATTGTCGGAAAAAACTCGACAGTAGAACAGTGCGTTGGAAATTTAAGATTTGCCAAATATCAAAATCTGAAATCACCAAAACATAGTCCCAGATCATTTTTCATTCGTAACACTTTTAATCTGAAAAAATCAGCACCATTTCTACTTATTCGACTTTTAGTTTGCTTGCTTTTGCATGGGTCATTGAAAAAGATCTGTTGTAAAAAATTTAGCACCTTCAATATAATTGTTGGTGGGATAAATAGAGCCATCCTAATTTATTGCGTGGATAAGACAAATACGATTTTGAATTATTTCCATTCAGAAAATTCACACAGAAGTCGTTTATTTTATGATATTAGCAAACCGGTATTTCATAATCATAGAAAAGAAATCATAGCATGTATGTTTGAGAAATCAAGTACTGGAGGTGAGACAAAAAGATGTGTGTGGAGAGCTCCTAGCACCTGCAAGTAATGGGAACGGCAAGGCCTAAAAATCAAATACAGGAAGGGAAAGGGATAGATCTCGAAAATTAATCTTGAAAGGTACTAAAATAGTTGCCTAGGTGTAGGCAAGGCGATGGTGTCCCCCATTTTGGATTTACGTAAAGCATCCTCATTTAGGCTACAGTTTTATTTAAAAAAAGATTGCATACGGACACACTAGTGAAGCTTAAAATAAATGAACAAGTTAAGAGCCTTTTCAACTTATCAGTCGACAATGACTTAAGAACTGATGAAAAGCCGTTTTTAAGACAGCAAAGTGGCGAAATTATAGGGTGGATGATAGTTAGCCATTCGTTCGAAACAATTGTGCTGCGTATTTTGAAGCAGTATTCTTTTGATGAGCTTCTGCTAAAATAACTCCCATAATCCACTTATTTGTCTCTCAAGCTCGGAGAAAAATTGATGACCTAAAAAATTCAACTTCCTTGCTTCATTGGATGCTTGAAAAAAAGGTAGACACCAAAACTTCCAAGAAAAATGCATTAAGATTAAAAATACAATGTTTAAATTAGAATTCCAACAAAAAATTGCCTTAAAAACCCTAAACATGTGTTTGGGAATAGCCTATAACGCCAATCATTTACAGAAGAGAGAAGAGCAACTAATAGAAACTCAATTTTCATCATTGGATGCACACTACTTTGGCCACCGTCTTACTGAGATGGAGTGCTAAAAAAGCTTAGCTACTGCAGCACAATACAAGTCACTTTAACGGCCACATTTTGATATTTGAAAATGAATTTTGCCGTAAAATTACTAAGTAGCTTGTTTGCCAACAGAGGTATGGCTGATTGGGGAACTGTGCAGCTAAGATTTTGACTTCTCGTGAGACTATTTTGATCAAAAGTTGACACTGCTAAACAAGCTGATAACGGGTTGCATTTACCACACGTGGTGATATAATATTAGCATAATTTAATTGGTCATAAAAAAGAGGCCATGAAAAAGAAGAGTGCATGCTTTAGATGTGCGGATTGGATTATTTATCCTTTTACTGTAGGAATAATGAGGTCGAAAAAGAGTGCAGATATATTTATCACAGAAATGGTTGTTAATGGATGCACACAACTTCCATAGATTTTTGTTTTACCGGAGTCAACCAAGTCCTCGTCTTTCGGAAGAATGATTAATTGGACCTTTTCGGTGTTGGCGTAAAAATTTGTCTGAAGACGAATTTTTCGCACTACTCGATTTGATTAATACCTCACTTATCTGTGACAAATAAGAACTGTTGAGGAATGCAGTAGACTAATCCACTTGAGTGAGGCAAGCGCACTCTGAAATTTATTCGTCTATCGAGATGCCAGCTAGTGGATATCAGTCACCGTATTATCAACAAATTATTGTGGTTTAGGTCCATAAATTACTGTTCCAATAATATATAATCAAAAAATTTGTGAAAGCTTAGGTAATATTTGGGATGGCAATTATGAATGAGCTTTATGGCGTCATATCTGTTCATGATAATTACCAAATATTTTGTAGTAATGAAATGGTAGTTTAGATTAAAAGAGCAGCCGTTTTTTAAATTAGCTAGTAGTAATTTAAGAACATCAATCTGCATTCATACGATAAGTCTTTCTGATGTTCCAAAAGGAAGGTAGTACACCATACTATTAATGTCTTTTTATTGGTTATTATCTATGGATGATCCACTCCTAACGTGAGATGAGAAGCATTACAAACGACACACGAACACTTGTGAATATCTGTAGTCCTTAATAGTGTTCCACAATATCTCGCTCCTGTCACGCTTCATACACCTATGAAATGTTCCCATGGTAGAGGGGCAAGTGCTGCAAATGATTGTCAGTAAAGACTATTACATCATCACCTTATAGACACCTCAGCATTAGAATTTTCAACTGCTTAAAACAGGGCTTCCTTTCCGGTACTATGTAAAGCGAAATGGTCAAAACACTGCAGACATTTGTGTCAACGAAGTAGATGGAAGTCAGATAGTCATCTTAAGCAAAGTCAGAGCTCATTATCACATACATGTTAATATTCAGGCCAAAATTCCAGAGCATTGCGATTTGATGTATATTCATGGTGCAAAATATGATAGTCCTTGCTCCAAAAGGTGGGTCATTTTCTCAAATTGCCTTTATCAGAAAAGGTAAAATTCTCAAATGGTGTTATTTCTAAAAGAGAGGCGTTAAGAAGAAATAGGACAATTTTCGATAATGAATGAAATAGACAAACTTGACATCGGCTTTGGTTTGACTTAAATGCAGCCTCTTGGCATGATTGCTGAGTTGTTTTAAACATAATTGTTTTGAAAAAGCATCCTTTCAGCCACTTGACCATGTTTTGAAATGAAAAGTTCCAAAAATGACTCGCGAAATGAAGTGCCGCAAGCCCCAGGCGATTTAAAAATGACATCGGAACATGTTAATTAATCCCAATTGTTTAACTTCACTTTCTTCAACAAATAAGGCAGGCAGTCTGGCAGGGCCCATTGTGTCATTCCATAATAGAACAGAAATCATGCTCAATATTTTGCAAAATCATCCGACATAAAAGCTTTTTCACATAAAACTTTTGCTCATGCCCGGACGGGAGATAATAATTTACTTTGAAACCTATTTGGTATCGACAAAAGTCTTTGGATCTTAGGAGAAATAGAATATACATAGCCGAGTAAATGGTTTATAATATACTTTGGACACTTTTGGTTTCAGTACCTAGAGCCTTCATTTTTTTGAAGTGGCTCATATTCTTCGAAGGCTTACCATATTTTTTCTTCTAAAATGCAGAGTTTTTCTAAGATTTCTGGTATTTAGACAGTGGATTTATGAGTCCCTGTAGGTCAAATCGAGTCCCACAGCTCAATCCAGATTAAACTGGGTTATATTAACCGCATCATTTTGTACCTGTTCTTAATCTCAAACCTACCTCGTTAACTTAAGCCACTGAATTACGCTACTTTATATAATAGCATACCATTAATCACAGCGTTTTTTCAAAGAAGTCTGACTTGAAAAGCAGCATTAAGATCAAAGAGAATTGGCAAAGGTTGAAGGTTCAAGAATGATTAGCTGAGTATGATTCACACGTGTAGAAAATGCGTACGTGCGACGGTAGAGGTGCAGCAGGAAACCACAACCCTCTTCGGACATGTGGAGTTTCGTCGATTTGTACAAAAGTCATTGCAAACTCACGAGAGTTTTGAAACCTTTCATAGAAATCCGCGCATACTCACTGAGACATTTGTACTGGAAGGCAGCCCTAGAGTTCAGTGGATCCGTACCCGCACAAACACACCGATCTTACTTACATTTCCATTTGCACTTTTGCTGCCGTCAGTATTAATCTATAAGACATCTGAATAAAAGACGAGCAGGTTAACATACGAAGAATATTGAAAGCTAGCCATGAGATCTCGTTCAAGTTTTACGGGGTGGGGACCGCTCACGCTAATTTTCATCCTTTTGAAGCAAGTGCGCACTTTCTAGCAATAAACACTTCATGCCACTACATAAAGGCAACAGAAATGAAAATATCAAGATCCTATTTTATTTTTTGGCAGAATACCTGCCCAAAAATAAAAAGAGACCATGTGAAGACATTTGTGGGTTATATTTACTTATCCAAGGTTTCCAATTACGCTGAAATGCAATCCATTTCTGATCGTACTTGTACACCGAAACATCTTTACAGACTGTTCCAGGTTCCGTAGTAAGTTCAGTACATCAGGGCAATGGCAATCTTGATGTTTCTGTGCATTCCATTTTGTCTCTGTTGTCATTAACTCCAAACAGCAGTACGCATGCATGCATACATGATGCCTCAAAACTTTTATGAAGGTTATTTAAATGATGATTCCCTTTGCAACACTATAATTTAAATGAATTTTAACTTAAAAGAACTTTTAAATATACTATCATTTTGGCGTTGACGTCTGTGGGAACTACCTTAAGCTGCATCTATTCATTAAATTTGAATAAAAACAACTGCCAAAGCTGGTTTGCGTACCTTAAAAGACCCAAATGGCAGAATTTTCCATTTGTCTGCAAATATATAAACACACGAAGCGTTTATTCGAGCAATTTTGCCACACTTTGATCAAAAAATATGCCCAGATTAATTTGATTGGTTAATCCAGCTATTTTGATAATATAGCAATTAAAATAACTACACGGATTTGTCTAATAATTCATCACATCTTCAGTATGGGTGGTGTGTGATGAGTAGCAACGGGAAAGCGTGTGGAAGCAAAAAATCGGCGTTATAATCATGACATAAAGTCCTCTGCTTATGGTAACAGAGATGCTATAGGCTCGGTAATTTTATTGAAGCTGATTATGCAAACAGAAAGTGCAAATAATTGTGTGACATTAAAAGAAACATTCCTGCCAAAGCACTTATGAATTTTAATTATTTTTTGGCAGTAAATTGCAGAAAACAATCGAAATTGGAAAAAGACGCAGTAGCTATTTTCTCTTTGAACTATGGATTCATTCCGACGTCCCTTTTCCTTCTTCAGAAATGCCACTTGATAAAATTAATCATAAGAAAATTTACCATTTAAGTAAAGATCAGACAAAAAATCAAATGTATGGAAATAGGTAAGAAATATTATTAGGCCTCATTGAATAATGGCTTTCATCTTACCTTGAAGACTGAATATAATCTCCTTCCTTCCGATGTCTTGATTAGTAGCATCTATTTCTTTGGTACAAAGCTCAATTCGGTCAAGCCTGTGACAGACTACTCCTTGGATTGTTAATTCTGAATAATCATAAATACCTCATGCAGATCAACATTGAAAACTGTCCCTTAATCCAGCACTATTTCTTCGATAAAATGTTTGCATAGAAAGTAATAGACTGTTACACCCTATACTGCACTGTCCAGAATCTCAGAAGTATGGATTCCGGTAGATCCTCGAGTACCGGACTGAATCACTGACATATTCATTAATGAACTCACAGAGCGACTTTAGGATTTGCAAAGCAACGATCATAACAAAGCTTCTTTGTGCTCGTAATTGATCCACCGTTTCGGAGAACGCGCTTTGAACTTGTGGTCGCCTGGTGTGAACAAGTCATTTAAGTTACTTTACCTAAAATCCTGGCAGCCTTCATTTTATCAAACAAATTTCCACAATGCAGTTTCTCTCTTTCCTTGACTTTTGCGTTCAACTTATTCACACCCGACAGGTTGATTTGATTTGTGATATTTGAAAGACATAGTTGACATTTCCTTGTTGTAACTTACACTGCACTGCAAGCTGGATTATGAAAAGGGTGCCTAAATGTCATTCTACCCTAATTACGATATTCAAACAGACAGTTAAGAGTTTGGCATTTTGAGAAAACCAGTCATAAACAGTACACGTGCGTGCAAAGTAATAACATATGCAGTTTTTGCATGTCTTTACTTTCCATTTTGGGTGTTGTGCATTAGTGGACACATGATAAGTTTGATTGTCTCAGTAGAAAAGCTAAATGCACTCACCAATCGAATATAATTGAGTATATCGTTTAGACCAATTAGATTGACTGAGTACGGCTCTGATCATGATTAAATTGGTACTCTTTAAACCCAAGCTAAAATAACATCATAGATTTCCATCTTTGGGCGGTCAAGCCCGGGAATGATATATTCTAACGGCTGAGCTAAACTGCCTTCCAATAGTCAGTATGGACTAAAGAAAGGAAGCTGACGCACAGTTATCACGAGCGACTTGAGGTCTTGGAGGGGTGAGAATACCAATAAGAAGGAGGTTTGCTTGGTAGGCTGGGTCTGGATTCTATGGAAATCCGAGTCTTCGAGCGCTGGCGGTAGGAGTGAAACGTAAGGCCTGAAATGTCTTTGAGCCAAAACTGCAGGGAATGTGACAATCAGTCAGCTGTTTTCTAAATTGGCTTTTCAATCAACATCACAGTAGCTTTTGGAAGAGGTGCGGGCCATGGACGCACTAAGAATGCCGATTTATCAGGATTAGAATGCCTACTCGTCAGTTTGATGGTCCGAATTGAATGACAGTCAGATAAGCCAATAATTCGAACTTCGGTTTGCTGGCATAATAATGCTTTGTGCTTTGAGGTCAGGGAGTTATTTCCATCATTCAATAAAACTCCGGCATATTATCTACTTCTACGAACTGATAAAGGATCCTATATTCGCACACCACCCATGAGTCATTTCAATCATTCTTTTATTTTGCACGTATATCACTCTTTATATCACACTAGACATTCCTTCCTTAAAAATCAAATCTGATGTATTACAGGTTAGCAAATTTTAAGAGAACTTTTATTAGGCGCAATTTCCTATCGCATATGGACCATTCCCTCATTCATTGTCGTGGCCTTCACCTACGGACGTGCAAACGTGATTCATAAAACCCAGTGGTATCCTCATGGGATTACAATATTTTCCTCATCGAATATGACGAAAAGATCTTACAAGCTGACTTTAGTATTGGTTTAGGTTTTATGGAAGTTAAGCTGTAAAACACCAGTGCTAATGGAAAATTAAAAAGTATGATGACCCCCTCCTGTCATTCGTAGACTGATTCATTCAACTTTTCTTGATTTTTTAGCAAGTTTTGACCGGCGGACCTTTATTGAATTGAAGCTAAGCACTCCTGTCTTCAGATAGGAAGTAATTATAACCCAATGAAATATATACGAGCATTCTGAAATACGTGCAACATTAATACCCAGATTTACTACTTCAACCATTTTGACATGCGTAAAGAGTTCAAACACTAGATTTTTATTTAGTAGTAGCTGCAGTGATTGGACACAAAAGTTTCTTTTAGCTTCGACCATGACTTTGGAAAGTAAATTATATTTACTCGGAATAGTCTGACTGAGGACGGTATTTCGCTGAACGGCCCGATGATAACTAGTTCATTAATTTTGGAGTTTCCAGATAAGGCACTGATTTCAAGTTGAAATACAAGTACTGCACCCGAGTGGCTATAAGTTCTAATATATTTAGCCCAAGTAATATTTGCAACGATTGCCTTCCCCCTTAGTCAAAGCAGTCAGAAATTCAAAGAAGTTCATCTGTGGCTGATTCATCAAAGTGGTAATAAAATCCAACCTCAGATGAGGGCTCCTACCAGATGTCAGAAGGTTACCAACACCTAAATTCGATGAGAAGTTTGTCTTGGTTAGACATTTTTGGAAACGACATCAAAATGCGGATGATTTCAAAAACCGACTTTTATTTTACTGTGCGCTGTGGCTAATGCAGCTTTCACACCTTAATCGTCCAGGTTTTGATTTTTAAATAGCAGACTTAGGTAGTTGTTAGGAAAAATAGTCTAATTGTAATGCATTCGGAACTCAGTAATCGCGTGTCATTTTTTTGTTCTCAGTTTTTATGCAACTATTCTTCGATTGTCTAGAAGAAACCTGAGTCGCAGCGAAAAGTGTCAAACGCAAAAGCTACTAGCCTCTTGTATCCATGGGGAAGTAGTAATGCTTTCTTGTCCACGTCTAATTTAAAATGACGATATCATTACGCTAAATTGTTTATTAGGTGGAGTGTTAGCTATTCAGAGCGCGTATACAGAATGTGATATTATAGTTTATTACCGAATCAGATAGAGCTGATAACTGGTCTTATGCGAAGTGAGGACCTAAAGCCCTCTCGTATTGCCATTGCCCAGGGCAATAGACACACGCGCAGGACATTAATAAACTCCGGTCATCGTAGTCATACAGCAGGCTCGCGGATGCATTCTTATCATGTTTACGCTTATTGAAGACTGACAACCACCTAACCAATGATCGGCGAAGTCGTCACTGATTGGCAGTTGTCTCGTGCATCCATTGGTCGCGCGAATGAGAGGACGTAGAGTTTGGGCCAATGATAAACAAGGATGGTGTTCATAAGCCTAATTTTATGTCTTATTCCTTCGACTAACAGGCTGCAATCTACTTCCAATTGGTGAGTGTTGTGAGCCCGTAACGGGTGTTCAGGAATGATCAGGGCTTAATAAGTGCAACAGTACTCCCTGTCCGATAATAATAAGTCACTAGTTCTTCTCGCGACCGAGCACTTACAAACAACGATGGTCCCCTCCCATGGAATACTACTGACCGTTCTCGCAATTTTGGGTTTGCTCACTCTTGGCACAGCAGATATCACGGACATGATCGGTGAAGCCATTTGCGCAGCACAGTGTCTGGCCAATTTCACTTTATCTGTGAGTTTAGTTCCTTTATCCAAAGATTTATACGTTATTATCATATTTCTTTTTTTAATGCATTTGAAGAAACACAACTTGAATACTTAAGTGGAAAAATAGATTACTTAATGGCGTTCACCATGCTGATTTGCATGATTCTAGCACGTTGCTTATTTGTGGTTTTTGCCATGCCATCAATCGAGTACTAGTTCATAATGAACACATCTAAAGTAAGCAAAAATGATTCCTGTTTACGTTCTTTCTTCCTACAAGTGATTTTCAAATCGTTGTGATGCAAACAAATTTATCATTCAACATAGACTAGATTTGTTTCTGAGAGCGTGATTTAGACATAGTAGAGTATTCAAACATCCCTGACTCCACAAATTTATAAACTTTAGAGTCAGACATTTCCCTCAGAAAGTCTGATTCATTATGGTGCTACCGTGACGCCGAAACAAAACAGGTACATTAATGCAATTTGTTAATCCCGGCTCTTAGAACGAAGTAAACCTTTACCTAGTAGATTTGGTTTCGTTGCTTCCACTTTAAAGTGTCTAATCTTACATTTCCGTTTCATCCCTAAAACGTTCCCCCCCCCACTTCAGGCAAAATACTTTGACGTTAAACAAACTTTTATGTTGATTCTTATCCTTCAGTAATTGATACTAAGCTTCAAAAACATAAACATAAAATTTTACCTAGTGAGTGTTTTTACAGTGTTTTAGCATCATGCATAAGCAAATCAGAGTTTTTGTAGTCCGTTTTAGCCTTATAGCGGAGGAGACGGTAATACTGTACGTACAAATTTCACATTGGTGCTTAGCGGGAGACCAAACAGTTGAGATGTCTTGAGCAGTTCCAACATGATCAACAACTTTGTGGTGAATGATCTTTTCATTTCATGCGTAGGATAAAACCTGACCCGTACCCTCAGTCTCTTACTATTCTTCCGCCACTCATCTGCCTTGCGGTTTCGCTGTCGACTGGGCTGCCTCAAATTCACACAACAGCATGCTTCAAGTAGACCCTTTCCAAATATTTTTTTATGACCGTGGGAAAGTCGAGTGACGGCATGGTTATTTTGGAATCTCGCTTCTGTGCATCTGTATATATGTGTGAGTGTATGCGTGCGCGCCGCTTCAAAGACCTTACAAAGCTGTATCAGCGACAGCAGGCTGGCCGACAACAAATGCCATCACCCACGGATAAATGCCACTTAACTGAGCGTCACCAAGTGGGGGTGAAGCGGGATCGCCCTTCTGCCTTGGGTACGAAGCAGGATAAATGAGAGGGCAGTTCAGAGGGGAGGAAAAGAAGCAAAGTGGATGGTGCCGTCGATTTCCAATCTTCCTTTCGGCATTTACAAATGAGTTAAAGCAGTTAATAAAAGGAGGAAAACCTCAGAAAGAGGGAGTTTAGAGATGGTTTAGCCTTTCTAGGAGATGCAAAACACAATATACCGGAATATTCTCTGCCTATGGATGCATTGCGTTTTACTTATCCATCCTAGGTTGTAATATTGAAGTAATTGATGGTATTCTTTGTGTTTATCCAGTTAGCTACTTATTTTCCACTGGGAGCAAAATAAAAACTTGCGCAAAACCTGTAACTGAATGACCATAGGATTGCCAAATGTTAAAATATTTTTTCACCATCTTTAGACTTCTTGTGTGCAGTCAGCTCGGTTTGATTTCACTAAACTAAATCGTCACCATTACTAACTGCTGGTTCATGAATAGCATAATCTGCGTATATATTTGGAAAATATTGAGCTTAATGAAATCACAAACTTTGGGTACGGTGGTAGCTTTTCAATAAATTAGTTCTTTGTTTGATCACGGGTAATTCGGGTAATGCGAACAAGAAAGGTTTTGTGGCATCGATCTAGGAAGCTAGATAAGATTTTACCAAGAATCTCTGCTGGAACTTTCCATATTTGTATATTTTCAATAGCATAGTAGTTATTAATGTAGTTGGCAGGTCAAGGATTGGTATGACCTGGCTGAGTAGTTTTCTGTGATCTTTGCGATACGCAGAGAAATCCTAACTGAACGCACGTTTGTAAGGTAATTACGCGCTAACTCGACAACGTCGAACTGAGGTGATTTTCGCCATCTCAACGCGTTTTCTTACCTCGCAGTCCAACTCTCTTAGCCACGGTTCCAAAGGAGACACACTTGCTTAATCTCACATTTACATAATGAAATGAAAACAGTTTTGTGGTGGCAGACCCTTGATACATTTCCATAATGCATTCAGTTCAAAATACAAATGCAGTTTCAGTTGATATCGAATGAAAATAATTCACAATTGCTCTTTGATAATTGATCGAGTGAGCATTGGTAAATCCCAATTTCGCATCTTAGTTGTGAATCTGATCACTTCACTATGAAGACCATCTAATTCAAGGCCTCTTTTGCTGAATCCATGTCTATAGAATTTCGATGGATTCTTTGGTTTGACCTGCTGCCGAAATAGTCCTTTTCTGCTTCCAGCATTTTTACACCATATGTTCAATATTTTCTAATCAATAAAGGAGCTTTAAGCGAAAATCAGCCATCTGCGTTTTTTTTTATACTCTGACAGACAATCTAGTAGTCCAATTCGGAATTTCAGATCATCTTTTGGACACAAAAAGTAGGGATTCCGGATATCATTGGAAGTCTTATGCCGAATGCTGCCGTTTCAGTGGATATAAACAAATTCTCACGTAAATCGCCATTCACACTTGACAAAGTTGGAAAATTCAATAAAAAAAGCTTTGAGAGACTATTTTTGGTGGCCACGCATACTCTGGGGAACCACTCAAGGCCAGAACGTAAATGCACACTAAATTAATCGGTCTCGCAACTACTCCTATCTACGTCGACAGCTGCAATTTTCCTCCTTTTTCCAACAGAGTATAATCGTCTAAGAATGATGCGATGGACTGTGATTCTTTAGTCAACATGCTAAAATTGAAATTTCTTCTGCACATAGCACTAGTTATTTAATTCATTTTGGTACATCGTTACTTTGCTCTGTCGAGGGTAATTGGTGTTAATTCTTTCACGGGATAATGGCCATAAATATTGGCAGCTACTTCGCACAATAGGCCATAGAAATTCTGCTTTACGAGAAAGAGATTGTTGTCATAGCAATACCGAGTTAAAAAGTAAGGCACCTTCACTTATTAAAATTCCTACATTCCTTAAGTGAACGCCGGTGACAAAAACATTCGTCACTATCTGTTAATCAATAGGGGATAAGTAGTGACAAAAGACCCCGATTTATAACACCCACCGGTGGATAAGTGAAATCATTTCATAATAATTGTCTTAGGGTTGCAGTTTTTAGCTAGGAAATAGCTTAATTAGGTGAGGTTGTGACTTAAATTAGTTGCCACTACATTTACGAATGACGTAGTGTGTGAAATTGCTGTAAGAGGAGGCTTATGAAGTTCATCCCCAGTTGGCACACCGCCGTGCAGATGCGTCAGTTGAGGCATACGCCTTAAATTTTAGATGCCAATTAGTGACTGGACGCGCTCTCCAGTCGACACGACACGCGCAATTAGGCGATCGGATTCCACAGGCTCAAGTCTGACACATGGACATGCGCCAAGCAGTTTACTGTGCTTTCTTAAACTGGTAGTAGCAACGATATTGCACTAGAGCTAGTTTCCAGTTTCTAACAAAAACATTAATGGAATGCGTGGCCATATTTATATGACGCCTTTAATACACAGGGTTGGGATATGTGAATGGAACTTGCCAGAATGAAGGAATGCCTTCTCATTTGTTGTGAAGCAAATTCTAAAAAGTTAAGTTTGTGTGAATTACGGAATGCCAATATAAATTTTATCCATATACTCTACTCAAAAAGATGTGTTCTAGTTGCCTACATCAAACTGGCATCCTAGAGGAGTTATATTCCCATTTTCAGCTGAATGAACCGGAACGGACCTTCCTCAGTCAGCGTCCAGACCTAACCGAACCTCATTGTCTGAGCAAGCGCTCAAACTGCAGTCTCGTAAGTCCTCAACATATTTGACTATCTGATGTGTGCGTGTGTGAAGAAGGTTCAGTTTTAGCCATGCACTCATAGGAGCAGTGAAAGCCGTCCTTCGTGTTTTCCTTGATGATGGCGGTAGTGTTTTTTGTATCTGAGACAGAATTGAGGTTGCATAAATAAAGGCTGTAAACGGGGTCTAGTGGTCTTATATGCCCAGCCAGGATTCACATCAAGGAGTTGGAGGGACTCGCACGGTTGCACTCTTGCCTCCTAGTCGATGATTCAACCTGTAGGCTGCGCGCATACCCGGGTAGATGCACGCATACAGCACTCCCCTCTCGAAGGCTCGCCTCCTCCTGTTAGTCGAGATATTTTTTTAATCTCCTTCAGTGCCTCGAAGTTTGTCGATGGCCCCGACAAAATATCTCATCTTGCGAATCGTCATGCAAACAGCTTGAGGTGAGTGGCTTGCCTCCTCTCTATTTTACACTTCTACCTTACCATCATTTTTACATATAGTGCAGCTCTTTGTTGTTTGATGATAGCATCGTTCATAAAAATAAACCCATTAGTTTGACTGAATAAAACGTCTTCACAGAGTTGCTAAAGGATTTTATTCGGTAAATATTTATTACGTGCTTGCTAAAGCATCCCAAAATAAGATGTGGAGGTTATATTCGACAGAACGTTTTCTCATTTAACTTTCTGAACAAATTGTGTGATTACAAATGCCAATTACATTGAACATGGAAGACACCTGTAAGTTAGCTTGCCTTCAGTTACAGAAAGGTAATCAGTCACCCATCAGTATATTCTAGGTTCCAAAGTGTACATTCACTGTTGCAAGGTAGACCTCTTTAAGTTTCACCTCTCAATATTAGAATCTTGGTTTTTAAATAAATAGTGGTTTTGACCTTTGATCAAGGATTTATTTCTGTATTAGTTGTGCTGACACAGGTATCAACAACTGCAGTTTAAGTAAGTAGGCAATTTTATTAGCCTAGCGTTTTTTTGCATTTTCAGGAGAGCGCATTGCAAATGCTGCCTAACAGTCCGCTTGAGATACACCGCAGAACGTGTCTGGAAGCCTGTGTATTTTCGCACACCAACCGGAGAGACAGAGCGGCAGTGGTTAGCGGACTGCTGCCGGCCTCTTGTCCTCTGCCCTCCAGCTGGCCCGACGGCTCGACATGTCAGCCGCACCAGCGCTGCACCACCGACGCGGACTGCGGCCACAGCCCCCTCGCCAAGTGCTGTCGTTTCGATGCATGCCTCGTTGAACATCAGTCCCTCTCACCGTCCACCTCCATGCTCTACCGCTTGGCTCGTGGTGGTGGACCCCCCGCTCTTCGGCGGCCTCTTCCCCCCACCGGATTTTGCATTCGCATTGCCAACGACACCGCCTTCGCCTACAGAGGTAGCATTACTGGCTAACTTTAAAAAACGGCTTACTCTGGCTACCTATTCTCGTGAAAAATTGTTGCTCAAAACATGTGTGGAACTGTCTTCTAGAGCTCTAGTGAGCAGTCACTTCTCATGGTGGCTTACTTTATCCCGATGACGGCATTAAGCATGCATTTTGTGTCTCTTCACATGTGTTGACAACTACATTGTACTAAAGCTCACGCCAGTATAATGCATTTTAACCTGATCGTGGATTCTGCACTAATCATGTCTTTGGTATCCCTAAAAATAAGTCAACTGTACACAAGGCAAATGCGTGTAATTGCCTGGTGTTTACGGAGACGTTTATGTCAAAATGATTTCCAGTCTAGTTTTAACATACTGCCAGCCCCGTGTTCAGTACGACGCCTTCTATCCAAGGAAAGGAAGTACTGGATATCGTCCTACATCATGGTTATTTTTATATGAAATGTGGCAACGTTAGGAATAATTTTAATCCCGAAAGATTTTCGCAATGTAAATTGTTCTCAAAACAATCTAATAAGTAGCTTCGATGGAATACGAATGGTCTCGTTGCGTAATTTCGGCGTTTAGATACAAAATACACCATTGTAATATTTACTTCATAAAGTGTGATGGATTGCAAAGTGGTTCTGAATTATTACGCAAATCTCTAGGATGAGGAAGCAGAATTAAGCCATTCAATTAACATTTTAAAAAATTCTTTACATTCTTCATAAACTTTTAGGAGTACCCCCAGTACCCGATCGACCGTCAGTGCATCAAACAGCTATGACTCTGGGTGAACAGGATGCTTACAAGTTGGAACTAGATTGGCCCAACTACTACAACATCAGTGGACCTGCCGGCTCATTAGAATGGATTCATCCAGCCGTCTTCCTCGTCCAGGTGCGTCTTTTCCGCGACCTTGGTGACTCCTTATTTGAGGATCAGGGTGAATTCGGAGATGAAATATTACAAGAAGAACTCTTTAGTGAGTGGCGAAGCCTCGTCTGGGTAAGAATTTCACGTCATTTCTTCTGATCTTAAATATGATTTAAGTTTGTTCGCCTTCATTTGAAATTAGATAAAACCACTTTGTCGATTGACTACTATTATTAATCACGACACTTAACATGCTATAATTCGTGTACTAAGTAACTTTCACCCCTATCTCATTAGTTGCCTTTTTGAGAATGTTAACTCATCTTATGATGACAATAGGGATGTAGTTAATTATGAAGCCTTCTTGTTAATGTGGCTAAGTAGATGATATGGCTTGATAGAGTTGTCTGCTGGTATCAATGCCTCCATTTCCCATTGTACTCATAAGAAGTGATGGGTTTAAATGGGTTACCGAGCCGTTCATTTGGCCTTGAATTCCACTCCTTCCTAATACCAGTAAGCGATTGGGATCCTCTAACATCCATCTTACTCGGTAAGGGCAGTATTCTCATGTAACGCAAGTTGGTTCGCAGTCCAACTACTAAGAGTGTGAGACTGGGAATGCCATAGTTTTTGACTTTCGTCAATATTTGCGGTGGCAGTGGCATTCATAAGTCAACCGGTGTCAGCCGCACGTCCGTACGTTTATTCATTCTTAGTCGCTCATCCACAAGCCCCCTTTTTGTGTTGGAGGAGTGGTAGTGATAGACAATGGGAATTTTACAAGGGAAGACCACTCATTCGTCTATCTCTCAACCTACTTTCTGACGTCCTGAAATTACTTTATTGTCAACCCACTGCATGTGATTTTTTTCTCATCCCTTCTACGAACGCGATTTCTCTTGACGTTAAGCAAATCAGACTTGATCCTTTTGTTCCGTTAAGCATATTTTGGATCTGTACTGAATTGATGTAGTATATGAATTCGTGCAATACTACTCATTACATCATTTTTTTAATATTTAAAGACCACAAAGGTTGGTGCAGTTCTCTCGGATCTCAGTCCCGGAACGTGGTACCAGTTTCGGTTGAAAGCTGCCTCGGGAGCAGGTTTCGGTGGAAACGGTCGCCCTAGTCGACCTGTCAAGGTGATGACACTACCCGGGGCTCCTTGTAATCTCACAGAGAGCAATTTGCGTATCTATTCTAATAAAGTCGAAGTAAAACTTCAGTGGGAACCACCTGCTCTTGGAAGCGTTCCTGTCAAATTTTACAGGGTGAGCTTCAGCAAATTCGAAATGAAAAACCCATTCTCTTTTCGATTTGGGTATTTTGATAAAAACATTAATGAGAACTCCACTTACTAATTGCATCTAAATTTTCACGATGTTCTATCAAACATATTTACTGATGACCTTAAGCTTCCCAGAATCGACGGAGACTAATTATTCTGCCTTCTACAGGTGAGCTGGAAGAAGAATGTTCCTATGCACATGAATGGCAACTCATTGGGGGAGTATGAGGCCAAGGTGCCCAAGAAGGTTCTCACTTACACCCTGCAGGACCTGGAGCCAGGCACCGTCTACAAGGTGCAGGTGGCTTCAGTGGCCGTCGCTGACGGAAAAGAGTGGTCCAGTCCTCCAGTGACGCTCTTCATTAAGACCGTACCGGCTCCCTCTAAAGAATATCCTCTAGGTGGTAAGTTTTGCGCCCTCATCTTATTTCTGCGCTCCCAATAACTGTGCTCAACATGGCGCTTTTTCTTATCACATAGATTACTACACTCTAAGCTCTTGCGTTTGGATTTATAGTGCTGTCAAATTATGGTAAATAGTTCTCTTTGTTTCTTCTAGTTGTAAACTTTTACCACACGGGAGCAGGAAGATGTCGATGCGGCGATTCTCCTGAAAATCGAAATTTTATCCAACCTGCGTTTTTTGAAGGCGGGATCCTAAAAGCCCACCTCACTATACCTCGGCACTTCCGTAAATTTAGTATTTAACTGCGCTCCTGCTAGCTTAAACTAGGAATGGATTTAAAATTTAGCTCCAATTCCCGCTTATGGATGACCACTTTTCACAATTTATTATACTTAGTGTTCATTTAAAGGGGTTTCAATTAGCCTAATTTGAAAATTCAAATCCATTGGAGAGAATTCATTAATACATCGTCAAGGAATGATTGGCGCCGTGAAAAATACTTATATTGATGTTAATTACTCTTTTACACGTGTCGTAGTGACTCAATATTTTGGGTCCAGTGTCCAAGATACCACGATCTTCCACCTCCTTTGGAGTCCACACGTCTGTATTGAAACGCCAAATTCTGAAGTTGGTCTAACCAGCGCCCCCGCTGTATTAAATGCATATGTAAGTGGTTGTCTTGACTGGACGGTCTAATTCACACTCCATCCTCTTGTACCCAACTCTTCCGTCTGTGAAATTGTAAAATATGGGTTCTTTTTTATTTAGACGGCAGCTCTTTCTGGTATGGATCTGGAAAATCTACGATTTCAATGTCACTACAAATTGCAAATAAGTATGACTGAGGTGCCTCCAGAAATGACATCGAAGAACTCCCTGGATTTATGTTTCTGCACACCCTCCTGCACAGACGTTGTTGTCAGATCTGGTCCTAAACCGAAGAACTGCTCTTTCGCAGGTAAATCAGTGGTTCTTGTAAACACTAAATACACCACCAAATAAGTGAAATAGTTAATGGTAAGCACTGTAATTGTTGAATATACCTACTTAACCAAATTTACATCAAGAACACCTAGGGTCATTAAATTCATGGACTCTCCTTAGGCGCATTATACGATTACTTACTTAGCTTATTAATTTTAGACGTCTTCATCCCTCATCGGCCAGTCGACGTTGGCTATCGCTTATTCCCCACTGATACAAACCAGCCACACCCCATAGCCTCAGGAGGAGCGGTTATCTCCTCACAATCAGAGACCGAACCAGTATTTCCCGTTCGCAACGCCTTCAAGACGGGTGCCAGTCAGTCCCTCGGTTTCGACGCAATCATTTATTGGAAGCCGCATCCCGACATGGTGATGGCCACAGAGAGCATCGGACGGTACACCAAGTACGTCAGCCCCGAGGCACACCCCTTCCCGGAGGCTCAACGGCAGTCGCGCGGCTACCGGGTGATCTGGGGACCCCGTCTTGTCGAGCCCATCGAACCGGACATGTACAACAATGGCATCGCTCCACAGCTGGATCCCGAACGAACTGAATCCAAAGTTGTCGACTCGGTAGGCTATGTAATTAACCAAATTTATTTTGTACTTCTTAAAATTAGTCGCACCACCTAAACTGCCAGCATTTCTGAGGTGGAATCTCGTGCACTACATAAAAACCTTGATTTGTGAATGTGTGTGCCTTTTATCGTAGAGTCTTGAGCTAAACTTCCACGTCTTATATTCCCGTCATCCTAGAAAGTGCACAATGTGATATTAAGAAACTTGGAGCCAGACACACTGTACATAGTCCAAGTTCAAACAATTGGTGCCCATAGCGACAGTCCTGTGAATGCAGTCTTCTTCACTACTCCGGGTAAGTCCTTTTTTGCTTCAATCTACCTGAATCGTACACATTTAAATTCTTGACATCAAACTTCTGGATTTTACGTGATAAGTAAGTCAAGTCGATTTTTAGATCTCGTTTAGCCTTTACTCAATGTTATTTCTTAGCAGATATGATAAAAAATGTTAGGTAAATTGTGGAAATCCTGGGTTTAGCATTTCTTAATAACCCATTGCTTATTCATTTTCATTTTAAATTTAGTAAGAGAAGTGGGTATTTTGCAACGTGTTGTATGCAAATCACAGAAGAGGTTGAAAATCCCCAGTTTTACTGGTTACTCATTCAACTCTGTTCTGAATGCGTAGTTTAGCAAACCAATCATGAATCCGTTTTGACAAGAAAAGAATTTTTTGAAACGGAATAAGTATTCACAAAGCCAAGCGTTTAAATCTGACGAGCCTTCTTAAAATAGCATTTTAAATGAATAAGGAGTTCATTGAAGTGTCTACTTCCGAAAACTTAACCCAAGTGCACCACACTCTAAAGGGGAAAGCTAAGTGTGATCTTTCTTGCGAAACAGAATTTTCCATAGCCAGTCAGCTATGTCTATCGCCCCATCGCCTCTGAGGTCTCAGGAAGGGTTCTACTTTGCACTGCTGTGGGGTTTGCTAAATGCGACGTTTCCCTTACAGAAAGCGAAAATTAGAAGTGCGGGCTCTTATCAGAAACAGCGCGTATGTGCATCAAGCTCCTAATTGTAATCAATATCCATACCACGAAGCTGACGCTCGACTTCCAGGAAGAAAATGCACCATACCTCTCCCCTAATCAGTTGCAATTGGGTCTTACCTGTTGCCTTTTTGGTTCGCGCGCTCTCCAGCTGGAAAAAGCAGGCATGACTAATGTAAGGGCTTAGAAGCAGAGGAGGAAGAGGCGAAGATAGAGATGGGGTGGGGAATGGTGTCAGCTAGTCGTGGAGGCTGGATATCAACCCTGGAGGTGGGCAGCCTTGATTACCTCTTACTGGGGAGTAATTAACTCTCACTCCCTTTAATCCCGATTTAAGCGAGGCTGTTAATCATTATCTGATGAGTCTTGATGTTTTGGGTAGCCAAATTCCAAGTCCTCTACCACTCCTGTTAAATTTTTTTCCTCATTTTGAAGCTATCTGGATTGTTTAGCCTTGGAATCGCCGATTTCACCATCTACCCAAGATTTTTGTGTTGCATTTACTGCCATAAGATGTTTTCAAATGAACTCATAAACTTAAGTGGAAAATATGAAAAGTTTTGTCAAAATGACATTTACACTTTATTGCGGGCTAGAATGCGTGCCTTAAATCAGGGTTGATGGAAAGATTCTCCACAAATAAAAAATGAAGCCAGTCTAAATTCCTTGTTCATATGAGGTGCTTCCATGAAGTGGTCCTCTTAAATCGTGTAATTTGACAACTGCGTTCTCGCGCACGTCAATGTACCTTTGGATTCATTAACAGTAAATCAGCTCTTCCGTAATAAGCCAACCAAATCTAATCTTAGAATTATTGTATTCTCGTCCACATTCTCGCAACTGACCATTTCGATATGGATGGTTGGAAACCCAAATTCGACGTCGAATGTTTCCATTACTTGGGTTATACAAAGTAGGAGTTACGGTAATTTTGTCTTGAACATACACGAGGAAGTAAGAAATGACAGAAATTAGTCTTTAGCTGATGACTAAGCTAAGTAATTTTTGAACTACGTAAGTTGATTAGAAGGCTCTGAGGATATTGCCCTTAGGCACATTATCCTGAGCATTTGGTGTTATCATCAGACGGGTATCTTACCACGTCATAGTTCCAAAAAAAATTAACCTCAATTCAGCTAGTAATTTCTTTTATTTTCCAGGTCTGTGGAAATACGGTGATACCGACTCATCAAGCGTTCTGCGAAGTAGTTGGGTTGCTTGTACTTCTTTGGCATCACTGAGCCTATTTCTCTATTGTGTTTTGCCTAGGTGATTCGTCGGATTACTATAGCGAACATACATTTAGTCTTTCCATGCTCACCTTCCGTAACAGCCCACCTCGGTCCTGTGAGAATACGACCAGATTCGCCAAAACTTCTCCCCATCTCCATTTCGGCTTATAAGAGAAAAAGTGCCTTTTTCTATTGACTCGGTTTACTGTATATAAAGCAATGATAGCCCGCATTATTTCTCCTGATTTGTATATGAGTAAGGACTTCAAATTTCATTTGGACATGCTCCTTTACGTATATCCAAACCTCTTATGACTTATCAAAATACCTGTCATCATTTTTAATGCGCTGCATATGTCGCTTCAATCTGGTTGATAAATATGGCCGCGCCGACTTCTTGTTGGTTCACTAGCGAATGAGAATATTCTCAAGTAACTTGAATTCAGCTGTTGCATCCCAAGACTTCCCTGAAGACAAAAGAAGATGTAATGCTCGGGAAGAATATGTTCGACATACAGGAGGGCTGGGGGGCCACTGGCATGGCCCGGAGACCAGCCTACCCGACGGAGGTACACTGGTGGAGCACCTGAGTGGATCCTTCACCAAAACTGAGTGTTAAACAAATAACCAACCTATTACACAGTATAAATTTAATTAGATACTAGGTTAATTGCTTAACCATTATTTTGGAACAATTCTGTGCGAGATTTATTAGGCCTTTTTTGTTTGCCTGTTTCTTAATGCTGCACCTAAGATTTGTATTTCAGCGAATATTGCAATAGTACGTGGCATCAAGTACTGTATTGCCTCATTTCATTAAGTCATTTGACGTTATTGAGCAAAAATCGGCATAAGTAGATTTGTGTGGTAAATACGAACCCTTATTACGACAAAATTTGTGGGGTTCAAGCGGCTACCATTTGTAGAATTAATTTATTCCATATTCACTTGGGAAGCTGTGCTACTCCGGCTTGACGGCAATCTGAAGTGAAGACAAATGCAAGGAACCATATTTTAAGAGCAACGCAAAATGCGCTATTTGCTGTAAGTGGGATGTTGTTGGGCTCAAGAACAAATCACGATATTAATGTCATGAGGTTGGTAAAAGTTACCATCTTCCAAGATGGAAATATTTCGCTACAGAAGAACGTTTTTATGCGAAGTTAGTTGAGAGCTGTCGTAGTGGTTTATTGTAATTTCGGGAAAACTGGCTCAATTTTACTTTATTTTGAAATGATAGACACTACTAATTGATTTTAATGGCAATAGAAATAAACAGACATCAAAAGGAACAATTCTCAGTATTTTGCCTTGCAAAAAAGTCCACAAGCACGCACAATGGAGGAGATGGTGTTGATAGTTTGTTTTTAATTTATTGTCCAGGCCCACTGGTTATGTGCCAAGTGTTAGTTATCCTTACATAGAAGAGCTGACCTAGTAGTCTTAGCTTCATTTCCATGACAATGCCCCCACCAAACATGACGCTAAAAACTCGGAGCTTGGTTGATTCTAAAAGTAGTTAAAACTGGAACTGTAGACGTGCCTTTTACAGTGTGTGAAGAATGGAACACAATTTTCTAAACATTCATCCACGGGCAAAGGGTTTTCATAGGAAACTAACCATTTTGCAGAGCTGTCATGCTTATGTCAAGTTAGGCGCAAACGTTCATGTCAGTGTCCCATCAGGGCTATAAAGCGGTGCATTTACTGGTCTAGGTGAGTGACTCACTTTGATTTTTCAAAAGCAGTAGGGTTGGTTACCAACAGCACTGTACCGCCCAAAACCTTTCCTGAAGAGGGAAGAGGTCATACTACTAGAGCAGAAAATGTATTGTCGACGCATAGAAAGGTTAGGGCGCCACTGGCATGACCTGTAGGCCACGCCGTCCAGCGGAAGTGCAAAGGCAGAGCTTTAATGGCTCATGAAACCAAAACAAAGAGTTAAGTAAACAATCAATGCATTACAGACCCCAACCAAAATCTCATAGTTATTGAGTGATAAAACTGTGGAGTATGTAATTTTCAAACATATTTTCAATTAATCTATTTGAACTCGAACAAGAACATGTTCATTTGCATTAAAGACTGTTTGTAGTCAGTGGAAATGAATAGTGCAATCTGAGGGTAAATGCTACTTCAAAACACAGGGCTGTCGATCAAACGCCTCTGTGCGAAGCCTGACTTTCTCGATTCCACTTAACCAGAAAATGAACGATTTAGTCAAATTAATCGTGATTAAAAGGTCTTTAAATATCCACGAGCAATAAACCATCCTGAAAATAACGACAGGAGCCATATTGTCGGTAGAAAGGAATTTTTTATGCAAAATGAAACGTTTTTCATTAAGGTTATTTATATAGGGAGAAATCAATGAAAGTTTTGAAGCAGCATTACCCACTCTAGCCCTCCGTAAAGCAGGTGTTTTTGTTGTAGCGGGAGCGCACCCCGAGTCAAATGGAGACCTATTCGTAATAAATTTTGCGGCGGGTAACCTTTCCCTCCTTCTCCTAGGGCCTCTGCTACTATGACCAGACTACACTGACGCCTGTTTTGTTATTCAGAGTAAAAAGCGCTTCTCATATTTAACTTTACAATCCCGCAGTCGATACGATTAACTTGTAATGGAATTGATCAGTGGTCAGCTCACCAGGCTATTTGTGAACAATTGGTATGGTTAAGCCTCCAGCAACTAAAATATTGTACTAAACTTTCTTTCAGATTTTGAGGATTTTTAGATCTGTCCTAATCAGCTGTTCATGCTCGTTTTGTAGAGAATTTCGGCGTACAAATTGTACATAGATGGCAGGAAACCGCCTCATCCCCACCTACACATGACAAATATCATTGCCACTGAAAAATACATATCTAATAATGTCACACTTAATTGTTATCCACCAAATACTCACGAAGTATATAAATTAACAGGGTTTAACAACAGCTTAATGTAAAAATACAGGTTTTTTGAATCTATCAAAGGGATAAGGTTAACAACGTTATTGTCTACCCAGAAAGTCTACGCGTTTCGTCTGCACAATAAAGGAAGCTTCCTAAAGCCACTTTGCACCATTGATCACTATTCAAATGACTTCGGATATACGCCTATGCGGACTTCGTCCGCATTGGGACCTAGCCAAATTAGTTATTTCCGCCTCCAGACAATATCTAATACCTATATTGTTTTAATGTACCTTTCAGAGAGGAGGCAAGGTTACAACCCGAATCTGGTGACAGAAACGGCGTCCCCCCAGCCTGAGAGCGATTGCGCCTCCTCCCCTCTCTAAACTTTGTACTTGTTTTCCCGATCCACTTCTCTAATAAATATGGAGAAATTAGATCAACCGGGTCGCTCTAAGAGCACTAGAAACGGGGAAGAGGAGACCTGCGAGTCTCGCCCTACAAATCTGTCGACATCATTCCCAATGAGTATTGGCATTTATAGCAACTATTAGGTTTTTATTAAAAGAAACGTGGTATACAAACCGGAGAGCCCAGCCTGGTTAGAACTAACTAAGTGGTGGGACATAAAAGTGGTAGATTTGTTATTTACCGCATTTATTCAACGCAACCCCATAATACCATGCGACCATTGTTGAATTGAATAAGAATGTAGTGAGGCGCACGGATGAAAGGGGTAGTCGAAAAAATGAGTAAGAAACAGGCAGCAATCCTGCGGCTAGCATTTACTGCGGCGTCACGAGCCTTTCAGAAGGACTGCTATGCCATAAGCATGGACGGAAGACCGCGTAGCTAAAACGAAACCACACACCGCAGAGGTTGAAGGGCCCGCGCACCATAATGCACGTTAAAACAAATATGAGATCGCTGTGCATCGCCTCCTTCTGAGTACCTCTACAGGACTTGATTACTAATGAAGGTTATAAATAAAGGACTTAGTTCTCAAAGCGCCCACTTTTGCGTAAAGGGCACATCATTTAGTATTGGGCTCCTAAAAGCATTTTTCATTCCTAAGATATGCGTCTTTCCCAGTTCCACATCGATAATCTATTTTCTGAACTCGAAGAGATGAGCATTTAACATTTCTCAACACGTGTTTGATGTGGATCTCTCTAGCTATTATCGGTTCCTGTCTGTACATTAAACTTGAAAATGTTGAAGAGATAATTAAAAGTAACGTTCACATTTCCTAGGTGCTTTACGCGAAGTAAACCTCTTGTTGGATGCCAATTTTATGCAAAATGATTTAAATACAATCAATGATAGTCTTTCCGGCTCCACGGCCAAAAAATATTCAGTTTGTGTCAAAATAGACTTAACGTTGTTATGTTAAGCACATAAAGGGGATAAAGAAGTGGTGCAAAACACGACACATTAATTAGCGCTTTTTACAAAGTTAGGTCGATAGAATAAAAGATAGACAAAAAGCAGTGGCATTAGCTTCACACGTTGAAAGGTGCCTACCGGGCATCGAGTAATTTGGGGTTTGCTCATTTGTTGATTGGTTTAACAATGTAACTCACTATAAAATGTACTGAATTAACAGAAAGCTTGTATCCTACTAAAAGTCATGTTAAAATAATATAGATTGCATAATCTGATAGTTAGTTTAACTTAGCGAGCATTTGAGTTTCTGCAGGTCATACTTCACCTCTGCAGCATGGTCTTCGGGTGATGTAAGTGAACTTCCAGCCCTTTTGTACACTAACACTGTCTTCTTCTACTGTATTTTGGCTTGTTGTGACTTCGTGGAAGACTTAAAGCGCTACATGACGCTGGTCGCATAGGAGTCCCGGAGTGAAATAATTTCACGTGCGTGCATATGCCACAAGAATTCGACCATGGAAAGTGCTTCAAAAGCAAGAAGCGCATCACAGCCGGTAAAATATAAGGAAATGGTCTGGAAGGTAGGTAGGTACATGGCTAGGTAGATCAGCACTGTATTGCAGTAGTTTCACAAATGACTATGTTAAAAGTAATAGTTTCACAAATTACTAATTTGCAATTTTTTAATAATTAGACGCAAAATGCAAGTTAATGGTGCAACAATGCTCTCAACCACATTGGTTTGAAAACATACTGAATCGAATCGATTGAAGCAATATTTAGAAGGCGAATCATAAATCTAATCGAAGACTCCAGACTGTTGAATGAGCAATATGAATACAACTGAAACCCAACTACCCTAAGTTTTGGCTTTAATATACAACAATGTTCAGGATTTGTTTCTAAGACCATAAGGCCAAGATAAATTTATAGTAACAGCCATAATCCGAATGCATTGAGGGATAATGCACAGAAAAATATTCAAAGCTGATTTATAGTCAATGACAAATTCACAACAATTCAAAAACAAGATTCTTGCAAGCCTTGTACTTCTTTTATTTCTAGTTAATTTAATCATATGATTAGCCTTTGTGTTTATACTGCCCAAATATGTTTTGCCTTTTTCGGATAGTGTTGGCGGTATCTGTGGTTGCAAACTTGCGTTCCTTGCTGTTTCTCTTATGTTTCGGTTGAGTCTCAGTCCGCAATATTTATTAGCCGCGTACTTCCTTGCCAAACAGGAATCTTAGGGGGTTAACTGCCTCGGATCAGTTTCAAAGCCGTCTTATGAGGCTTTTGTGATGGAAATACTCTTAAACATTATTTACTACTTGGACCCATTCTGGATAGAATAGTTTTCTCCTGTTTAATTTCATACAAGCGTTTTCTTTTCGTGCGCACTCCTTGTGCATTTTGATCTAACTGATTGTCCTTATCCTTGCATTTATTTTTCAATTCCTTTCCTGTAGTTGGAATGAAGTTTTCTCTTTTACTAGCAGAACTAAAGGGTAGGTAACAAAAAAAATGCGCATCAATTAAACTAGTTTTTACCAGGGCTATTTCGGCATTGGGAAAACTCGGTGACGAAATCTACTTTGAATGTGGTCCGCATGAGGTACGTTCCCTCATATATGATCAAGTCTGCTCTTTAGTTCAGCCTTCGATGCGTCAATTCATCTCGTTCGGCATTCGCTGTTATTCACTTTTCCGAATGTTTTTTTGAAAACGCCTCAAAACTTGCGGATGCTGTTGTACGCTTCAAACTGAATGCCAAGGTTGTTCTATACGCATTATTTTACTGTGAACAGACATGCTGTAAGGTTTTTAGGCAGACTGTGGCTTGGGATAAAGCTCTACAAAGGTGTAAAATGCGCCTAGAAACTGGTCACAATAGACTAATTGTGCAGTTTTTCCAAAGACATGGTTAGTGCCATTTCCTTAACGTTAATCTGCCTCAAGGAATTGTCAAGACCTATGACCTGCCTATTATTGAATGTGAAAGTCTTGAAGCTGTGTATAGTATAAGTAACACAACCTGTCAAATCGTGATGTCGTCAAAGTAAGCGCACACTTATGCTGAACCGTTGTTTCGCATCAGGGTGGCCAGCGAAATCATGCAAAATTTTAGGCCAAGTCAAACTGAAGTGACAATGGACTTGCAGGAAGGCGAGTGCATCTTTCGTAATTACGTTCCTGACTCAGGTAATTAAGCGAGATCTAACTCTTCAGACTTTGCTGCTGTCATTACGCATATTCCGGTTGCTTCCACCGAGTTCGAGGCTTATCGTTTGGGCGAAGAATGCGATCTCACTTTCTGTCAAAAAGATTTTCGAGTAGGTATTGCTAACATTCACTATGATGCACGAATATGTTCAGGCGTTGATTCCATGCTTTCTTTCTTACTGTTTCACAGGCTGCCCTCATGTTTGGCAATTCCATGAATGCCCTGTTTGTTATTAACTGTAGTCGACCTGGAAAACCCTTGGTCCTCACGTTCACGGATGAAAAACATTACAAAGCTCACTTCGTCCTCGCTACGCTGCCATTACCGTACTTCCCAACGAGAATTCCACTGAATTCTATTAACGCTTTGTCGCAGTCTAGATCGAGGTCTAATGTCGATGTGTCGGTCGCCTCTCCGTATGTTAATTTAATATCACAATCCAACTCTAATTTCCATTGGTTCATTCCCTAAAGCAACCAGTTTTTATGGAAAAGTGGAATCAATACGTGTACTTTTACTAATATAAATGCCGACAAAACTGCGCATGTTTTGAAAATCCTATTTACATTTTGATGTATACAAAGGTGTTTTTGTCGATCGCGTATGTTTGATAGAACATGAAAACATTAAAGCTTGACAAAATAAATCAAAAATTTTGTTAAAATGCACTAAATTACTGGCTTAATGCGAAAACGATGTTGCGTATTTAACGCATTGTGTCTTGTTTTTACCTCCTAACTTGTAGTTTTGATGATACTCACCAGGAAATAGCTAATCCGCCTTTAAATACCACTTTAATGACGGCCTCAACTCAGGTTCTTCACTCTTCCAATCATGAAACCTCAACAGCTCAGCTAACTGTAAGTTCTTTGTACACTCAGTCGGACTGTTAATCATTCACTAGGTAAAAGTATCTACTTATTAAACCACTTTAATGGCCTAGATACTAGTAATGGATAATGGGTTTTCTTGTTTAACAGACGTTTTTCTTTCAGGCTTCTACACCACTTGCAGTACATTGTCAAAACGAAACCGAGCCACCCATTAAAAAGGTGGGTGAAAATATCTTTTGCTTTATCCTTTATGCTTTGTGCTTGTGAAATAGATATGTTGAAAAGTCCTGAAGCAACGTCGTCAAATTTCAAATGCTCGATAATTAGCGATTTTGATTCCTGTGAAGACTCCCTGCGCCAGAGCTTTGGTCATTGGTATTGCTGGTTAGTGGAGGTAGCGTTTCAGTGTTGAAAATGCACAGTATTTGCTAGGCGCGCTCGGTGCTGTTCTCTTACCTGGGTGGTGGGAATGCCGACGACTCCTTCTTCTTAAATCCACCCCCTGCCCAGGAGCCCGAGAGCCTGTGCGAGGACTCTCTGGAGGATGACTCTGCAGGAGACCGTGGTGATGGCAGCAGCGACGCTGCAACCTGCGGTCGACTCACCACCCGCCGCGCCGACGTCAGAGTAGCTGCCACCGCGGGTTGGCGCAGTGCCGACGGTCTGTGCGCGCCACCACCCGGACACTCTAGTCCCACCCTCCTCGTTGCTGATTCGGATGAAGAAACTTGACCCACTTTGCCCACCTGTCTGTTCCATGGTTTGCATATATATACCTTACAAAAGATACCTTGACAGCCCTGTTTTGTAACGTGGGACGCTTTTCTTGCAAACGATCGAAAGGGGCACTATTGCTCGTAATCCATGCAATTATTTTTCAAGGTAAGAAGAAGCCTCATAAACACGGAATCCAAGCGGAATTTGTTCGGGATAAGGTTTACCTCAAAATAATAAATTAACGTTGTACATTGAAAATTTAAGTCACTGCAATCTATTGCAACCCCTGTCCTTGGATAAATCAATGTGTTTGTTGGTTGGAGTTAAGTGGCACTGCAAAAAAAGTGCACGCGTGGATTTTAAATGTATCAGCTCTTTACACGAATCCAACTTCAATCTTCTGAATCTTCTCGCGGGGGGCTAGCTTCATTTCAAAAGAGGTGGGATTGGTGGCAGGCGAGGTTATATCTTCCGCCCTCTTGTCTCGGTAGTCTTGCCAGATCAGTCCCACGACGTCTGCAGCTAGTACTTCGCCTGCGTTGATCGCCAACATTCTGACCAGGAAGACTCCGTCTTGCCGGAGGTAATCGTCAACAAAATTTTGCAGTTGGGTTTTCCTGCTTCTCGGTTCAGTGGGTCGCTTTGCCTCCTCATCCACCTTGCAAACTCTCAAAAATCTGGCGATATACCGGTATCTACGGAAGGGACTGGTGGCGCGAATGATCCAGAGAAGTAGGCTAAGGAGGCTGGTTATCAGGAGGAAAAGGACCCAGAACCAGAGGAAGATATAGATCTTCTCGTTGAGCATATTGATGGGAAGGGTGCATTGTGCAGTGTAGGCGTTCTCGCCGCCCACTAATCGGATGCTAGGCACGCGACAGTAGGCCACGCGGGGGAACAGCAGAGTCTCCGGCCATTCCTGACCTGAGCGTATGTAACTTGCTATGGCCCAACCAAATGAGTATCCATGCTCACTTTTTTCTAAAATGCGGATCTGAAGCTGGATTCTCTACTAATGTTTTATAAAGTAGAAAAGAAGAATTGCCTGTGTGCTACGTTTAAAACCATTTTTCCACCCATGGAGTGGAATAATGGCTGTGGTCGTTTCTCGATGTTCGCAAAGTTAGAAATTGTGTTTACGATTGGTAGGTTTTATGGAAGCCCGAAATTCCGCTCAAGTAAGGTGACGGCCACCTTTGGCAAAACACTGCACGTTGCTCAAATGTGGCTCGTTTGGGAATCTACTAATAGTCAATTTTTAGTGTCAAACTACATATCATTGTTGGGGCATCTAAGCTAGATCATTATTGGGCTTATTTATAATCACAGTAATTTGGGTAAATAGTTACATCGCTTTAAAGAAAAAGACGGAAGAAGCATCATATGTATGCCTTAACTAAACGTTGATTATGGTATTCTCTCAGAACAGTTCCTGATGCCGCCACGATGAGCTCAACTACTGAGTCCTTTACAATTTATTTTGGGTCCTCACAATTACGGGTCATGACTTGTATATGCTGGTTTTTGAGTATCTAGCTTTGCATCCCTTAAGGTCAAGTTGGTTCCTTTTCAATGCATTGCCGTCATTTCAATTCCACTAAACGAAAAGTGAGTTGAAAACGTTAGAGGTCACTGTTAAGGCTTAATCACCTTACCACAAAGACGATGGATAGGAAGTCAACTCGGCGTTATTTTGTAAAATCAATCAAATTTATGAGAATATGCTTCCTGCTCTTCTCATCACTCAAGGTTATGTATTAGGTTCGAGAGTAAGGTGGCATCATAACCACCAATTGTACTTTTCTGGCTTCACAGCAATTCATCCTTCCTATCTCAATGCTGAAGTCGAAAATAGGGGTCTGCAAGCACTCAAGTCAATGGCATTTATTTCAAATTACTTCACCAGTTTGAAGAACGCATGATGATTGCTGGTGTCTTTCTGGCCATTTCTGTACTAAGCACGGAACGAAAAAAGTTTCGGCTTTTTAGAAAATTTTCGAATTTCACGTAACTAGAACTTGTTCGCAATAGTTGGCATGAAAATTCAAAGGCTGCAAAAATCAGGTTCATAGATTTTACACTTAGCAGATGAAACTAACCATTGGCAGGTCATATGTACTTTACCACAGATCGGAATCCTTTGAACGACCATTTAAGCTGATAGGATATCGCTTAAGAGAAGTCCGTTAAATAGATTCCAGACTTATATAACTGCTAGATTTGTAGGTTATTTTTTAATTCCTTACAGTAGAAATTAGCTCACCAGATAGATATCGTGTTTTCCCCTGAGTTAGTGAGTCAACGGGTACTGGCTTAATGTAGTGTCCAGTGAAACCGAGGAATACTTGAATGAGATGTAATTGCAGGGCCGCATTCAATATGATGACCACCTTGAGAGTGATGTACGACCACACGAGGCAGGTTCCCATGCGCTTACTTACTACACAGAGCCCACAGCTGTCGTACATCTTGTCTACCAACTTGGCCTTGCGACCCTTGAAGGATGAGAAGAGTTAATCACTTTGAGATGGAGTCCCTTAATCATAGTCTTCAAGAAATGTGCCCTAAGATAACGAAGTCTCAAATGCATCCTCAGATTAAGTACGAATAAGTAAGGATAAAGCACAAAATAGAACAGCAGAAGTGCAACAGGATTTGTGTACTCATTCAGTGATAAACAGCGTGGATACATTCAAAACAACTCTCGGACACCGGGTAGTGCACCTACCCATGCACGTGCACACAAACAGTGCTGTCCTAATACGGCCGAAATTGTACCTACTCCTGAGGCATTCATCCAACTTTCATACATTATGACGGGGCCAATCCAGTGTTTCAAATCTAGAGGCGTTGGCACTGCTATACATTGCAACATAAGGCAAAGTGTAGTGGTGACAATTCTCTTTGTTAATCTTCCCAACGTTCATTCACGCATGTCGAATTATGCGTAGACGCATTCGTGGTGATTCTAAGCAAATTTAAATCATTCGCAAAAAGTGCAATTTTTTTCCCGAATCGGAATTTTGGGACAGAGTGCGTTTTTAGAAGAGGACCTACCCGTCGTGAACACTGATGGGTATCAATCATGTCCTCGAGGAATTCAGCTACTCGATGGACTTCCCTCTTCCGATCACTGCGACTACCGGATGCAGCCTTCCTGGCGGCCTGAATCAATGTGAAGACGTCACCACTGGCTCGGGAGTTGCATATCATCTCCCAAAGAAGATGTGGGAGGTAGAAGATTATGCATTGGAGACCCAACACAAATGGCACCCACTGGTAGTAGGCTTGAAATAAGATGATTCGGGACGTTTAGAAGCTGTAGGCATTTCAATAGCCTCCGAAGCTTAGGCGTTAGGTTGTTTAGGCTCCTTATTTGTACAAAAAATGGGGATAATCGAATTTCAAACCATTTTAAGCTGTTGTTTTAAAAAAGACAACAATATCGTAAGTTTGGTGACCCATCCATATAAAATTGCCCCATCTTAGAGTAGATTCCTGAAACAGCTAAAGGTGGGCCGAAATATTTGGCAGCAGCATCGAATTTTGGGCTTTCCGAAATTGTAATCCATGAAAATATTAATGTATTATAGTGAATAAACGATTCGTCTTGAGGTATCCAATTTAGCGTCTATCGACGATTAAAATCACGTACTACAATTTTATTCAAAATGAGTTGGTCTTCATTGAGAAAGTGATAACATTTTCAGTATTTGCCCTACGAAAAAACTCAATAAACTAGGTCAGGTCCAAGTTACTAAGACTCCACTCTTTGAAGAAAAATTTGATTCTATGGAACATTTCGCACGTCAATTTCAAGGGAACTCAACCTCCGCATACATGAAGTGTTAATCTAATGCATATATAGGAACTCTATTTAGCAATGGAGATGGGAAGCCATTAGCCGGACTTAGAGTAAGAGGGATCTTTGTGTACTTGCCCAAAAGAGGACTAGGTTTAGGTGCCTGCCCTTACCCACGGCAATTTGTTCAGAAATCATTAATTTCCACCATTGAACAAGAAACAGTAATGAAACCGCACTTGAATACGGGAGAAAGGTGTACCACTATTTCCATAAATTAAAAGGCGTTAAGGTTATTAATATTTAAGTTTAAAATCCTTTTTTTGAAATGAAAAGAATCACCTCGCACAGACCTTAGACTTTAACCAAAATTACAGGTAGTTCATTGGACTTACTGATTCTGCGGTACTTATCATAGAGGTTCCATTCCTCTGGCGTGGAAGGCATTCGCTCATCAGGCCGCAGTGGGATTGTTCCATGCACCCAGCAATAGTCAGCAAGGTAATTTTTAAATTCGCTGCCAGACGGCTGTACTGGAATGTAGCAAGAAATAGAGTTGAAGACATACTGTTTCATCGAAATAAGTAGGGTGCAAAGGAGTAATAAAATGACAGTAAATAGATTTAGCCGGTCGGCAAAGTCATCGACGGAGAGGTTGGTATTGGCTTGGAAGCTCCTGAAGAGGTCAATGAATTCCTTGCCCACCATGTCCGATTCGCAGTCCTCGAGACGCGTCGCGTAGTGCGAGTGTAAGAGAGAGGGCGCGACAGTGAGCTAGAGTGAGGCCTTGTTCCGGGTCAAAGTGCCGGTAGGGTGACTGGCCTAGCGCGTTCTTTTCTCTCGCGCCGCGCGTGATCGTGTTTGTGTGCGCTGGCTGCAGAACACACGCACACTGCACACATACAAACACACACACACCCCTATGCAGGGCAGGAGGGCGCCCACACGATCTTGCTGGCCTGTGTGCACAGCGGACTGTGCCATGAGGCGCATCGAATGAGAAGAAAGTTGACTCAATCTGGAACGCCCTCGGTTATCACAATTGCACTGCTTTTGTCATGTGGCCTGATTAGCAGCAACAGTTCAACAAACTATAAAATTCCCTTCTCGCCGTCATATCTTTTTTCTTTTTATTCAAGGAAATCATCTCTCTCAACTGCAATGAGATGATGGCATCCATTTTCAAAATCATTGCAATGAAAGTTTTGTATATCATCGAAATCATTTCCATCAGTGTAACCCAAAGTACAAGAACAATGCCACTTTAGCTTGATGCATACAATACAGTATCGCACCAGCAAATCTCCCACCTACATTTATTCAGACTGATCTTCATTAGCTTAATAGGCACCCATTTTATGCGCGCAGGATCTGATCCTTGTACTGCAGAATGGTTTCATCAATCACCGTCATGTTGCGTACTGCAAATATTCCTTGGCTGGCCAAATTTAACGAAGACCTCCCATATTTCAAGGTTCGTGCTTCGAGTAAACGACTGTAAAATAAATTTTAATGGACTGAGTGAACCACTTCTAACGTGCATTGAACGATATCTTCTTTTTAAAATGTCATGGTACTTTTGCGATACGACCCTCTGTACAACGTAATTACTTTTAATGAATCATTGTGGTTTTGTTGCTCGAATAAAGGTGAAAAACTTGCCTTACTTCGAAGAAAGTGTAATAACTTCAGGCATGCACTGTAAAAAAATGTGAGAGTTTTAGACATGTAGCATAGAAACCCTTGAAATTGTTGGTGAGTGTACCTTACTGATTTGGGCGAATGCTCACGATTCTACAAAGATGCGTTGTGTACGGGCTGCTTATACTTCAGTGAATCGGTAAGAATGGCGCGATGTGATATTCGGGGGTAATTATACATTACCTTCACACTGTGCGTTGTATTACCCGATTATTTTATCCCCTATTGTATTATCTGGCACCTCATAATAATCAACAATCAAGAATTTTTATTTTTATTTTAAGGGATTTTGCAATAACATGTAACTATTTGGAGTACGGAGTAGCAGTTGGGCCTCCTATGGTTTCATCAAACCATTGTTTATCAAAAGCCGCATTCGACCATTCTTCCAGTAGCAATTTTGTCATATTTATGTATACAAAGTGATTCAAAACTACAGTAGAGCAACATACTGGAGAAATGAAACCAATTCAACACAAAGATTTGACTGACCTGACAAAACAAAAGAATTTCAAGGAAACATTAACCAGCATGCCACTCATTTGCATTACCAACCCATCAAGTCAAGTTGAATCAGTGAGCATTCGTACATAGTTCTATAAAGCTTGGATAAACTTATAAATATTATTTTGCGATTTCATGTGGTAGATTTTGCTTTTGTGTTTTGGGAGCCCCGTGTGGCAGGCTTCTGAACAAAAATGCTATGATCAGCCAGGCATTGTTATTTTTCACACGAAGAAATGTTTTCAAAACAATCAAATCCTTCGAGTGTATTGTTGTTTTCACATCTTCAATGATAAAGTAACTAATTGTGTTGCATTTTCTAAAGACTATTTTCAACAATAAAATAAAATCGCAGGTTTCTGAACCTTTCATGAGACCACTGGTGTGTTGTTTGAAAACAAAAACATCTTTTCCAATGTAAGAGTCGTCTAGTTAATGAATACAGTTATTGCAGTTTTGAAGATGATATGATACACCTTAGAGCTTTTATTGCAAGACTTGTGATACCTACGTACTTCAAGTGTATGTCACAGTTGTGCTAAATGCACAGAGAAGTCATGTAACCAAAATTGGACAAATTATTATTTTTTGGGTAAGTACATTTTAAAACTCAAGCAGTGTACAACTATTTACTAAGATTATAATTTGGTTGATGTATTTTTCATAAGTAAGTCTAAGCAGCTCACTGAACGCGGATGATATTCGAAGTTGAAAATGGGTCTAAATCGGAACAAAGTTGCGTTTCACATGCACATGTTAAGAGAATCCGAGAATGAAGACGTTGGTTGTGAGCCGTTCTAACTTTGAACAGTTAAAAAATTTGGTTAGAATCTTTGATCAACAAGAGTCAACCCTAATGTGAAACAAATTATTGTGGGTTCTGAGCATTGTCTTACAATGGGAGGCGGTTACCACCTTTGGCGCTAAGCAGCAGTCCACCGTTTACGCCTCCTTTTTCAGTCAGGATGAATAGGCCATCATTTACTAGTTTTTACATCCTTAAATTCATGTCATTTTCAAAATGTGCTCCCCAACCTTATCTGGGTCCAAGAATTTTTTTAGAAAATCAGATGCGCCCCAATTTTTGCCTTTAACTTATTGCTATGATTCTGGCATTTGCATATAGTTTCCCAAATTTTTACCGCTTTAAACTTAGTGAGAACGAAATTAACCATTGCACTTGACTAAGTATCTATTGGACCAAATTTCAGCCTAATAGTAGGACGCACTTTGTTTGATGTATGGGTTAGATACCACACTTTACAGGAAGCGTTAGTATTCACCCAAAAAATTCTTAAATATTATATTTGAAACAGTCTATACGAAAAGGATAGGCGAGTCTCCATAATCAACAAAAGTTGGAACTTCTAAGTGACCAATGCATGTAGCAAAACGTTGGCAGACAAAAAAACTCTAAGTAAAAGCCATCTAAAACAATATTTACCGAGAAGTGCTAGATTTGCACGAAAGATAAACCGACACAGCTAAATACAATGCTCGGCAAAAGGTCTCACAAATGGAGCTTATATTTTTGACACTTGCGATTTGACCATTGGTTAGATACGGTAAGTGTCTCGGCGACTATTTTTTTTTACTAAATAAACAGTTTATATGGACAGAGTATTAAGAAGATGCAGTCATTAGTTGTTTTCAAAACGTTGATGCAAGGGAAGTGATCCCGGTGGACAAAGAGGCGAGCAGATTTAGCTGCCCTACAAAGTATAGAACAAATTTAGTCGCAACATACAAGTTCTACATGGGAAGTTGCCAATGCTTACGTGATTTTTTGCGTATAGAACAGAATGCCAACCTTTTTGATACATACGGAGTGAATACTTAGGAACTTCGCTGAGTAAGCAAATCGGATTTTGACAAACAGTCTGTATTTCCAATCCTAGGACGTTATCAGAAGTTGTTTGGGGCTTCGCTTTTAACAATAAATTTTTCGCTTGCAAAAGGGAAATATTTGAATTTTCTGGATACCATTAAAGTCCGCATGGCCGCGTATAAGAAAATAAACGCAAGTTCGTCAAGCTGCGCATATTCACTCATTTACTTCGAGCAAAATGCAGCTGATTTGACATTTCACAATATACGTATGCTTATTAAAACTTGCATTCAAAGATTTAACTAGGCTAAAAGGGGAGCTGAAGTTAAAACCAAACGAAAACTAGTAAAAAGTGTGACTTTTTAGTCCCATAAAATTAAAATCTCCCCCAGTATGAGCTTCCGATTTGCGTACAGGTGGATAGTTTCCAGCCTTTTTGTTTATTTTGATTTAGACGTTTAAAATGCGTAAATTGTACCAACTTATCAACATGGTATTCAGACAGCTGATAGACCGAGCGTAATTGAGCAACTAGAATAAATACCTACGTTATTGTAAAGTGAAAATCAGAGCGTAAAGAGTATAGAGTCGGAGAGTTTGTGATTACGTGTTAAAATAATTAAGTATTAATCATAGAAACGTTTTTTTTAGAAAAACCGCTGAGCTTTTTGGGACTATAAGTTGACTGCTGTGACGAAGAAGTTATGCTTATTTGGGCTTACCCTAAAAGGTTATAAAATAATTTCTGCACCATAACCTAATAAAACAACAAATAGGAATGAAATTGATTTAAGAAATAGTTATTTGAATACTACATGCAAGTAAATGTGACGCCGTGAGTTCCTTGTCACGGTTGATCTCCACGTAATAACCTGCAGACTGCTTTTGTGAATTAGACCATATTTCACATCCGTATGTCATGATCCAAGATGACTCACTAATTAGTTGTTTTAGCAGGTGATTACACAATTTGAAGCTTACACAGTAAAAAGGGGGACTAATTTGAATGTGAAATGTTTAAGATTCAGGTTAAGTAAAGATAAAGGTACATGCATATCTGATAATTCTTCTTAAGTGATACCTGTGCAAGTGCGCACAGCTATACAACTCATTAAATCCTGATTTTGGCCCAAGGCAGAGGCAAACCTGTTAGCGTATTATCAGATCCAGATTAGCCAGCCAATCATATATTAACTTTGAGTGCGTAATTCCTCACATTGCCGGGTATAAAAGGGCATCCCTTTTGAGGTTAGGCAGGTTTTATGCTCAGAGGCAATAAATTGAGGTGAGCTGAAATCAAGCAGCAATATTCGTTCTCCATCCCAATCATCATCTTATTTGTTTGTCCTCTCGATGTCCACAGATTAGTAAGCTTGATAAATGCGCATCTCACCGCATCACATCAAGATGACTCGGTTTCAGACAGTCTTTCCCATTATTTTCCAATGTTGATGAATTATGCATTTGGAGATAAAGATCACCAAATAGACATAAATCAAAGCGGATCCTTTCTTTAAGATAATAGAAACTTAGATTATTACCTAAAAAGGCTGTTTTTCACTTTTAAGCAACCAAAATTTCAAATCTTGAAATAAATCTTGATTTTTAGATATTTTGATTTTCCACGCATATATCATTCGCTGTTTTCGTCAAATAATAGTGTAAGAATGCTATTTTCACAGTTTTGTTCAAAAATGTTCTCGTTCTTCAAATAGAATATCCATGTTCTCGTGCAAATTCACATGCTGTCTCTCGCTGGTCTGCTTCTGCTTGATCCTCCTGGAGGCTCCACAAACAAGTGGTGTGCAACTACAGAGGCAACTCTTGGGAGGTCTGGCCAATGTCGATCCTCTCGAGGATCCGAGGAATCAACTCCTCTTTGAGGAGTTGGATAGCCTCTTGCCGGAGTATCATCGCAGACTTTCTGCTAAACGTGGATTTGTGCGCCTTGGCTAAACATGCAAATTCAGTTTTGTTGTATTCCCGGTCCTAATTGTGTCTAGCGACACGTCCGGAGATTATCAGCTAATAAAAATATTCATTACACAAAATCCTACTTGCTTGGTGAAAATATGATAATGAATGCAAGGTCTGAACAGAGGCGAACTGACGATCTTGGAAGCATTTGAATGAAAATAAAACAACAACATTTTTAATATACATTAATAGCGTTAGCCACCTAGTTGCTTTAATTTTAAAACAAGCCGCAGACGATATTTATTAGTGTTATTTTCAGGTCATCTATGGCGCATATTTTCAATCTAGTTTCAATAGCTATGTATATTCAAGAGTAGAGATAAATTCGATGCATGCTTTCCCACAAACATACCCTGTTTCATGGGCACTTTCTGTTTAGACTTACTTAGCACTACTGCAAAATGCAAAATGACCTATTAAACAGGAGCGAATAACCTTCTCAAGCATTAACACGCCCATCTCAGTGTTAAATATCGGTCTACTTAATTAAACTATCCAAGCTTATCGTCGTGCCGTAGGTAAGCTCGAAGGGATGAAATGGTCGTAGTAATGGGGTCCTGATGTGGCATATTTAAATAAAAACTGGTAAAATTGGTACAACTATCCAGGTGGGCAATGTAGCATTGTAGGCCTTTTGCCATCAATGATATAAAATGCACCAGACCAACTGGTATGCAACACAGTGATTGTATATGCTATCCCTCAAAAGAGTGACACGTATCCGCCCATCGTTGTAGAATAATTTTACCTATGAATGCGCTGTATGCGGTGGCTTCTGAGTGATACAACACCTGGTAAGAAATATGACATTAAAAAGAAATTGGATTCAATCAGGCGTTTTTAAGAATTTGTTTTTTAATGGGCCGAAAACGCAGTATCCTTCCAGATAACCCTATTATTTTGACAATGAAGGTTGATGCTACAAGTCATTGTTCTACTAGTGCAGACATTTTAAGGTGATTTGACAAAAGAGAACTGTTTTTGCCAGCTGTGACCAAAATAACCCGAGGGAACGTAGCCCAAATCTGAATAAGTGTTTGCACTACTTTTGGGATCACCTGGTTTGTTGAACTATGTAACTTCTTTCTAAAAGCCATGAGTTATCCTCGTCTTCCTCATTTCATGTCATCTAACATGCCACTTTTACAATAAAATAAGATACAATTTGTTTTTATTTTGATTTCTCTTTACTCCACCCTTCAGTTAACTTATGCTACTTTAGTGATAATAAGTTGGTATCATGGTCCGTTAAAATTCAATTCAATTAACATTTTGGATTTCTGTCTAAAATTGCAAGAAGACACTGTTAGTTAATAGGACGGTTCCGGGAGAATATCTTTAACTAATACCCTAAATAAGGCTAATTTTAACACCTCTTAATGTGTTGCACAGACTTATTTATTTGTGATATAGCTATGATCGACAACTTTTATGTTTGCTTCTAATTTAAATTTGACTGAAGAATCAACTTTCCCCCTTTTCCACGCTTTTTCACTCCTGTTGCTGCCTGGTTTGTCGTATGAAACATTTTGGGAGATTTTCACGAACAGTTAAGATCGGGTCTAACGCATTTTGCAATGCTTTTAAATGGTTCTTCATAAAGTTTCGATGCAAGCGCTTCGTGTGACAACAATTTATCTTCCAATGCCAAGTTTTGCATACTCACTCTGATTCATGAAAAAGCTACCTTGTCTACTCCTGATTTTACTATTATTCTAAATAGCAGTCTAAGCGATTCGCTTTTCCAGGCAGTGGTATTTGCGAAATCGAGGAACCTTTTAAAGGATTTGTGCTATCAAATGGACATAGACATGGAGAAAAGTGGTTGTCTCGGGAGATTAATGACTTATTCCTGATGTGTAAGTTGTTGGGTGATTAATGCTGCTATCCTAGAGATCTTGATTTGGACATACTGTTGTGTCACTCACATTGGTTCGCCTGTTGGCGCGGCTCGTCCTAATAAAAGTGAGTGCTGACTCAGGGGACTCATGATGATCTGTCGTCCGCAGCGCCTGATACATTTTTAATGATCACGAATTAAATACTACCTATGGGCTTCTTCAAAAGCTCCCTCTGTGAGTAAAATGTACGCTGCGCTATCTTTATGAGAAAAGCTTGCAAGGAAAAATGAGTGGACGTTTTGCTGCAGTTAAGTCAGATAAGCACCTGTTTGCGGAACGCCAATTTGCGTAGAATCATCTAAAATAGACATCAGTATTCTTCGAGTTCCTGATACTTCTTATGCTGTGAATCCACCAAATGCTAGGTCCAACACCTAAAAAGTCTTTTGGTCAATATGTACCCAATTTCAGACCCGATAGGATTTAGTTTCTTTTTTTCTTTAGTGCATGCCTTTGTGAATTTTTCGCATTTTGTACTTTATATGGCTTTTGTGAAAAGTTCCTGATTGGTACAACCTATCAGATATGCATGCTCATAGTCATTGCCTCATTATTTTGTTGTGCAATTTATTCATTAGGTAGATTCACAAAATAACGAAAACCTTTTTTGCAATCCTATTTTCCAATGCCATACAAGAAAGTGTCCTTTACTGTTCGTGTTCATTTTGGTCTTGCCATAAAAGAAGAACATCACTCGTAGTTAATCGACGTTGCCTCTTCCCCTACCATACATTCCCTATCATCATTAGTAAAAACTAGGATAGTTGACACAGATAGTAGGGACAGCATTTAGGAATCAATTTTGAAGTTGACAAAGAACCTTTTAAACAGGATGAATACAAGTGTAACAGCCTACTTATGTTATTACAGTAGAAAGATTAAATAGCTAATCCCTATTTAGGAGTAATGCAAATGTAGAACAAAGTGAATGTGTTTAGTGCGTTTAGTAACAGTCACTTATATGGTATACCTAAACTTCCTCCCTTCAATCTTTCCGCAACAAGTGTGCGGAACATTTAAGTAAAAAGGAACCTAATCAGAAAGGGGAAGATAAAAGTGGCATAAGAAGGTTTGGTGACGTTTTAAAAAAGCAGGAATTTCGGGTCTGTAATAGTAGATTTTTAACATGAATTCTTGTAGGTATCGTTTTAGGAATTAAATCAGGTGAATTATGATTTTATGATGCCATTCTCTCACAAACACTGTCGAGTGAGATTTCCTCTTCAAACAGAAGGAATGCAAAGGCACAAGAAACAAGATTCACACGCTTCATATGGCCAAGTGATTAATTTACGTACGCTACATGGATGAATATGCACGTAAGCTTCTACATTTTCATTCTTTCGTAAGTAATCAAGTTTTCCCATAGATGCTCTATCTCATATTATATCCGTCGCAACTTTGCATTGTATTCCTATCACCTTCTAAAAACATCAGACTATAATTTTACGCAATGTTGTAAGAGCCGCAGTAGTCATGCCGTTCGGAATGATACAAAGGATTTCACGGATTTACATTTTCTGTATAAATCAATGACAGGTTTATGAGTTCAAGCCAAGAAATAGCCACTGGGAGTATTGAAATCGCTACAAACAAGCTTTCCCCAGAAAATGTGTGGAACGTCTAGCGCACGTCTGACAGGGGTCCAATTAAGTGAGATTAGTCAAGCCGCTGTTTAGGAACATCGCATTAACTTCTGCGCCTAGACCATTTCTTTTGCCAATGCAGACCAAACATATTAAACATCACACACGTTAGATCATTTTTGTGGTGCCTTTACTACGACAGGTATTCCCAATACCTAGCTAAGAAGGTCTAACAATATTATACGTGGTTTGTATTAACACTGTTAAAGTCGAATCGAGCACTAATTTTCTTATCACAAATGAAATGTTTTATCACTAAGTATGATCATTTAAATTGATCGCAAACATCACAGAAGAAATTATTCTGGTAGTCCTTCTTGAAGTAGCATTCATTGTGGTATTAGTTTAAGTAAAAGATAAATTCGTTCGGTTTCACGTCAGATTGATAGACAAATTATTCTTGATTATGTACGTTTAGAAAATTGTAAGCAAATGACCCATTACTTCATACAACTATTAGAGAAAATAGGGGAAAATGAATCGTAACATGTGCATCTACTTATAGCTCCTTGGGTCATTTCTTGAACTCTTACTGCAGTTGTAATGATTCCGTGAAGTCTAAATGAGTTGAGTGCGGATCCTTCTCAGCTAGTCAATGACATTTTGTTCAGTCATAGCGATTTAGTAAGTCCATAAAATACATCCACTGTTTCGAGTTATATTACGAAACTATTTCGAATGAATCGGTCATCATGTTAACTGCAATTTGTTAAGCCTTTTAAATATTTCTTTCAATTGAAGGACAGTGTTATGCCTTGTTTTATGGACTTAAAGATGGTGACTATGAAATAAATATACATGCATTGGCTTATCCAGGCATGAGTGCAATAATCCATATGATCTTTGGGGAAATGGATTCGGGTAACATTAGTGGAAATATTTATTTGAATTTCCTTTTTGAAATTATCATTTATTTAATGTATTGAAATATTGTGTGAAACCCTAAGTAGATAGAGGTTCCAAAATATTGCTTTATGTTGCATCCAAGACAGATGGTTCATTGTTGGGAGAACTTCCATTCCGGATCCCGCGTTGTCTAATTAATCATCTGTCCACACCTTCGCATCCTCCCACGCTGTCCATCAGTCATTTTGTGTGCGCGCAAGGCGCACATTTGCACACACAACACACCTTCCACCCAATCAGCCGTAGGATTGAAGCGTGCCCGTGTGAGAAGCGACATGTGTGCACTCTGGCCTGCTATAAAGGTCGGGGTCGTGCACACACACGTCCCCACAACACAGAATGCTTCCCATCGTGATCCTCTTTGCCATATCAGCAGCCCAGGCCAACACTGTAGGCCGGTGGGACTGGTATCGCGGAGGCGGTGCGAAGAACAAGACAGCTGTGACCAGCTCTCCATTTGGGGGAACTTCATTATCCCGTCTCACCACCGCTGATGTGGACATGATCTCCAATGAGCCACCCCAATCACCTTACTTCTCGGACTGGAACCGCCTGGTGAGTGGTTACGGATCACAGCGCTGCTACAAGATCCCTCGGGGGATGAAGCTCTGTCACAAGATTGGCTACGACTTCATGGTACTGCCAAACAGCCTGGAACATGAGACCCTGGATGAGGCGATCACACAATCGGAGGTATGGCTGACTCTAGTCAACCTCGGCTGCCACGACGAGCTAAAGCGTTTCCTTTGCTCTCTTTATGCCCCCGTCTGCATTAACGGCTACCACGAGAAGTTGATCCAACCCTGTCGGGAATTGTGCGAGAGCGTGCGAGCCGCCTGCCTGCCCACCATGACCACTTTCGGTCTCGGATGGCCCGATATCGTCAAGTGCTCTAAGTTTCCACAGGCTCCGCAAGAGTTGTGTATACCACTCAACAAGCACAAAAGTAAGATTGCATTTTTCAGAGAAAGCGAAACCTGCATAACCTTAAAAGTAAAATGACCAAAAATACAAGAAGAGTTCTTAAGGGAAGCAACTATTATAAAATGTCAAATGTGGCCAAAATTAAGTAAACAATAGCGTGCTTATGTGTAAGTTAGCAGTGCTTTAATTTTTTACTGTATTTCCCTATTTCAGAAGACCTTACATCGAGAAACTGAGTAGACTTGATTTCATTTAAAATATTTCGAGAATTTAAAATCTAAATTTGAAACTAAAGAACCCTTTTTAACAGGAGGAATTAAATTGTGGATTTAATGTGCAAATGTAATCCAAAAAGCCTGTTTTCAAGCTATTTTAGTGCTATCACTTCAATGTAACTCATAAGTTACTGATAAGTCGCCAGTTTTCGTTTTCGCCAGTCTGACAACTCCCTTTATCATAACATAGAGTGAAGAGAAACTACTCTAATCGACAAAATCATTTTTCTATTTATGGTCTTATTATTCAATTTTTGATATGCCTTTGGGAGACTTTTTGATGTATATTAGGTTGTTTGATGATTAAATCAACTGATTCATTCCATAATTTCATTTCCCTCCGTGTAGACAAGACGATTATTTTAAACCCAGGTGATTATTTGACAAAATCATAATGCTTTGCCTGAAGTTTTGGCTATGTACGCATGCTATAGTGGTGATTTAATTACAGTGTCTTCAACTATGATTTTTTTGCTTTGCCGAAATCTGATATAATGATTGTCCGCTCGTGGAAATCGCGGCACCAGGCTGCTGTCAAACTGCAAGCAGTTAAGCAAATTTTTAATCTTGTCTTTTCGACTATTCACTTATTAATAATACCCAATTCCCTAGTCCAAAGCCTTGCTTGCAATCGTTTTGTTTATAGAATACTCCTAATTTTATGTTAAATATGAAATTGTAGTTTTTGGGAGAGTAGGTGTCAGATAGTGGGTTTGTAAGTCGCTAAACCATCATGCTCTTCATAATTGTGTATAAAGAACTTCTCAGTACTTAACGTGCTTAAAACTTGCCTGTAATGTGCTTGTAAACACAAGCGTACTTAAAAACCCATCGATTATGTTTGCCATAGTCGTCAGCACCTTGTGATGCAATGCTACGTTCGGTCTGGTTATGAAATGCGTAAAGAGTTGTTCCGTTGCCTTTTTTCCGTGTTCATTGAGTGCGCATGTAAACACTGCCACACATGAAGCACTTATTGCGCTATGCTGCATTTCAACTCCAATAATAATGTAAAACCGAGTCACTTTGAGATCTCCTTTTTGAGTTTGGAATATGTTTGCGTAAGGATTTCATATTGCAATATTTTCAGTGGCTTACGCAACGGAGGATGTTTACGTGCTTGCATGTTGCAATGCGTGTACTATACGAGTGCGCGTGAGGTGATGAATTTATGCTGGGCGGTTTGAAGCCAAACCTTTAAAAACCCCAAAACAATGGTCATGTACTGCGCTACTAAAGTTCTGCAATCCACCACGGCTGCCGGTTTCTTATCAAAACCAAAAGTCATTGCGGCAGTTGCAGAGCAAAACTGTTTTGTAGGCCACATCTGATCGTAGCGGTACTGCCACTTGTCGGTTGTCATTCCCGGGCATAGATGGTCTCATCAGCGTGATTTTGTCACAATTGTCCTCCACAGTATGTAGTGTTTACTCTGTTTCCTCCATGACCTCCTCATCTACAGTTCCTAAACGGAAATGACTCAGTGAAGTGTATGATATATTCTAAAACCACACTCAAAATAATTGCAAATTATCAATAACGCCATTCTGAGACCATCATAAACGCATTACTCGGATCCTACTGGTTCATTTCTCTCGCATTTTGACTGGATGAATAGAGCGTTAACGACTTTTGTGTCAAATTGTTTTGTGACTACGACACAGTTTATGCAGCCTTTAAAAAAGTAGCAACAGTAGCTGGCTAAAAAGAGAATGTAAATGCACGTGGTGATTGATAATAAACCAAGCCTCCATAGAGCGAGTTGTACACTACATTTCGGTAAAAATGATGATTTCGTATACAACATATATTGCTTTCCATCACAGCAAGCTGTTGCATTTCACCGAGGCCAAGCGATGACATATGTCAAGTATGGGCAGCTGTTCCTCGATATCATTCATTACCCATGGGCTGACTCATGTAAAAGGAATACCGTATGGTAATTTATATTTCGGGATTTTTAAACTAAGTAGTTTTCTCACTTTTCGCCTGGTATGTTCTGTGGAGAATTTATATGGGCCCTTATATAATCTCACTGATCATGGCGATAAACGCTCATAAATTTTGGTGGTGCTGACAGTAGTTCTAACATTTCAAAAATATGAAACCAATTATTTGCTTTCTAGCTCCCAAAGATTAGGAGCTTTCTTAGCCAATTGAATAAATAACTAGAATTAGGTCCAAAGGTTGTCTTATCCACAAACCATTTTCCAAAAGCTTAAAACAGAACTTTCTTCCGTAAGTGAACTTGTATTTTGGTACGCCTTTGGCTTCTGCGCTTCGAAGATGATTTCTGTGTGTCGACTAGCAACTGTCTTTTTGCAAATTTTCCTCTTTCTAGAGATCGCCTTGAAATGTGCGCGTGTGTAGTTTGCATGAAATATAGCAATAGTTTGCTGTCCTATATACTTGCAAATAAGCGACAAATTTACATTCCAAATATTGTAGAAACTCGCTGTTCAGGATGCATCGACAGACCGACCTACGAAAGCGCTATTGGCAGCTTTTGCACAGCCGATGTCGGTAAGATTATTTACAGTGACACCAAAATTTGACCTCATCTCTTTTTTGTGATCGTGGGTACAAACGGTTCATTGCATAAGCCTTCTGATCAAATGCAGACGTCACCTGTACTGCTAATAACCAACTTTCCTATATCGCACATGTCAAGGGGATCATAGCAGTAGAATCATATTTTTAATATGAAAAGCGTTCAGCTCAGGTTCGATGGTTAAATTCCACTTCTTGCTTTATTTAAATTAAGCGGAATGAAAGTACCTATCACTACACAATCCTTATTGAGGAAGTTGGAAACTACCATGGCTATATCTTTAATGGTCGTTTGAGAGATACTGATAAAATTCCTTAAAAAAGTTGATGATGAAATGTGTGCGCGGTGCCTTTAAAACGCTTACTGTCAAATACTTTTAATTTGGCTTTTGACAGCTTCTACTAAACGGTAATACAAGGCTGAAAAAGTCATTTTGCAATTGGACGTTGGACATGTAACGGAGCAAAGATGTGCATGCATCGCCTTGTAAATGGGAAACATCTCTCCTGTTTATTTATTTTTAGTGCTGTTAATCCAAACGCATGTCATCTACGTTCTTCATCCATCTCGGAGATAGTAATAGAGGCGTAAAACTGTTCACCAGTATTTTGGGTCATGTTATGCTTAAAGGCCGGGAGTTTTTTATTTAGCATCCAAAAAATTACTTATTTTTCTTTGGTAACACTTGTGCCTATCCTGCACTGCTTCAGGTGAAGCAAAAGTAAATTTGTTTCCCCAGTAATTCGGGCCAAAGTGTTGGATCTTGTGCCCACACTCCCTTCAAGTGGTCACAACACAACTCACAGGATCAGAACGACCGGCAGAGTAGGCGCTTTCAAACTGCCCAAGACCCTTAACTCCGTCGTAAATTTGGACTTTGAAATGGAGTGTGACTGTCCGATTATCAGAGCGGCATTAACTCGACAAAAGGGACCGGGTCGGTGGCTTATGATGGGCAAACTGAATGATGACAGAAGAACGGTTACAGTAAGCTCAAATGAAAGTAGTCTAGAATTTTCTGTATCCATTTTGCCGTCCTCACAAGGAACAGCTCCTGAAGTTGCAACACCACTCTTTTCCGACTGCAGTATGTAAAAATGTAAGCCATTGATTTCACGGTATGGACGCATCCATTAATGTACCAGTGAACTTAACGAGCATTTCTTGCGGTGATTGAGGGCATCGATTAGCGTGAATTTGGCGTTGCTTCGATCATCCTAATTGTTGTGTTTTACACTGTACAGGTTCAGCACATATCCCAGCCCTCTAGACAGAACGCTGGGATAAAGCGCGCCATCAGAGATATTCGCCGTCGTCCAGATTCTCTTTGCAAGGTAGATCTTATGCATCCCAACCCTGTAGCGCATTCAAGAGCTATCAGCAGCCTATCCTCGCCCAGCTCAATGCAGAGTTTGCGTCCCCAAAGCCGCCAGTCGCGAAGGTATCGACCGCACCTAAGTCCTGAGGAGCGACGGCGGCGACAATTGCGACGCAGGCGCAATCATCCCCGAGGCTCATCGCCAGAGGCGCAACAACGCGCCGCTAACGTGACCCCCTCCAGAAAACCTCCGCAATTGCAACAACAACCCATTAACGACATACCGATCCTGACACCAACCCCACGACCTTTTAGCCACCACTTCCATCGGCGGCAGCTGCAGCAAAAGCGTATGGGCTACCTGCCACAAACCCAATGACGGTCTACACCCCAGAAGCTAGTAACTCGGGTTAAGGGTATGTCATCACTCCTCGCCATCAAACAATGAACCCACTCTCATCGCCAATCACCTTCATCTTTACGCATCCACTCAATTTAAACAATATCACAGATCCCATTCTTGTAGCGTTGCGCAAACAGCAGACATTGGCATGCATTAAATAGTGTGAGAATAAATAGTGATTTTGAACTTTTTCATCTCTTCCTCCCAATGCTGGTTGGTCTTTCTTTGGTTTCATTTTATCTATTATATCCTATTCTTTTTTGCGTTGATATGCGATGCCCCGTTTAGTTTTGTCCACTTTATGCTAATGTTCCCAAAGAGAAAAGATCAAACATTTCACAACTGGCCATGATTATAAAATTACTCAAATTACTCATCGGACGATATTTTAGTTGAATAATCTTAACAAATTGTCACTGTTGAATGTTTAGCGCCCTGACATCATAGCACATAATTGTGCTAGAAGCTATGCTGCTAAATATCAAGGTTTTAGGAGTTATACAACTGGGCTTGGATGTAGCCAGTGTGTGGCAAGACATGGGTATACCACTCAAGCGTAAAGTGATGAGTAAAAAATTGTAGTAACCCTGGACCTTGTAATGCTTACAGCATCGATCCCTTGGGGATGTTGACTGGTTGAGCTGAGTGAACAAATACGGATAAGAACTATTTGGCTTTCAAAGGTTACTGCCCCTTCCCTGGTTCCTGTCTGTGCTGAATGCTTGATTTCGTTTTATACACCATGCCAAAGAGAGGAATATTACAGTCACAAGGCAGAATATCGGATGCCATCAGTGCGCGCATTTGGCGTCTAAAATATTTTCAGGAATTCCATTTCATTAAATGCACGGTGAAGGTTAAACCATATTTGCTGTGGAGCAGGATCAAAGCTGGAATAAGGAATTTTATGAAAGGAAGGTAAGTATACGTAAAGAAGCCTCAATATAGTGCGCACCTCAGGAAAAGGAAATTAAGAAGAGCGCAAATGCGCGCATCGCGGGCCAAATTTGTTGATGGAAAGGCAGGATTGAAAGTACTTATTTGGAAACCGTCTTCCCTTCAAGGGGCAAATCTACCTTCCAAAGGGTTTTACCAACAAAGTGGATTTGTTATTTTGAAGTGTTTTCGCAGCTTTAAATGCTCAACCAGTCCTGTCGATGGGGCATTCGGCCAGTATGACTACGGAAATAAAAAAGCATAACAGAGCCGAATAGGTGTTCTTTTTTTTCAAAAGCGTGGTTCCGATAAGGCAAGTAAAAGCTTCATTAAACAAGTTATTATATGCCAGTTTAATAACTTCGCTGTGATTATGTTTAGTATGGAGTTGTAGTAGGGCTCTTTGTATTGAGAAAATCAAGGGGCAACATCACTAATTGCATTCCTCGGGGAAATTACCAACCCTATAATGGTTTTGAAATGAAAAATAGGGCAGTGTTTCTCCGACACTCTTGTTCCTATGCTGGCTAAGTCACAACGATCCGTTAGAGTCAAAAACGTTCCACCTGGTCTGGGAAATTTATTATACCTCCGGACGGCAGGAAACATGCGGTCGCAAAGAGGAGACGCTGCGTGCGTAGGATGTAATCTGTCCTGCTCTGCCAACAGTCCTCCTCTGCCTCTTGCACACTCCTGCCACCACCCAATCCCCTCCCATTTTCCCGATCCTCGGCGTGGTACCAGCGCCGAAATGCACGCTTTGATATGCCGCGGCACAAATGGGCGGAAATCGTGGAAAAATGGGCTCTCCACATATGCGTACATGTACGTATGATTAAAAAGCCGAGGTCTGTGCTGTTAATCGATGTGCATGTACGATTCCTTTGTGTTGCCTTTAACAATTGTCCCAGCCAGTTGAATGGTTCAATTTCCAGCGCATTAATGCATGGTAAAATCCGCACGCAAATAGCACCAACTGAAGTGTGTTTCACATTGGCTTATTCAGTAATACATCCTCCTTGGTTTTGTACTTTACTTCAAGACCAACTGAACCGAATTTTAAACAATGATTTCTCCCTGGGTATCACTGATGCATTAGGTTTGAAAGCTCAAAATGAAGTTTTTTTTTGGGTCTGAATTAAGTGCAATTCAGTATTAAGGCACCTTATGTATCATTTAACTGCCGTGTCTTGATCATTCGGAAATTCATTTGCATCCAACCCTGAACAACCAAAGTTACTGAAGCAACAAACTTGACTGCTTAAATTTCCGCCTCGTTTTTAATTACGTAATTTGTTAGTTCTTTTATTGTGACGTTTCTTCCGTGAGAATTTGATGAGTTTGAATGAAAATTTAGGACGATTTCGCGTGGGGTTGTAGGGAGAACATAGCTAGCACGAGGAAGAGAGGAGAGTTCGTGTCTGTCCACCATCCGTTGCTTCCGGGTCATTTAATTGACGTGTGGACACGCGCATGCGCATGCCGGGGTCAGACAAATCCCTCAGCCAGGCGTTCCTCCTGCCCTTCGCCCCAATCTCCCAAACTTATTACATGTCCAGGCTGCAGTGGATGAAAATCCAGGTCGCCTGCCTCTATTTTAACGTTTTCTCTAACATGTAAATGTATATTTACGAAACTATTATTTTGTGAGGCTGTATGATGTTAGGTTTCTGTACTCAATTAGCCGAGGCATTTCTTTGTCCGAACACGTGATTAGGTAGTGGTTGAGACCTAACATTCCTGGAAAAATTAGTGCCAAAATATTACATGATTGCTCAGTAAATCAAATTTCCCAGTTCAAATGATGAATATACTGGATAAACTAGTCGTAACAAATGGCAAGTGTAATGGCATCTTATATTTTAGCATTTATATAATCGGGAACGTGATGGACATTAAATAGCACCCATTAATAAGCTGTTTACCTACAGCATGTGAAAGTTACTTTCGTGGATAGTAACTCATATACCATAGGCATATGCACCTGCTTCCAAGTGTTAGGGCCTCTTTTTACAGATATCTGAATAGCATCCAATGCAAACTCCATTTTGTAATAAAGATCAAATACCTATGTATATGCAAACAATGGCTGTCAGATCATGAATGTTGACACTAAGGTCCAACTGTGCTAACCATATCAGTTAAACTGATGCAGTCAGGGAAATGTTTAGGTCGTTGGTTTCAATCTCATTGATTGAGTGATTTTCTCATTGCCCCTGTTGTTGAAAATTCTCACCATGTTGGGGAATTGGCCATCAGCACCATATACTAACAAGTCAGCCGATAGCTTACTTACCTCACAACCATGAAATCCTGTTTCAACATACTCTCGCTTTCTAGTCTTATTTACTAGCCATTCTCTGCATTTACATACTGGTCTTTTGTTATTTTTGCCTTTTCCAGTTTATTTTAACAATGCTTTTAAGTGAAATTTAACCCGCCACTTTCATAACGTAAACTTTAGTTCGGACATCGCATCAGTTAGCTGGAGCGCAGAAGGCAATGTTTGCTCTTTTGCAATATTTGCTCTTTTTTCCATTATCACTGGTCCTCTAGAGTGACCGAAAGTCTTATCAATCCCCTAAGTACGTCTTTGAAAGCGAGGATACATTTTCGCGTAGACAAACAAACCTCAACCCCAAATTGGAATTCATCCTCGAATTTCAAAGGTTCATAAAAGTTGAAGTTTAGTTGTTTAAAATAGTAACAAAAATAACTTAAATCTACAATACCTTTTCTTAGTGTGATGTTATAAATGATCACGGGAAAGTACGCGAACTGGTGATTTTATAATAACATGGTATACTAAAGGACTTACGAAGATTGCGGCAGCATAGTCGAGGCTTCCTTGGGCGGATGCTTAGTCGCCGAAATAAATTCCAGAATTTAACGAGTTAATGCTATCTAGAGGAGCTGATTTTCGGAAAACCGGTGCTGACGAGCTAAGCAGCATGTCTACAATCTTATCAGGATGATTAGACCATGCTGACAGAAGTAAGGAGGTGTTTGAAGTCAGACACTCAGAGGGTAAATTCACATTTATTAATCCATTGCTTTGCTTGGCTATATCTGTACGCAATGAGATAACCGATTTGCACGATGGATGCAGTAACATATTTCGGTCTGATCAAAGAAACACCCAAGTTGTGCTCGCCTCTAAACCGCGAACTCTGCTTGTAACGGTAGAACTGAACCAGATTTGGATACAGCACCATTGTGTGATAGGGACTTTCTCATGGTTCGAAATGGTTCCACTTTCAAGGATAGGTATATACTCATGTTAAAATTTATTCCGAGAATGTGTCATACTATTTTAGCAATACACTTCCAGGGTGTTTATTTCTCGGAGCTTCGACCACAACTTAGAGTACATGCTACGTAACTTTTCAAGTTAAGTTTATGGCGCTCAACAATTGTACAAGTCGATGTTGCAAGCAAAAAGTGGTTTAACAATCTGTGATAATCCCTCAAGTATTTCTCTGACAATGTCTCTTTCAAAACACGCAACAACCCTATAAAAGCATGCTTTCCAAAGAGAGGTGCCTTGAACAACAAAAACGGCGTAGTGTTAAAGGGAGGTACTGATTCAGTATTTTCGATGTACTGGAACGCTTTAGCTTTGTAAATTAGATATCTAAAGCAGAGGAACGCGAGATTTTGCTAATTTTTGTACATCCAGTTAACATCCATCAGAGCTCGTCAATGTAATGTGTTGTGTTGTATGCACGTGTGCGCGGATTGAAAAGAAGTGGCCCAGTTTGGCAAACGCAATGTATTATGCGTTGCTGTTATTTGGAGTAGCTCGAGAAAGAAGCCATGTCCGAAACACTTTATCCCACTCCTTCCTGCTTGTTCCTGGCCTGCTTCCTTCCTGCTAAAGGGTCGCGGAGTCTTGACAGGAGGAATTGCAGTGTTTGCGTGCGTTGGCTTGTGACCGTTTTTCTCCCACGACTACGTTTTTTTTTTGGGAATTTTTCTTGCAGGAGTTTGGCAATGGATCAGGGCCATTCCCTTCCGTCTTTCTGCCGTCCCCACCTCCTCCCCTGCCTCACCGCTCCCTCCTACCCATCTGATTGCCTGGCGTTGGAGAAAGCCTAGAAAGGCTGACCGCCCGGATTCCTCAGCAAAAGCACACCTTCCCAACGTCTCTGACGGTTAAACCTTCTCAAAAAGTTACGCATGCATACAGTATAACGCAATGAATCCTAGATGATATAGCAATGGTTAACATATTCTCCTGCTGACGAAAAGTGCTAGAGAGCGAGTCTATACCTACCCTGTGCTTTCTGATAGGACTAAGAAAACCCCCTTGAAGCACAAGATTGCACCGATAATAGATGTTGGAGATAAATTAGTCCATAGAAATGACTCGTCCCCCCTAAACAGTTGGTAACCTGCACACTTCCATCAATGACCCATAGAGAATCATACTGTTTGTGAATTTAAGTAAACCAGATACGTACAACTGTCTTGGTGTAAATAATCCCGCATTTATGAATCGCTATCATTTGTCATGCTGACTAATTCCTCCTTGTCTGATCGAAGCCAATTAATCAGGAATAGGGAAATGAGCGAAAAATTCCATATTAAAGAAATCAGATTTGCGGACTTCAGGAATTCAGAAACCTACCATGTCCTTCAGTGTTGAAACACAAAACACTAGTAATGACGCAAATTATTAGAGCGCGTGACCAACCTAACTAAAACCTAGCAAGTCATTCGACTGAAATGGACTTTCATATTAGACCACTTCCTCTGACCGCGCAGCTGCAATTCCCCATCACTGCAATTCTCGACTTACCGAGGATAATGGTGGTTCTAGAATTCCAAATTAGTAAATTTGGCAAGCTCAAGAACATAGATGCGTATGCGATTCGGTACGAGCATTTCACTAATCGTAGACAACTCGAAAAGGCCAGAGATCTAATGGGAATGAACACAGAGCCTTACTCACAGATAGAAAAACCCAACACCGGAAACCAAAGTGCGAATTCCCCTTTCTGTTCCACAAGCAGGCGAATTCCACCCGAGTGAAAATAAACTTTTCTTCCAGGAGCTTGAAACACACGAATTCAAAACTAGTTAGTAGCCGAAAGCAAATTCACAATCGCAAATGATCAGCTTGGGGGCCAAATTCAATTTTGGATCAACTGCTCTACCCACTCAATTGAGTAGAAACAATGAGTATCTGCAATGATGCATAAACCTGTGACAAGAACTTCAAAGTGGGAAGGCTGGAATACGATAAACTGACATTCCTAAAAGACTTGAGAAGGGGACGAACGGCCACAATGAACATATCAGATGGAGGCTAAAACTAAGCGTTGGGTAAGCACAGAGAGCTCGGAAACGGGTTACTGTTAGTTGGATAAACATGGAAAGTCAGCAAATGTAAGGTGAAAAGATGCAGATGTAGCAGTCAAATGTTACCCCAAAATTATGTATTTTAGTGATAGGATGGACAGGAGTGGGGAAAAACTTCTAGATTCATCGTTAAAACCACACGACACATGGAATATAACTAAGTCAGAGACTGTACAGCGAGCATGCCGAAAAAGTAGGGATACGTCGCAAACACTACTGGAACATGAACCGCCCGCTAGTTGAAGGTTGACTGGCCGGCGACGAGCCAGGAACTGTAGGCTGATTGATGCCCAGCTCGGAGGCGTCAGTGCCGCCAGAGAAGAGGTCGCTCAGAAAACCTCTACCCCTGCCTCCTTCAGAGAGTGGGGATTGTTCCTCCGGCATGTCTGGTTGTTCTTAAATTCGGAAGGAAAATGTGCCTATTAATAAACTGTAAGTAGGACGTAAAACTGCAAAATAACGAGGCGAAATAAACACGTCAGCAAGTGTCTGTTCGCGATAACGACTATCAAAACTAGAAATTGTCACTGAATCCACTGATAGCATATTCGAGGCATACTTATACGTGATAAAATGGGCCTACTTTTGAAGGGCAGATCACCCAAAGTAAAGTTTAACCACACAATAAGCCAATTTGATCAGAAAAGACAAAGCTCAAAGAGGTGACCTTGGGTCAGCAAAGAATTAGAGAAATAATAAGAACGATTGAGACAGTAATACACGAATGTGGAATGAGCATTGCAGTATACAAACTTAACCTTTAAGTATGGAATGAAAGAACTTCTGTAAAACATGCAACACTGGGCAGAATTTGTAAACAAGCAAAACATACGCATAAGCATGGGAGCGAAACGGCTCATCATGATTCCAAGTCCTTCAATGATAGCGAGAATTATCCCACCAATGACAGCCTGTCCAGCCATTGCGGCGGGCCCATGACGAACAGCGAGGACAGCGCCCGTGATGGCCCCGCTGGTGATTGAATTCCAAGGATCCTCCTTCTTGCGCACGAATACTAGAGTGCAATCTACGGCAGTGAACATACCACCCCATACGGCAAAAGCGCCGCCCAGAAGAGGCGCTTTTATGCGACTCTGAGCAAGCGCAGAAGAGAGCTTGCGAAATCTCCCCGTTGGAGCGTTCCGATAGCCCTTGTAGGCGTGAATAAGGCCACCACCTATGGTCCCCATCGCAAAAGCTGCACCGCAATCGCTGATTATTCGGAAAGGACTATTGGAAACAATGGACGAACAATATTTAGGATACAGACAAACAGCCCTTTCCTGATGGCAAAAAAAGACGTAAAAGAGGGGCACTGTGTACTCCAGCAATTAAAATTATGAATGGAACCGACATACTGCCCTCTTCTTGAGCTTAAAAGCACAACGACGCAAGTTAACATTTTCCTAGAAAAAACTATTTGTGACACTCAAAGTGGACTGGTTACAGCATCAAGAAGCCTCCAACAGGACAAAAGTATGTACACAAAGATAATGCGCACCAAGGTTCTCTGGCGTACTCCTCCATCACGCTAGACGGCGAAAAACGAGCGCGATGTTGGATAGTCCGCTAGAAGTAAATAAAACAAACAACGGGTATCAAATATCAAACACCATGGAAATATTTACCATTGTTGTTTTAGAGAACCCACGGCGGCAAAAATAGCAGAGATATGGTAAAGTACAAAAAACTGCCAGAAAATGGTGGAAAAATCAGGAGAGTTACCAATAGACTGATTCTGAGCAATTAACCCTTAATAGATACTAGTTACAGAAGCCAAGCCGTGCTAACCCAGCGAATGCCTAACTAAAACTTTAATAGGCATCGGGCAAAATTCCTTTTTTTCCACCTCACAACCTCATTTTTATCAAATTGGTAGTATTGTTTAATTCCAACGCCACCTATCCTTTTAAAAAGTCAAAGCAGAACAACTTTTATTTATATAGAATAATTGTATCAGGACTTTTAGGCAAGTGTTTAATTGCTCAATCTGTATGGTTGCAAATACAAATAAACTCCCTCAAAGCATTAATATTTCGGTGATTTAGGCTGTTGTTTGAGGGCGTTGAATATGTGTATACATTTTGGACGAAATATCGAAAAAGGTTACTTGAATACAAATGTGATGCTCCTCACGGGCGAAAGTGATTGTTTTAATGGGCCCCACTCTCATTTGTGGATTTTTGGACGATGGGGGACTACGAGGATTTCCGGGCCAGGAAGACATTTGTTGGTGCCTACCGTGACTCCTTTGAGTACAAGTAGTTGGCTTTATGTTTGATTTTATCCTTAGTCAAGTGAACACTGATTCCTGTGAGAGTTCTTCAGTCTCTACGCTTTTATTTAATGATATGCCGGCCTCCGTATCGGAGCGCGATGTAAGTCATTTAATGCTTTATACCGTAGTTGAGGTATGCGCTCGAGGATGAAAAAGTCAGGTTTATTGACTTACGTTTCATGAGGGACAAGTCAAGGTGTTTTGCTTTTGTTGACTTTGCTTCGGATGAAGCTGACAACTTAATTCGCAGCTGCCGGGTTCGCGTCCTCAAGTTTCTGATTTTTTCCTTAGAATGAGATAAAAGTTCGCGGCTTCAAAGTGCTTTTTGATTATGCTGATCCCAAGGACGAGGCTTTGAGATTCGAACGTGGCCACGTTAGTGATTCCCGTTTTTCGGGAAACGTTGAAGAGCCAACTTCCAACATTATGGTTCGTGGAATACCATCGGATATCGACGAACGCGATGTAAGGATGCTTGAACCTTGTTGGATAGGAATAAAACTGTAGATAATTGAGGAACTCAATCGGAACAATATCCGCTACGCCGATGTCCGTGTTATTCGCGATAGATTAACAGGTTGGTTGCCGGCAAATTTGTTAAAGCCCTCCGGTTTGCCAACTTGTCGCTGGTATTTGTCCTGCTGTGGTCGATGAGTGATTTGCATCTAGTTTGGTCAATGGATTGCGAATATTGAGGGAACTAATCTCTGGAGTCGATGTTTGAAATGGCTTTTGTTCTCTATCATGTCTGTCCTTTCCGGGAACTTTGTTGCCTCTGAGGGCTATCGGTGATAATGCTGTCAGGTCTTCTTTTCAATAGGTGTGTCGAGAGGCTTCGGCTTTATCGAATTCGCTTCCACGCAGGAAGCCATTCATTGGATGGATGCGCAAAAAGTGAATCTCTTTCAATGTGCCGAAGTCGACTTCGTATCAATGAGTCCATTTGTTATATTTTTCACATTTCGTAGTACTCTTTCAAGGTCCTCAGATAGCGACTCAGTAAAAAATGCTACATTTGCTCCTTTTTTCTTGTATTTTAGGGACTCCTGCATGTACACCGGCATACCATGCGTCTCAATTTCAGCTCCCCGCGAAATCAGCCTGATTCCAATAGAAATGAGACTAATCATCGCGAATCCCGTTTTGGCAACAGTCACAATTTCACTCCCGAGTCGCTTGCTTCGGGCGATTGGAAGTGCTTCAGGGTGGGTGTCAACTTCTGCCTTCATATTCTGGTCCATTTATCGATGCACTGAGACTGCCGGCGTTGTCCTGTTCTCAATACCCTTGTGTATACGCTTTTCCGTGACTTCTTTCGACAAACATTCCTAGAGCATTGCACTAACGGAATCGCCCATTGGTGTTGGTTAATACTGCTTTAGTGCTCGAGTCACAACTTCAAGCGCCGCGAAATCTGTTTTCGCTGTCAACATCCGCGTTCGCAAGCTCAGCCAGACGCAAGCGCCTACACTTCAGATGGATCTGATCTCGTTGGAACAACTCCGTGCAATAGTAAGTCAGAAACTTCTGATAGGTTGCAACTGTGTTCATTTGTGCGTGTCATATTTCACCTCAATTATAAGCTTAGGTTGGGTTATTGTAATTTTTTAGGCAATTCTGCCAGAGTAAGTCTCAAATCTTCGTTTTAGCTTTGATTTTGCGTTGTTTGGATGCATTTACTGCGGAATCGAGCATCCAGGCTGCTTTCATCGATCAACACAATGTCCAGATTAAAAGGTGCTATGTCTTGCGTGATAGGAACACCAATACTTCACGTTGCTTTGCTGTTGCGGAGTTACCAACCGTTGCCGATGCTTACAAGGTAGTAGATACAATCATGAAGGAACATAAAATTTTTGAAATAGAAGGCAAAGCCATCGCCATCAATTATGCCAAGAATAACTTCAAGTGAGTTCTTTCCAGGCATCGCAGGTTGGAGATGCTTGGGTTGGGTTCTACTCGAGGACTAGATGAGTTTTTTGGTGGTTTCATCTTTGTAGATTTTCTCAGGTTAATTTATTTTTCCCAGTTTAATTTATGCTCGAATCTAGTCACTTTTCTCAGCACAATCATGGCTACACTGAAAACGGAAGGTTCCTTGAGTGAGCATGTACTCGCAAGTCATTCTCAACCGAGTTCATCGTTGCCTAACGTTATTGGGTACACTACGTATGCGGCGGGACAGATCTCAGTGGCACCACCGCCTTTGTCCACCTCTGGCGTTGCAGTCGCACAAGCGGCCATACAGATGAAACAGACGGAAGCCCGTCTTGCCTCGATTGTTGCCCAGTCGGTGCACCACCCTCAAGGTCTTCTGGGTTATCCCCCTCAACAGGGCGGCTCTACTGTTCGTCCGCAGACTTACTCCAGTACTTTGGCTGGTTTTCCGGCTCCGACGACGCCGTTTAACGCCCTTACAGCTGCTAACACAGAATATCGTAAATATGTCTGTCTAAACATTCAATCCTTTGTATTGAAATGGTCACCTTCAGACACTTTTTTGTGCTTTGCACACCTGCTTGATGCCTCTTCCTCGAATTGCTTAGCTTAATTCAATCATTTTTTGTACTTAACCCATAATTTCACTTGCAGCGTTTCCTGATACTACAAAGTTTCTTTACGACGAAACAATCCGCTACTACTATGACCCACTAACTGGTTTACTATATGAACCCAACACTCGCTATTTCTTCGATCGTGCTACTCAGCAGTATTACCACTACGATGCCTCACGAAGTCTTTACGTTCCTGCTTCACAAGTCGTCAATCAGCAAAATCAAAGTGAAGGTACCAAGAGCATCGAGGAACCTATCAAGAAAAAGGAAAAGAAGGATAAGGAGAAAACTGCTCAAAAGATTGCTAAAGAGATGGAAAAGTGGGCTAGGCGCATGAATTCGCAAAAAGAGGCTCCTGTCGCGGTCCCTAGAGTTGAACAAGCCACTGTGAGCGCTAATTGTCTTCCACCGGATTCTGCTTTGTATTTGTGCCAATTTTAGCTTTTGCGTTTGACAGTTTATTGCTTTCAACACACACTTATGCATCGGACATCTATTTTTTTCTGTTTTGAGCAGTCTGAAGATTGCAAGACGGCGGACATGGGTTATGCTATACTTCAAGCGGCATCCAACGCAACCATTTCAAGCGGTTCACCGACAACCACAGGTTTAGTAGCCCAATATGGCGGCGAAGACAGCGAGGAAGATGATGTCACTCAGTCGGATGAAAAGGAAGTAGAAGCTCAAGTTACTGCAGAAGAGTCGAAGTAAGCATTAATCCTACCTTAACTAATAACCTTGGTTTTTTATTAGCATGACTAATTGTTCAGTCCATAAACCACAGGAACTTAGTCGTTAGCGTGCGCTGCTAACACTTGGGAACGGTTGAGAGTTCATGTTCAACTTAACTGGTTGTGCTTCAGACTCATGGATTGGACAAAATTGGCTTGTCTTTTGTGTTCTCGTGGATTCAAAGATGTGGAGACAATGCAGAAGCATCGCGTTTTCTCTAACCTTCATCTCCAAAACCTAAACAGGCTTCGTTCCAAATTTGGTCTCAGAGAGTTATCTGCACTGCCCGCACAGCAACAGCAGCAATCGCAGAAGCTTGAGACGCAGACCCATGCTGATGCAATTGAATCGTTAATGCAGTTAGGTGCTGCCGCCGCTAGTAGTCACGCAAGGGATGTGGCAGCTAGTAGACATCAACCTAACTCTCTTGGTGCGGACCCATCCCTACCTTATGGTTCTGCCTCTGGCGGGCGCTACCGAGACAGGGCAAAGGAGAGGCGGGAGAAATTTGGCACCGCGCCACCGTCAAGACTCGATCACCAAGATGTTTCGATAAAGATCCCTTCTCCTCGCCTTGCTGTGGATGCACCGTCTGTGCTCACCTCTGCATCGCCCACAGCTAGTAATGGTAGGGTACGAAATCTACCATTCATTCTCTGCTTTAAAGTCTGTCTGATTGCACTCGAAAACACTTTAAATTTTTAGGTACTGTTGGTGGTAACGTAGGCAGTCGTCTAATGGAGAAAATGGGCTGGCAAGCGGGACAGGGTCTGGGAAAGTCAAATCAAGGTCGAACGCAGCTGGTTGAGCCAGAATTCCGCGAAGTTGGCGTTGGCCTGGGCGTCAAGGTCTCTAAGCGTCTCCCTCCTGCGGATAACTATAAGGATAACGTGAAGCGTGCCATGTATGCTCGTTACCACGAACTTGGGTGAAGCACATCATGCTTCAAAGTCGTCGACCGTGGTGTCAGTGTACAGTATAAATAATACGTTCGAGTGATGCCCTTATTTGTGCTGTGTAATGCGGTAGGGGATGACCGTTTCAGAGCTTTTGGCACTAAACGTCGATTACGACTTTTCCTGCAGTGTGCACTGGGTTGCAGCGCGTCGGTGGCGTCGTTGCGACGCACCTGCGAGGCCACCGATCCCGCTTTCCTCTACAGGTTTTACTTGCGGTTTCCTATGGGTTCGCTCGCGACCAACTTTTGCGATATGGGGGATAGCGTTGTTTGGACGCTGCGTTTCTCGCAGACATTACCGCAGTGGGGTGGCTGTAACCGCTCGCTCACTGCCGTTGCCAGCTCAGCAGCTAAGCCGCGTTGGATTTTGAGCATTTCGAGGACTTCGACGCGCAGTATAGATATGGGTGTTTTACACTGGGTTGGCTCGACTTCCGCTGTGGGCGGTGGCAGTGGCCAATCTGGCGGGTCTTAGTGATGTAGGTGGGAGTGTAAAGCGCACTTGATAAATGCTATTCACCCATGGGCTTTTTATTCAAAAGAAGCAAAAACGGATTGTGAGTAGTCTCACATGTACGAAGGTGTTAAAAAAACGAGGGGAGGGGGGTTCAGCAGGAGTGTGAATGGAAGTTGACCTCGTCAGCAAGTATCCGAGCTGAGGTAGTTTCAGTCACCTGCTTGTGAGCGATGTAGAGGAAGAAGGTGCTGCAGACCGTGCTAACTAGGAATATAACATCAAACCACCGATGGTAGAAATGAAATTGAAGATCTCCCAAGATTTGAGTGAGGATTGTCCTATATTCCGCCGTCATATTCATTCGTAAGAGTACCACAGAAGAGAGGAAGTACGTGCCCATGATGTGAGCAATGAAGAGTACGATGACATTAGACGACTTGGTACTTGCAATTGCATAAAAAAACTTGGTAAGTGTGAGCAATAGCCCACGTATGGAAGTCACCACAATGACTCCAACAAGCAAGAAAGAGATTTGCTGCGACCAGAAGGGGACATCAACATCGAACCCCAAGTAATGTACAACAATATCGATTCCACGGGTGATGGGGTCTTGCAGACCAACGCGATTAAACAATATGTTAATTATGCTGATGATAATTTTCCAAATGCAATATCCACAGAAGAAGTAACCAAGACAGTTGAAGTATTGGCCTTTGAGAGTGTGTGAGAACAGAATTCGCTCCTCAGCACAGCGGAGTTGGTGCAATTCTAAGAAAAGATGCCGACCAACTTCTTCGAGACTTGCAATCTGCGTTAAGGGAGTAAGATAAAACGTTCCTCAACCTTGGATTGTAATCAAAAAAGGCAAACAAATTGAACTAACCTCATCCTTTAACGTTTGAACATTAACATTGGTCCCACCCAGCCTATTTCCAACTGCATGTATCACTCCCCAGAATCCACTACCGTAGTGTGATGACTATAACACAGTAAAAATGACTTACCAACCCCTACACAGTAAATAGAATAGTAATTAGGATACTTCTCGCTAAATTGCCTTATAAAGCGATCGCGCTATATAATTCTACTAAAAATAATCTAAAAAAGGAGACAATCACTTAATTTCAAAATATGACGTAAAAATGTGCTAATTGACAATAAACAAAAACTGAAAAAGGCATACTTTCTTTTCCAACTCAGCTAGACAAAGGCGACGCTTTTTGGCAAGAAGCATGTTTAGAGTTTGCACAAGACGCTTTTCACCTGCATCAATGTCCACTCGGGAGACAGGATGAACAAAGAGGCTCATACATGTATAGGGGTAATTGACGGCACCGAATCCGGAAAGAAGTGCCATTATGGTGACACCTATAACTCCAACCCTTCCAATGCATGGTTCAAAGGAAAAGAATGAGTGACGAGGACTAGATATAGGGAACGACACCCCAAGTTTCCAAAACAGGTATCCATAAAAGAGAAACAACACAAGAGAACTACCTAACCTTAATTTGAAATTATTTTGAAGAAAGCCAAACGTTGCAGTTACGTAATATGATATAAGACAAGGCAAAACTACGATGACGTCAAACAGAGTGATAACTAACACAAACTGCCAATGAAGTCTACGGGAAGAGGAATCCAAGATATCGAGAATCTCGAAAGTTACAAGTTCGAACATAAGACAAGAGAGGGAAAAGGTAAACGAAAACACAACAACAACAGTCAATTGACGAACTTCATAATCCTTAAAGAGTTTACGAAGAAAGAAGACCCAGCCTCCTAAGAAAAAGAAGAGTTGAGAAAATACAATAATAAGCGTATCGCCGACAAAACCCATACGGAAACTGTTAGTCTGATTGGTTTAGCTCAGTTTCGCATGTGACAAAAATTTGAATCCATTTAATATTTACATTAACACTTGAGGCTTATTCGTGGACGTAATGTAAAACTAACACGTCTTCCTAGTAAGTACAGCGGTATTAAATATCATATCGATTTTATTATGAGGAAGTTTAATAGGTGTATGATGGGCATCGTAGGGCATACCGATGATAAGCACAAATTCTCACAAGTTCAATTTATTAAAATAACATTTGGGGTATGTCATGCACCTTTAAAGCAAATTAACTGAAAAAGTCTTGGCATTTTTAAGTTTGCAATGAGAAAAGGACTCAAGGTCATTTTGTAGCGCTTCCATCCTTGGCGAAGATTAAGTCTTAGGTCCAGAACAAAACATGTGTGGAGGGAGACTCATTGGTCTCCGCTTCCCCATTCCTAGCGTTCCTAGACAAGCCCGGTTGATTCGCTTTGGACATCTTTATTAAAGGTGACAAGATGGATAGGGAAAATACAATGTTCAAGAAGGAGGGGAGCCGCAGTCACTAGGTAAGGGAGAGGACGATCCGGTCACGAGTATCGAATTTCCTGATTGCCTCCTCCTTGAAAGGTACATTAAAACAACATAAGTATTACACATGTATTGCCGATGAACAGAGGAATTGCGGGGCTACTAGTATGGTCCAGAGGCCATGTCGCTTAGCGAAAGTACAAATGCGGAGTCTTTACTAGGCCATAATTAAAACTGCGAGTTGACCAATTAAGTCGTTATGCAGCGGTCCGGTACTTCTTTGAAGGCAAAAGAAAACAAAATACTCAGCCAGAATACTGGTTTGACACATAAGGACTTGTGGCTACTCGCATCGCCCAGAGGCTAGCACACCCAGCGAAGTTATGATGGCCGAGCACCGAGGTGACCCTATAACCAAAACCGAGGGTTAAACAGCCAATATATTATAATTGCATAGTCCTTATACTTTAAGCGCAGCTCATACTGTTCTGCCGATCATGCTCCCGCGTTAGTCGTCTTGCGTAGCTAGTGTCAAGACAAAAACATACAAACCAACCGAGTCAGTCATCAAAGTAGCGTGCGACTGAGCAAAAGTTTAACCACAACGTCATTAACCTACAATAATTTTAAAGTTTTATTCTGTATGGAAAGGTACATTGCTGGAAGGGAAACAGTGCTGACCGTATAGTACGCCCAACACTAGTCGTAAGAATACTAATCTCAAAGCAGTCATTTAATAAAGGACGGGATTGAACATCGTTTCTTAGGGGTAGAGTTTTGCGTCTATAAGTCCTTGCCACGTCATTGTCACTTCAGGGCTGCACAGCCTTATGCCTATGCATTCTATTTAGCTAGCAAAGAGCTAAGGGATGTATAGCCCGTTTGCGAGATTAACATCTTCATACAGGTGCGGTAGACAGCTCTATAGCTAACTTTTCCATATGGTTCACGGCCAGGGTCGCTTCAGTTGTTTAAAACATTCCTGCAACACTCAGGACTGGAGTTGCTGACGATGGCAGACATCATTTTCGATTGTTCTGTTGGGAGTTATCACAGATTTCCTCATCCGTAGCATATGTCCTTCGTCGGTTACGTCAAGGTTTGGCATTCATTAACAGACATCAGTATGGTTGTACACTTTGGTGAAGTATGCCTTTTGCTGATACCAAGTTAGCGTCCAGACTCTTTCCTGAAGACTAAAGAAGCTGTGATGATAAGACAGAAAATGTATTGACACTGTACAAAAGGGCCGGAGAACTCCTGGCACAACTTGAAGGCCATTACACCCACCAGAAACATAAAAGAGGAGCCATAAGTCCCTGCAACATCAAAACGACGACTTAAACAGATGGTAAAAGCATCACTAATGTGTATAGGGTATACAAGAGTTCGATGAATGTTATCCTCAATCATAGGGAAAATGCAGGTGAGAATGCATATTTGCGTCATTTCAAAGACAATAAATGCTCTTTTATTCCTCACAGAAATGTCATATGCATTGTTGATCACATGTTGCTGCATTGATTATTCACATAGCCATTCATGCTCCATCCTTTGATCATTATTCATTCGCACAGACGAACTTTAAGTGCATATTTCTAGAATCCACATTTACTTAAAGCAAATCGCCAATTAGCTATATGAGGTCGTGCAATAATAAACAAATCCTTTTATTAAAAGGGATCGGTGGTGTAATTCATGACGTTTTGAGATATTTCCACCCAGATCTCTTATGACTTTGAAAAAAGAGGGCGTAGTTACTCTTTCTTTAAAAAGGCTTGCATTTGCTTGATGAAAATCAATCAGAAATTGTCAGTGAGGACCTATATCGACTTGCGAAAATAGGCTTTTTTCTTTTGTGTAACATATTCCACAATACATCCTGACAACAACACTGCCATAAATAATCATAATTCCGGCTTTCAACTTCTTTTCCTCCTCCACGTTAAAATTTACCTACCTAAATACATAATGTAATACGATAGTGGTTTATCCCTCGGTTCTAGCTAGGCGCCACATTTGTACTTTGAATTAGCCCCATTGTACCTCGCTGGGTGGGCTGGCCTTTCGGGCCATGCCAATAGCCCAGACACCTTCTCCGTGCTAAATATATATATTCTGCCCGAGTATTGTGTATTCTTTCGTCTTCATGGAGTCTCGGGGCGCTACACATGCATTTACCATAAAGACAATCAGAAGTCGTGCGTTTTAGCTCCTTCTTATGATTTATAGCGTTTGTGATCAGCTTGTAGTTGTGCACGGGAATAGATTGAACCCGTTGGAACCTACTAGAGTCGTGTTACAAAGGAGGTGGTTATCCGCATCAGGTCTTTGATCATCCTCACATTTCGGAATTACTGCTTAGGTTAAAGAATGCCGTAGATAGAGTACTCTGCATCCCAAAGTGATGCCCCGGTTTTCTTGACTTTACAGTAACGAGGGAAAGCATTAATGACGACAGCCAAGACATAGCTGCAATCAAATACGCAATGCTGCAAAATAAAGCGCAGCATAGGGAGTGATTTCACATTGACAAAACTGTGGACGTCAAATGCAATTATTGCTATTAGTGCTTCTGGGTGACCTTACAAACGGGATATTTCTTCGGTTGGACAGGAATAACCACTACTAGGTTCCGGATTTTGTAAAGTAAGCAACTGTACCAAAAGCGTCTCTAATTCATTTTTTAGTAAAGAAGCAAACAAGTAGAAGCACATGTCTGGGTTGGAGGTATTTTTCATAATCAAGGCATTTTATGAAGCAACGAAATAGTTAGCGAACAATCAGTATGGTGCAATAAAATAGTTTTTAGAAAATAATGTGTGACTAAATTTTACCGGTCAAAGGCGATTATTATAAAACGTGATCTCATTACCCTTTTTTTAATTTACAAACTGGCACGGTCTCCGTGATACGGATAACTAAATGGTGCCTTGTACCAAATTGAATTGCTAAATATGGGTCTTACTCTGAGTAGTCACGCTGAATGGTCCGAGAATATGGACGTGGAGCACAAAACACTTGTCTTTTCCGATGTTAACAATTTTATAATAGAGTCTTACATAAGTTTTATTGGTGCATATGTGACGAAAAATCCCTCCGTTTCTTCATTGCAATTTATCGAACCAGCTTCATGGCGTTCTTTGTTGAAATTCAGGGACTTAACCGATTTTAACATATAGTAACGAATATTTTCTAATGAGATTTCAGCGAAAATTTTGCAACATCAAAGGAACTCGGTAAAGAGGGCAAACCCATTGCGACTCTTGAAAGAGTCTCGAGTGGAGAGTTTAAAGCTACAGCAAGAACGCTTAGGGCCTTAAATAGACTCCTCGACGCTGCCGGCGATTACAAATTAGCAGAAATGAAACTTTGTATCGAGGGTTTTGTTGAAATCCTGAGAATATATTGGTTTTAGGAAACAAAAATATATATGAAAGGATTTGTGGTAAAGAGGTCAATTCAAGAAAATGGTCATTTGATGAGTCGAAACTATTTAAAATAGCAGAAGATCTTAAAAGGTCTTGGAATGGTTTGTTAGCTTCGTATTTGTTAATTGTATTTGCCAGATCAAAAGACTGCAATTATTCAAGAAAAGGAACTGACCAAACTTATTGTCGATTTACATAATTATGATATTCAACTGAAGAGAGTAATTTCTAGAATGAAAAATGGGTTTGGTAAAAGTTTTTCGAATTCTCTTTAGGAGCGTCCCATTGTCGGTGCTATATATTGAATTGGAATATGATATATTGAAAATGCTCGCCGACAGTGGCTGTAAAAAGAATCCCTTACTTGAAATCCGTGAAGCAGGTAGTGAGTCATGGGATAAACTTGCAAAAATCTAACCTGTCATGATTCGGATGGGGCTTTTAATCGTCTATCTTTAACCCAACAGAAAATTGCAAGATCCAAAATGTGTGCTGCTTCCAGTTTCCATTCTAAAATATTCCTATTCGAGAAGTTTTATAACCACCATCAGACTTTGTCCATCGTCGTCGCAGACTTTAATTGGCCATACTATGCCACTATTTCTTCTTCAATTTAAGCCTATACAGTTAAAAGAAGTAACGGCTACAGAGCCCCCCCTTGGAGAGAGGTTCTCGGCGAAGTGGCCTATTTTCTCATCACTGTCAAAGGACACGAGAATGCCCTATCAGTTACTGCATCAAAGAAGGGCTGGTTTATAAACCAGGTATGTGAAAAATTGTAATGCTGCCCCTCACTCACTTCAGTAGCTCAAACCAAACCGTGTGAATTAATTCATGAAGTTCCTGTAGGGAGATTGCTAACTAAAGATCAATGTAAATCATTTATGTAATTTGAAGGTGGTGGCCTTCAATTTACTTCCAACATCTATGGCATACAATTATAAACGCACAGGACCAAGTTTAAGATAATTGCTCCCTGTTACAATTTAGAACTTGAAATGGGGTTTTTCGTATTTAATCTTCAGCCCTTATGGAAATTTACAGATTTTAGATACTTAGGATAATATTGGATTCCCATTCATTTATAATCATCAAACCAAAACCACAACTGCCTCATGTAACAGCAAGAGAATACGTTAATTTTCTCAGGGGTATGTAGTGTGAGAGTGTGATTTTGCACGCTTTAGGGTTTCGACTTGGAAAAACATGAGCTGTCTTTTGATCAAGAGAGCGAAATTTACCCTACGTTGCTTGCATTACTGAGATGTGAGTGCAACGCTTTTGATGAATTTCTCGCTACATCCGAAGGGATGATTCTAATGTATCGCCTTAAATGGCTTTACAAAATGGAAAAGTCCGTTGAGAATAGCCATACTGATTTGACGCGGGAAGATGTGAAGAGGGGGATAGACGGAGCTAATCTCAGTAAAGACATATATGAGAATCGTACACCTCAACAGACTTCCAAAGCTGTCCCTCACGGTGTCGAAAAGTGGAAACGCGGTGACAGGAAGCTACGTACTGATGTTATCTCGCAAATGCGGATTAACCTTTGCAGCGGAGAACATAACCTTGCTTCCCCTTCCGGGAGCACCGCCAAACCTAGTGGTGACCAGATGCAGAAACGGTGAGATGCTAGATGAGATAATATCACAAACTCTATTTTCGACGTGAATTCCTGATATGTTAGAGAACCTGGTCGAAAGAAAGTGATTAATAGCTCCTTGTTCCCATGCTTGCATATCCATAATTCGTTGGCAAATTACGAAATTTTGATAATAGATTCTTGAAGTAAATGGCGGGAGTCATATCTCCTCAAATGTCAAGATAACGAAGAAAGGGGAAGTAGTAGCTTTACCTTTAGGCCGAAATGCAATACACTGGTTGATTTATTTTCTCGATGTTAAAAGTGCACCAGAGCTTTTAATTTCTGCATTTTTTAAGGGAAAAATCAAAATAGTTATCTATGCGGTTTGCCCAAAAAGTAAGTGATTACGTAAGAGATTTTGTGTTAACTTGACCGATGGGTTGGAACTTTCACGAATTGCTGTGGGAAGTGAATTTTGGTATCGCAGAACAACTGCTTTGCTCACATCATTTTCAACGGATACTAACGCATATTAATAACAATGTTATCTGCATCAATTTAAACCAGAAAATCCATGTTATCTTCCATTAAAACGGGCGTTGAGGATGCAATTTTGAGCACACCGAAGTTCACCGGTTCGGAACAATGGGATACCATTGACACAAATAACAATTTACTCCCCAAATTGTCGAATGCTTCCAACAAGAACGTAGACTATTCAAGTCACAATTCTTCGCAGTCAATTAATGAGATAAAAGAGGATAGTACTGATGATTACACAGAGGATGAAGATACCGTCAAATATGCCCTCAGGGATGCTGGGTACTTGCAGAGTTCATTTTTGTTGGCGTTCGTTAGGCAGTTACTGCACTAATAAGTGATTTGCTATGTAAAAAATCATTTTGAAGGATCTTCGGACCTTACCTGGATGTTATTACGCACGAGCGTATTAAAAACCAATTTTACTCACCAAGGTGAGTACCATTTTGTTGTGGTTAAAATTGCGGATATTTCCTTTACGCGCCGAACCTTGTATCCATATCACTTGTGCAAGCAATCAATTATGCCGAGACTTTATTGGTATCTCTTATTCACAGGACAGAAAATTTTAATCACATAATTAATTTGAGGTTGACCACAAAGCCTATTATATCATGAATTTTATTTTAGGATAGCGAGCTATAGCTAAATAATGTGTGGTTGAGAGCTGCAAAATTGGTTAAGCAGAACTTTTTCAAAAAGGTAATGTTTATCGGGTTACCATTTTTCCTTCGCCTCGACTGAGGCAAGACTGAACTTGTACTGAATGGATGAAGTTATGAATTTATGCATAGTTAAGTGTTTGTCATGCTACAGATGGGAATGTGGGTGGCAATATGGAACTCGCCCGTATTTTTCCAAATACAATTGAACTTCCTCCTAAATAATTACCACTTTAATAAATCTGCAGAGTGAAATACATTAATGTTTTAACAGAACGCAAGAGACGAACGTAGAATCTACAGGGGAGCCAAGTTCGGACAGTGAAGAGGAAGATCAAGCACAAAATTTCCTTGTCAAAGATCCCAATGCTGAACTACCGCCTGAACACTGGCAAATCGGAAAGTTGGTTAAGTATATAAGAGTAAGAATGGTATGCAAAATGCCTTCACATAGTTCTTTGGGAAGTAATATTTTATACTATACATCACTAGGGTGGTAACCAAACATCAACGACTATATCCTTGTGCGCTCTTTACGATATGCCGCTGAATACTGAGGTTTGTCAACTGGCTGTTCGTGATACTGGAGGTGTGGAGGTTTTAGTAAATCTCCTGGAAACCGATGAAGTTCGCTGTAAAGTTAGTTTCATCAAAATAAATAGAGGTATATTCGTAGTCCAAGTTGGATTAATAATTTATCTTTTCTCCAGCTTGGAGCTCTCAAAATCTTGAAAGAGATTTCACAAAATCCAGAGCTGCGAAGAGCCATCTCTGACCAGGGTGGCATCCCTCCGATGGTCGAGCTGCTGCGTTCACCGAATCGCGATCTTAAGTGCCTCAGCGCAGAAGCGATTTCTAATGTAGCTAAATTCGCACGAGCTCGACGTACTGTACGGCAACAAGGAGGCATCAAGAAACTGGCAAGCATCTTCGAGATAAAATGATAAGCAATGCAATTCTAGAGCTTGTAGCAGTGAAACCACTGTGGTAAACTATTGTTTAAAAACTGTGAAACAACACGTTTCTTGACATTATTCATCAGGTTCGAAATTCAAAGATTATAATATTTAAGAAATCTTACCAACATAAATTCAATTTCAGGACAAAGATCATTCTCTAACTGCATGGCGGTCAAATAGCATTAGTGATTTGCTGTTTTGCCGACAGTGGTGCCCTCTTTTGAGGCTTGGAGCAAATAATTCAAGAATTTGATGTGGTAGGTGGCCTTGTTGGATGTAACCAACCACTGCGGGGACGTGAGGAGTCCGGAAGTAGAGCGTGACCTTGAGGTGGCTCGATGCGGCGCCCTCGCCCTCTGGTCCTGCTCCAGGTCTGCGCGGGCCAAGGCGGCCATGAAGAAGGCGGGTGTGATCTCACTCCTCGCCCGCCTCCTTAAGTCGCCCTACGAGGCGCTCCTCATACCCACCGTCGGCATTCTTGAGGAGTGCGCCTCCGAGGTATTGGCTCTGTCCTCTCCAACATTTTTCCACCCTCTTCCTCATCCTCCGATCTTGCACTTTCCTTCTTCCTCCTCCCCAGCACTTTCCAATTCCTCAAGATTAAATGATTCCATACCCGTTGTGCATTGGTTCGATTATCAGTTCAAGAAATAATATAGCAACAGAGTTTAGTTCTTCGTCTCATAGAAAAACTACTTTATATTTATTTAGAAAAAATTAACTCTTTTGTGTACCATTGACACATTGCATTTTAGTATCATTTAAGTCTTCGAAATTATTTTTTCATCCAAATGCATAATTTGTTAATTGCATCCTAGAATAAAATATCTCACGACCATTAAGACAGAAATAATTTTGGAGTTCCTTAATGATTATCTCTAATTTCTTCAAACTTTACAAATAACCGCTAAATTAATTGACAGATTTTAAGGACACTTAGGATTAGGAATTATAACTTAATGGAATACCATAAACAATGCCCAAAATCTATTTTCTACTTCAGCATGATTATCGCGTCGCCATTCGCACGGAAGGGATGATCGAGGACCTTGTAGCCCACTTACGAGCTCAAAACGAGGAACTTCAGATGCACTGTGCGGCAACGATTTTTAAAGTGTGTCAGCCATGGGTTTGATATGTCGGAGTTGTAGATGATCTCACAAAGCTCTAAGCAGAAGTATTATTCAGCCACTGCTTAACTAATCATATCTCGGAGTTTTCTTCTCATTAAGTTTAACCGATTGGATATCAACAGAGTTCTGATGGCTCTCTCTCTTTCACGCTCATTATTCGAATGCTGCACATTTGACTCGAAAAATGTTCTAATAGGCTTCCCGTGATTATGCTAAAAATTACTCCCTGAGATGAAGCAGAGTCTAGCTTATTTAATACTCAGCTTTGGTACCATTCCAATTTCATACTTGATCGTAGAATTATGCGTATCATTCTAGTGTGCTGTCGAACAAGAAACACGCGATCTAGTTCGTCAATATGGCGGCTTGCCACCACTGATTGAACTGCTTTCGGTCAATGAAAATAAGGAACTCCAGGCCGCTGCTACGGGAGCTATTTGGAAGTGTGCAGTTTCATTTGAAAACGCAAAGGAGCTTCAAAAGGGTGATGTTATTTCCAAGTTGGTTGCAATTCTGATGCAGCAACCCGAAGAGGTGAGTGTAACTGTAGTTGTTAATGTCGCTTCAATGTTATACATCTGATAAAATATTTCATGCGACATAACGACGAGGATTCATTAGATTCCACTTTAAGGGTCATAGGGCTCGCCAACTGCAAGAAAAATTAAAGGAAAAAAGTCATATTCGTGATATACGGCTGAGTTAACTTAAAAAGGTTGGTGTAGAAGTGAATGAAGAAAGTAAAGATGCTGACAGGTAAAATCAAAGGCTTCTGGCAATTTGAATGTTTCACATTCTTTTGCAGATGAAAAAATTCCTTTATGTTAAGTCGGTTTCCAAGCGTGTAAAATTGGTTTGGAGAACAGAAAAAGTAACATTGGGTTTCGTTTGAAATTGCACGTTTTGATCGTCCCTCTTACATTTATTTCACATTTCTGCAACATAGCAACAGAACTGGAACAAAATTAGCCATTAAAAGCAATTCTTATTTAATCCGAAAATTCAAGGTTGGGGTTTCAAGCAATGAAAATAAAATAAACGTTGAGATAACTTACCATTTTCTCTAAACGTGAAACTAAAGGCATCAAGAAACTTGCCAGGATCATGTATTCAGCATCCTTAGCTCAAAATAAAATCATGAAAATGGCACTGAAAGTCTGGTGATGAAATCCCGCTAACGAATAAGGAATAATGTTTTCTTAAATAATCAACCTCTTCATGTGTTATATTTTATCTGAAGGGGATGCGTTTATTTTTCTCGTGTTGGTTAATTTGTTCATAAATGGTTTTCGTGTTGTACAGTTACCCTGGACGATTGCTTTAACCAGAACCTCAAAATTGTAGGTACTGGTTAATGTCGTCGGGGCCTTGGGGGAGATGGCAACAAACAAGAATAACATCGCGCTCATCCGACAAGCAAATGGTATACCACCTCTGATTGCACTGCTTACGGGTACCAACGAGGACCTCTTAATCAACACAACCCGTGCTCTTGGCCGTATAGCTGAAGACCAGGAAAGTGTACCGTAAATTTTATTTCATTTATCAGAGCGGCAAATAAGTTTGCCGAATTAAGGAGGTTGCACAGCCTTTTAAAGGTCCTTTGGTAAATGCACGTATTGGGATTTATGCTCAGCAGACCAATGAGAAAGAGAAATTTGTAAGACAAATCAGCAAGTTCCAGTATGGTGTCTAAAATTTGCTCAAAACACTATACAAAAGCGTTTACAACATAAATAACCACATGATGAAGTCTGGCTTGTCCCTCCAATCAATTTACACTGAAGCTTGGATGATAGTTTTGTTGCTGAGATCGGTTAATCTTCAATCGAAGCATTAGAGCACACATCCGGATTCACCTTAAATTTCACTTAGCTTCAAATTGTGGTACTTTGCATTCATTACGGCTTTATTTGAACAACTTTTGTCAGGAGAAAGGATTGTACAGTATAGTTAGGCGTCAATTGCTTGCTATGGGATATTTTCAACAACAATGCCTCAGAGAATTGAATTGAATTCATACGATTCCTACTGATTCTGCGATCATAGTAAAAGAAATGCTATTGCTGTATATTAATCAAATTGACAGTGGAAGCTGCTATAGTGGATGAGCCATTAATAAAATATGTAGCCCCAAAGGATTAAACGAGCCACACAATCGAAAGCATTTATTGAATTCACGAAAAAAAGTGGTGATAAGTATAAAACTAAAAAAACTCGTGCGTTGCGATTAAGACACTCAATTGTGTCTGATTCGAAAATACTGATATTGGATGCAGGTAACCCTTGACCTGTTTATAGATTACGCATGAGTTTATTGCTTGTAGGGTAATTGAAAAGAACGACGGCGTCCGTCTCTTGTGGTCTCTCATGAAAACTAATAATCCAAGTGTTCAAGCCAATGCAGCCTGGGCTCTGTGCCCCTGCATTGAAAACGCCATTGTAAGTGATTCAAAGTGGTTCGATTGATAATGCCTTGTGAATAAATGTGACAGCCACCCTTTGCCTACTATAATTACTCAATATTTTTCCTGCAAACGGTAACATTGTTTTCTGGATGCAATAAATTACCGAGTTTGATAATTTTCCACAAATGGATACGTGATGAAGTTTGTAAAAGTGCAATGGTATCGGACTTGAACTTTAAACTTGGAGGATTAGTGTAGGCCAGTTGGAGGCTTCTACACAATCTCTACCGTATGGCACTTTCAATAAGTATTTAGCTTTATTCTTTTAGTAATGGTAAATTCATGCATTGTAACTTGAAAACACACTTCGATAACCTTTATAGCACTAGCTAATGAGAGGCGTGTTCGACTGTTTTTACTTGAATTGCTTATTTGAAACTAGGTGTTCAAGTAACGCCATGAATCCACTACTCAACCTACAGTACAAAGTATCACGAGCAGTGTATTTCATGCACAACGTATGATCCCATGCATTTCAGTAGCTCCTTTCATCATTTACAGTTTCCAAAAAATATACTTCCAGTAACTCGCAACCAATGCATCCGTCTTTTCATTCTTCTGCCCGTGTGTAATTGCCGGTGGTCCTTACTAGGATAAACAAAGATAACGAAATGGCAATTTTTTCCTAGCTCAGTGAATATATGCCAGTAATTAAGTTAACTTATTCTTCTCAGAAACAAGTATTTTAATGAAAGGTGCGTAAAAAAATCTTGATTAAATTGGTGCTCAAAGAAATCGCACCATGTTGTTACTTTAGCGTCAACCCTCATAAAACTTGATAATGAATTAAACCTGACCTTTTATCCTAGCTTACGCAGGACGCGCAACATCATAGCACTTGTTTCTTTATATACACACTACAAAGTCTAAGGCATTTCACTGTCACAACACAATCATGCAGTCTGCATTCGGTAGGTACAAGTCCATGTTATTTTCTCAGAGGATTTGTTCTCTTGAACTGACTGGTGAGACAAAAATCTCCCATTCACCTATCGAGATTGTTTTGGTTAGTTCTAGCATTTAACCTGAGTTTACATTATAAGACCCAAACTCTGAATTGCTGGCTAAGGTCACCACAGTGACCACATTAGTACCAGAAACATGACTCCTAACTTCCCAATTTGAATAATTGCAGTAGTGTGAACCCGTTTGTTACATGGCTGATAACTCCCCTGGCTTGAAATCCTGCGGCTTTACCGATTGGCAAGTGATTTTTGCCTATTAAATTGTGTAAGATGATACAATAAAGGTGATGGCTTTATCTAACTTATTACACACGAATGCACGCAACTATAAACAGGAGATTTACGAAGCTCATCTTTTAGCAAAGTGGCATGAGTTCTTCCACGAGATCCCACTGCCGACGTCGAAATTCTAATCCGATTGACGATGAATTGTTTCAAGAGGCGTAGTGCAATTTTTCTATTAAGAGTTTGTTTACCTTCTGATTGAATAGGAAGGAGGTGAGATGGTTCGTTCCTTTGTGGGCGGTCTTGAACTCGTCATCAGTCTCCTGCGTTCACCTTCAATGGAGGTGCGAGCGGCGATCTGTGGCGTTATCTCGAAAATTGCTAAAGATGAGGAGAACCTTGCCGTAATCACTGACCACGGCGTTGTTTCTCTGCTCTCTGAACTATCCTATACGGTTGGAGCATAGTAAACTAATGTTATTGAGGATGTTGGGAATCCTTATCTTTATCTGTAACATTTGTTTATCTTCTTAGTCTGCTTCTGAAGCAACTTCCAAAACATAAAATTTCTGCTATTCAATCCACGCTTTCACCAGTTTGAATCTGAGCTCATAGACATGGTAATAGTGACGTGTGTTGGTGCCAAAGTTTACAATATGGTGTTTACTATAATTAAGTCAACTTACATTTGAATGTGAATGGTAGGGTAAAGCAAGAAGGGTATGTAATGATTTAAATGATAGGACATTAAGTGATAAAAGAGTGATTTTCTTTGATACACGCCAGACAGAGGACTCAATTCGACGACCGCTGGCAGAGGCGGTGGCTCGGTGCTGTTGTTGGGCCACTAATCGTAGCGACTTCGGTAAGAACGGAGCCGTGGAACCTCTGGTGTGTTACCTCAAGTCCGAGGACCCCGCCGTCCAATGCGCCACTGCCAAGGCCCTCTACCAACTTAGCAGGCACCCCGAGAATTGCGTTGTTATGCATGCTGCCGGTGCCGTAAAATACCTCGTCGATTTGGTCAGCTCTAATGTAAGCACAATAGACTCACTCTCTTCCCTTCCATCGGTTTGCAAGCGTCTCCATTAAGTAAACATTACTGAAACCTTCTCGTATGAATAAATTAAAATCTGCAAGCACACGGTTAAATTTGCAGCGTTTGAGAACGCCAAAAACGTAGTAATTCACAAATGCTTCAATATTTTTTATTTCCGTTCGAGTTGTTCGGCTACAGTAACTGCTAAATAGGTAGGTCATGAACTGACAGATAAGCAACAATAAAATTGGACTCTAATTTATTTCAGGATTAACACTTAATTGAAATCGGATTTTACTGGAAAAAAATTTATCACTCAAACAGAAGTGACAATATAGCATGGGTATATGAAACCCATCAAAACTCACATTTCTCAGTGTTCAATAATCGTCACGCTTTCTTAATACGGCTCGTATTTTACTACTTACTACTTCACTCTATTTGGATATTATTTCTCCCACTGTTTGGTTATCCTAATTTTCTCTTTCGCTAAGAATACTATTTTTGATGATAGACATTACTGAATTATTAGATCGGTGTTTGATTTTTCTTTAGCGATAACAAAGGTGGGGAATCATTTTGGATTTTAGAGTCTTTTATGCAAACAACAATTAACATTGACCCAATGAGCACATTTATGGAGCTTCCGTTGATCTTACATTTCGTATCCGCCCCAACGATTGTTGTTTTAACGAAATGTGGCAAGTACTTAAGTAATTTGGTATTCGAATGATTGCTTTATTCAACACATTGCTGATTTACAGATTTCCTGGTTATTTGCAAATATATTGTCACTTTCCTTATCACAGAGCCTTCCGAACCATATTTGTCTTTGCATGTTTGGACAATTTTTAGAAAGGATCCGTAATATTCAGTTCCTACACATCTGAGCAGGTCATCAAATTTAATCACCTCACTACGCTGGCTTCGAATGCTACGAAAATAAACTATTAGCAGTATTGATAAAATTGCTAGCAATTGCTGCTTATATTGTGCTCATCAAGGATATAATTGCTTATGGCATAGAAGGATCAGAATTTAATTCTATCCTCTCGCCTAGAATGAGGAGTTACAGGAGGCGGCGTCATCATGCATCGCCAACATTCGGCGCATCACCCTGGCTCACGTGAAGGCGCAACAGGAGTGGCAAGCGCGGGAGACGCGGCAACAGTTCGTTCGCCACATGGAGGCTCAATTGCCTCGTCTCACTAGTCCCGGCCAGGCTTTCCCCCGGCCCCAGAACTTCTATGATCTCTCCCACGACAACAACTCTAAAAACGCCTTGAAGAGTCCTTCAAAGTCGTTGGGGACCTTTGGCGTCGATGAAGCCTTCCACTCCACCTAAATTGGTGGTGGACGAATAAGTCTAATTGTATCTTATCACTCAAAGTTTTTGGTGATCTTGGCTGAAATGGCATCCGTTGTAAAACAGTGACTTGCTCTTCTTTAAGAAAGCTGTTTGTGGATGAAGGTTTAAATACTTATCCTTCATTTTAGTAACTCGACGCCGCAAATTGTTTATTTTGGTCTAAAATCTAATTCTACAGGAGTTTACATTTTAAGCAGTAGGGAAATTTATAGAACCTGGGGGTTTTGAAAAACTTAGGGAAAAAAAATGGAAAAATCATCGTCTCTAAAATTATTTTCGGAGGAGTGCACATTTTATAATTGCAGCGTCCCCCAGTCCTCACTGTAGTCGCAATAAGCCATGACATTATGGAAGGGGACATGTTAGTAGCGTGCGGAGGAGTCGGGAGGCTGCTGATAAAGCCCACAAAGATGGCAGCGGAGCGGAGATACAACCTGCAGACTCAGGTGCCACGTAGTTAAACCAAATATCAAATCACCACTCCAATGTAAGAGTGCTTAAGTAATTTGGAATTATTTGCGCAATACGGAACCTGATTACACGCGCATACATATTTAATGCATCAAAGTCGATAAAGTAATGTACTATTTTCACACGATGACACCGAAAGATATGCATAATGGAGCGCTCGTCTAAGTTAACGCAACAATCTTCTGAATGGTTTTAATGAAAATTTGGATTTTCAATCACAGATACGGTGATTTCCAGATTCTCGTGGGAATGAGATTAGGAGAAGTTACTATAATGCTCTCCCCCATTTTCAATGCGCAATGAGAACATAAAAAAAAGGAGGGTCATGGTTCGTTTCCACTGAATTTTCGTCGCTTTCTACAAACCACTCAATCACAATACTACATTGAAGCCTTGCTTAAATAACAACAGACTAAGCCAATAAATGCCTGGGGTTGATGGCCAGCCATGCCAAAAACATTTCAAAGCCAATCATAGTAAATGGTATGGGAAAACTCACAGCAGCTCTAATTCGAATGTACCGTACGATGCATATCTCTTATTTGCTTGCAAGCGTTACATTACAACGGCGCCATTCTGTAGTATCTGAGGTGCCTGAAAGCACACCAGCTCACGTTTTAGTTATCCTCTAGATAAGGGAATAAATAATTTGTCATGTCAAAGAATTATATCTTTGATAGTATAAGTCATTTTAATAAAACATTCCAGTATATTTCTTTTGGGAATTTGAGTACATTTGGCAGTACCAGATATGAGTTGCCCAGATAAACATTGAGGGAATATCAGGGAAGACTCTTATTTAAAAATTGCTTAATTAAAATTACAATAAAAAAATTTCCGCGTGTACTAGAGGACTTCAAGATTGTTCTCAAAAGTACCGCTTCTTCAACACTACGCTTGCTAGATACAACACCACTGAATTCTTCAATTCCTATTAAACGTTCTCGTTACCGGCGAAGACTGGTTGATGCCATAATAAATCGCCATGAGTTCTACAGCACCTTACGAGGTATTTGTTAATGTGTGGAAGCATGTTCGTTAGGGTCCGCCATATCTTGTATCAATTTGACATTTGATTCACACATTAATCATTTGCTCAATGGCCCTGTTGTATTCATTTGGACCTGTCACCTATAATAAAGATGCGGCTATATTTTATACCTAATGGCAGACGGACAAATGAAACTCCCTGTTCTTGCTCTTCTATAGCATTTCTTATCTTTAAATAAGCGCTTTCAGAAAAAATTCTAAAATGATTCTTAAGATGATACAATTTCTGCCTGCTCGCAGTATAATACTCGGACTGATTATGGTAAATCTAGTCAAATATTACATAATCAAAACATCCACTTGCGTAAACTCAGGAGTACCGATCCATTGGAATAAAATTAATGAATTCTAATGTAATCGGGCTTTTTTGCCGTTTATATCCACGATGAAATACTTTATTATTTCTAATCAACTTATTTATCTCCCTAGTACTTTTCGGTCTTTTAATTGATACGGGTGAACCTGAAAAACCTCATTTATTTATTTAGATGAATGTACGGACTGCGTACTATAAGTATACAGCATAGTCCAATTGACGAATAATTAGGAGGTGCAGGTTGCCCGGATTTCGCGATCCACCAATAGTTTTGATTCTACCAATGCAATAGTTGGCCTCACCATTGGCTCAATCCCCGTCCAGTGGAAATTGGGGTAACGCTGCTGTGTGAGAGCAGTTTACCCAAGGCATTATTTCCGCTTGCAGATTCATGGGTGTGAGAGCAAAGGCCTTCTGGAAGGCCTTTTCCACGAACCTCTTTGACTATGAAACACAAAAGGTTGTGCAGATTAATTCATTCAAAATCGGCTTTACCTACCGTCTGATACAACTCGGGATTGTGCTCTACGTTGTGTTCTGGGTGATGTATTATGAGAAGGGCTACCAAGCCTTCGACGAAGCTGTTAGTGGTGTTACGGCTAAACTCAAAGGCATTGCTTTCTCTAATCGCACAAAGAGCAATATTGGGGCAATAGTCTGGGATGCCGCTGACTACGTCATTCCGCCTCAACAGCGCTCTGCATTTTTCGTGATGACGAATCTTGTTACAACTTCAGGGCAAACACTAGGCACTTGTGAAGAGTCCCACGATGTTGCCGGCAACGACTGTAAGTCGGATAAAGACTGCGAGGCTGGTTGTATTGTGATGGTAGGCAGTGGAGTCCAGACTGGAATATGTGTCCCATCAACACGTAAGGCCAACTTAAGCGTCTGTGAAATCTATGGGTGGTGCCCCACCGAACACGATGTTCTTCCAAATGATTTCATAGTAGCCAATGCCCCCAATTTTACTGTGATGCTTAAAAATAGCATAGAATTTCCACAATACCATGTAAAACGACTCAATATTTTAGGCTGGATGGATAAACACTTCCTATCCACTTGTCGATACAACCCGAACAACGAAAAATTGAAGTATTGTCCCATTTTTCGTCTTGCGGATATAATGGAGTACACAGAGGCGGAAAATAAACAAATATGGAACAAAGGAGGCATGGTATCAATTCACATTGAGTGGAACTGCAATCTGGACTACAACGAGGAGCAGTGCCTGCCGAAGTACATATTCCGTCGGTTAGACGATTTTGACAACCCTGTGGGAAAAGGATGGAATTTCCGATTTAGTCATCACTATATGGAAGGTAACGTGCGAAAGCGAAATCTCATAAAAGCCTATGGAATACAATTTTTCATCACAGTCTACGGTAAGGGTGGAAAGTTCCATTTGCTCACATTTTCCATGAATCTTGGGTCGGGGCTTGCTCTCCTCGGTATTGCGACCGTACTATGCGATACAATCGTTTTGAAGATAACCAGGAAACGTGAAGTTTACCGAAGTGCAAGGATCGATCTTGTGGCACAGATGCAAAGGAAACAAAAGAAGGCCCATAATCCTCGGATCAGGATCCGACTAAACAGGGGCAGAACACTACGGCATGAAAGCAGCTTTCCCGTGGTCAGCTCCTCAACATAGTTTGAGGGATGAAACCTGCTTGTGTAACGAGAGTAATGCATTTACATGCTCCGCAGCAGTCTAACTATACAATGCATTTGTAATGATCGTCTTATATATGAAAGAAATTTACTTGGAGGAGACCACATCATGAAATAGTTTTGACTGCACATATATGCATTTTCCATCTCGGTAGACATAAAAATATGTCCTTTGTGGTAAATCAGAGCAAATTATAAGATTCTTAGCAGAAAGATTTGCTCAAAACCATAGCAGGTAGTATCGCTAAAAAAGTCGAACGTTTAGTCAACTTTGTGCCCCTTTTTAAATACTTCAGCGTACAGAACCTTTATTTCAAATGTTTGCAATCATCCAAATCATCTTTCGGTGAAGTCGTTAAAGTTTAATCTTAGCGATGATTGGATTCATGCCACCGAACATTTTCCAAAGGTCTCGAATTTGATAGTTCAAGGCACTGCATCTTCTAAGAGGGTTTGTTTAATTTCAGTGCCAGTTTTTTCCGGTTCATTCGATTATTCATGGAAGGTTTGGAGAAATTAAAACATCCCACAAAGGGGACGGTCAGATTTCTACTACGTCAAATAACAACTACTTGGACCCTGTGGTAGCATTTCACGAAATTTGCTTCCCTTTTCATGTGAAATCCCAAGACTAAAACATTTATTTTTTAAAGTAATTTGTTGAATGCTTAATATATGACTCACGAAAGGTTCACTCATTTTATCTATTTAAAGCCACTTGAATCGGTAACCTCGGGAGTTGGTATAGTTACAAAAGCTTGGAAATCTACAGGACGAAGAAATAAAGCAATAGTATTTCATTTTCGAAGAGACGCTAGAATCAATCTGGAGCCCAAAAAGGGTACGCCAAAAAATTTAGACAAATAATGAGTAAGAGCAGAAGGAATACGATTTTCTTCTTATCGATACTTACCACACCTGATGGATAGAGCCAATTTCAGTTTAGGAAATGGCGCTTTGGTGCTTCGTTTTTATGATAGGCGTTCAATGGCTGAAACCAAAAACAGTCGAAAACCACCGTTGTCTAAGAATAACCTTGCTTTAGTGGTGTGGTGATTTGATAGTTTAATTAATGGTAACCTCAGATGCGCAGGTACTAGGGTGTTTGCAAGTTGCGCTTTGGGGCTATGCCAGTGTCCTCCCAGCCCCCCTTTACATTTTTACCGGACACTTTTCCAGAGTACTTTGTCTTATTACTACTTCAGAAAAGACTCAACGCTGCAAGGAAAATTATTTGTCGGCAATATCCTCACTTTCGGAGGCCATACTCACGAGCTCCCCAGCCGGCATGGTTTGAGTGGTAACCAAAGGCATTTCCACTATTGTAATAGTTTTTTGCCACCTCACGGCTATTTATTCAACTTCCATTACATGTTTCGGATTGTATAACACACAAGATTACGAATAAACCTAATAAGGCTACTAGTTGAAAAATAAAGACTGCAAAAACCTCAAAGTTTGCACTCACTCAGATTTTCATGAAAAAACGAAAAAGATTATGCCTGAAATGATTCAATAGATCCCCCCCCCCTTAACTCAACGCAACTCCAAGATAACCGCAGTACTCAGTCACGCCCACAACCACAACTTAAAATTGATGTTAGTTACTTCTAGTGATAAATTTAAAAACAATGTGCCGAGTTTTGCAATAGTGGATGCTTACAGGCATCGCTACTTACAGAAGAGCTAGATGGTTCATAAAGCTCTAATGTAACTACCCAAGGAACACTTCTTCCTACTATCTTGATAGCAAAAGATTGTGCCACAATGAAACTAAGATTACCCATCGGGACCACTAACACGGCACAGTACAAAACTGAAGCTGGACGAAATTAAACTCTCCGAGAGTAAGCCTACGTAGAAACAGCAAATTCCAAAAATACCCTAATGGAGGCAAACAGTTGGGGCCCAGAGTGGTGCCCTCTTCAACAGTGACACTACCATATTATTTTACGTCATTTTCTATAGCAAGTATTCGCGTTGAATGTCTCAGAACCTAAAAATTAACAACCGTTCAAGCAAAAGTTATACCGACCCGGTATGGGTACGACCACGCCGGTTACAAGCAGCCAATACACTCAAGTCTGACGCCCTTGCACAGGTTTAGCATCCCCAAATAAAAGTCCAACTCCTCCTACCGATCCCAGGCAAATTAATATAAATAACACTCAGGAGGAATTAGACTTATAAGGTAGCGAAATTAAATCAGTGTAGCCAAACTACCACATTTACAGAAAGTTGAAATCCCGTGAAGTGATCACAAAGGCTGCCTGAAAAAATTCAATGAATGGTTTTTACAGCAGTTATCCTGTACGTTGACAGTTCGCAACGATAGCCAACAAGCTCGACATGCCCAAACCACAGCAATAAAACAATCACGTCAATTTAGCAACAATCATAAACTTCAAGTGCCAAATTGCCATAGTTGTTGGAATTACTCTGTCGTAAAACAGAGAATTAAGTAACAGAACAAGCGCACAAATCTAATGTGAACATATTTACATCAATAAAAAGCGAGAACGAAGGCACCTTCGCGGCATTTGTTAAACCAACACAGATTCGTAGCGAGCAAAGGCCTTAGAGTTCACCATGCGAAGAGAGGCACCTATCTGACGACCCGGTCCGACCTCGACAGCTCGCGGAAAAGGAGCACCCTCAGGACGACTGAACAACGCGTGCAATGTCTGCTCCCAGCACAACGGACGAGTTATCTGTATGAAATTAACAGTTCAGAGATGCAAATATGTATGCCGGTCTCAAATCATTTAAGGGATCATTAAACTCTAGACTAACAAAGTATCTGAGTAAGCCTATTTCAATCCCTCGACGTTTTACAACAAAATCCTTCTAGTAAACTACATCTGCGCGCCGACGCACCTGTTTGATGAGACGGAGTGAAACCGTAGAACCCTTTCCATAGGGTTCCGCATCGACATTACTGACAACAGGTATGCACGGAGTACGAGCAGAACCAACACGCTGGAGAGCATGTTTCAAAGGTTCTACTGCAGGAAGCATCAGAGGTGTATGAAAGGCACCTGCAACATCGAGCCTTCTAAGAGGCCCCAAACGAAATTGTTGAGCATGTTCCATGATATAATCCAATGCCTAAGGAAAAATTATTAAGCACAAACCCACAAGAAAAGTATACCTCCACCGAAGTTTTGGGGATAAAAACATCTAAAATTCGTAAAAGACCAACAAAGCGCCTCACTGTATCCACTTTTGGAACTTAGAGGTAAAATAAGTAAAATTTAGCTGTGCAAAGCAAGGCAAGGGACCCTACCTCATTATTCCCCGCAATAACCTTACAGTCGGGGCCAAGAAAACAGGCGATTTGACAGATGATTGGGACACTTAGTTTCAATTCCTCTTTACAATAATTAATTGCAGCAGATAGAGCCGTGCGAAGTTGAGAATCGTGTGACAGATAAACAGTTAACATTCCACCAGGAATTAGATCACAGGCACGCTGCATCGCCTCAGCGCGCACGCGAATTAGGTGCAAACCTGGTTGGGAAGACATAAATAAAACGGTGCTCAGCTACAAAACAGCACAACGGGTAGAGCAAATTAAGAGGAGTCACCAAATCAGTACTGCACACCGGGAAGCGCACACCCGAGCCTAGAACATGGTACTCTCAGAAGAAGTTACCGAAGCATCTTTCATCTCAAAATCCAAGCCTAAGACAATAAAACCCGATTCCTAGCATTATTTCATTTAGCTTAATCCCCGTATGTACAACTGCAGCCGACTGAATACCAACCAACACATGCAAAAAATCAATCTTATAGCGGAAACTTTTATGAGGCATGTAAAACGAACATAACCGACCTTCTTCAAACGTATAAGCACCAGCATAAACTAGAGCCGCGATTTCACCGACACTGTATCCAGCAGCTGCTACACATTTTTCCACCAACTAGACAGGAATTATATTATGGTTTACATACTTCGGGGGAATCCACCTGCAATTTTTTTGCCGCGGCTAACGAAGTAACGTATATAGCTGGCTGACAATGAATGTTCTGCTTGAGTTTCTCAGCTGGTCCCTCAAGACAAGTCCTCAGCAAATTTGTCCGCAAAATGGAGCTGGCAGTTTCAAACATTTCCTTTACTCCTTTAACTCCAATGAGATTTTTTGCCATTCCAACGAATTGGGAACTCTGACCCGGGAAAAGAAGCACAGACGTTGACTCAATGGGTTCCTGGGATGGTCTATCATGATACTGACACCATGCATCAGGCCTTTGACCATCTTTAAAAGGCAATGAGGGTGTGTTATGTGACGATTGTACTACTGAAGAATAGTTCTGAGTCAAACGCACAGCCAACCCCCTCCGCAGCATATCGTGCAACCACAAGCAGCACAGTTCGGCAACAAGGCTCTAAACACCAAAAATAAAGTCCAATTAAACAAGTACCGGCAGGAATTTCGCAAACAGGATGCAGTCTCTTTTAACTGTACGAGCAATCAAGTATGCCAGAGTATTTTAACAAATAAGTCAATTTGAAGTGCTTCAAATTTCGCTTCCAAAAGTAGTGCAATGCAAGACGATTGAGCACAAAAAGCAGAAATCAGATTGTTTATTATTTCATATATAATAAAATGTAGACATTGGTGTCTTGCTAAGGTCTCTAAACTATTTCCGGTATTTCATGTTTTTCCGCCCAAAATAATTTAGATAGGATTCAACCATACTCTTCTTGGCAGTAAAACTTCTCAAATGTCATTGAAATTTTAAAAATGGTAAAATTAAGTGTATGTTAAAAATGCATAAGAATATGTTGCTAGCCTGATGGCTAAATATTCTTCTGGTGACCGATTAATATGAAGTGATATGATGTTTTTACTAGCTGTATGTTCAATTATGGTGCTACTTGGGTCTATGCTCAGTGCTTCTGCAATGTGGGCTGAACTTTGTGTTGTGCCAGCCCTTGCGCTCCCCCCCCCCCTCCGAGATCACAGATGGAGGGCATGTATGGTGGGTTGGTAAACCTGCGAATACGTTTGCCTCAGCATCTAACAATAAAGTTAACCCCTTGGTATTCACTTCGACCCTGCGTCCCCTAAGAATGGTATCGACAACCGAAGTGACACCAGGCTTAAACCATCGAAAAGTCTATTACGGAGCTGTGCGGGTTAACTACATGAAGATGTTTACATGAACATTCGGCATTCCCACCGTGCCTCTACCAGGATGACTGCGTCGTACAAAGCGGCAAAATGGAAGAGATGTGATGCATCAGCCCTATACAATCTTTAAATAGATCTGCTTTTGGACTCAGTTTCTCAAGACTAGCGACTAGCATACGATATCCCGTCTTTGCGAAGCACTGTGAAGCTAAGGTGCTTCCTCCCTCTTCCACGCGTTTCATAGATAGGACTGAACTCCGGATTCTGTGGGATTGTCAAGGTGCCTCAGTGACATTTGGAATCGACCGTTTTCTCATATTTGAGAGAATTAAATGCCGATACTGCTTGGCTGCGGTAGTTTTCAAAGCCCATCCTACGTTGTGAAGGTCGACGTGGGAGGTTGGCCATCGTAAGCGCCGGTGGTGGTACGCAATATAGCGATGCAGTGAAGAATGTGATAATTTAGCAGTTTTTTTAGCAACGAGGGGGCTTTAGTCTTCAGGTTGTATTTCCGCTCTGCGGCAAGGTCTTCGGCCCATACTAGTAATCTCCCAGCCCTCCTGTACGTTACTAATATATGTTTTTCTTCTTTACTCTGTTTTATTACGATTCTGGCGGATGCTCGGGACTCTTCCAGAACATTAGTAGCATTCACCATGTAGTTCATTCAAATTCATCTTTTGCTTTAAATGCATTAGATTGAGATAAGTGATAATGAGGCAGCGAAGTAGTTCTTGTTGATTTTCCAAAGTCTCATTTGTGTTTATCAAGTTCAGAACTCCAACCGGCTGTTAGTAGATGAGCCAGTCTGCAATTTTCACGCAGAGCATTTGGGGGTGCGGCTTCTGCTTTTGAGTTTCTACTTGGTACTGTTTTACTCTCAAGTTCTACTTGTTATTCCAAGTCGCACCGTTGATTTGTTGCAGTTATTGTGACTACTTTCGTTTTTCAAGATTTCAAAGGAAGAGCACCTTATCCGAAATAAAACCTGCACCTTCTCGAATATAGATTTCAGTTTTTTCACAGACTGTGTGATTTGTCACTTAGATAAAATCGGTTCCAAATTAATTTCTTTTCCTTCAGTTATGTGTATTACAAAATTCATGTCCTTTCAGAATGGGAGCTTACTTTCACAGTGGATTTTACTTCGTCACACATTGGCTGTGTGTGATTTATTGCTTGGGCGGGATTAACTGCTTTCCTTGCAATCACCTGGGCCTAAAGGCTGACGACGTCGTCCAAAATGTTGCCGTGCTTCGTACCGCACGTTTCAAGCGTTCAGCTGAGCATTCTCGTCTCTCTTTTAGTGTTTATATGGATCCATCTTTTACGGGTTTACCCAATGACTCCGAAATAAGGGTAGTCTTCTTTCGTAGTCATCTCATCATTTAGTCTCTCATCGTGGATCCCGCCTTGAAATTTTTTGAAAAAGCGCTTTATCTTCGCAGTCCTCCTGTTACACTGGCCAATCTTGATAGGTATGCGATGCTTGCACCGGACATTCGCTGCTCTCAGATCTTGCAAGAAGGGAATTAATGGTTCTTCACAACTTGCGAAGGGTACAAATTCATTCTGTGCTTTGGATTGCGAGGAGGTAACACATTGCGGTCCTGTATCCATACCTCCTGAGCACTTGAACGTAAGCCATTTCTTTGAATAAATGTTTTCTACAGGGTCGCAAATTATCCAGTGACATTTACGATCATAATGAAATGGAATCACCTGTGAACACGGGCAGTTTTCTGCTCTATCTGGCAGCCAAGCGTACGAAAAAATGCACCAAAGCAGGTATTTTGGGCTACTCCTCCCACTGCCAGCGGGAAATGAATACAGACAGGTTCGGAGTTATTATTTCTCTAAGCAAATAGACCTATCGCGGGTTTTATTAACTTTTGTTTGAGCCACTCTGATCATCTTCGCGACTTATCACAACTGGATTACTTCGTTAGACATGAAGTGTTACACATACTGGTAACCATATCAATTTACTAAAACTGGTGTCAGGGCTTTTCACCTTCCTTATACGCTTTTTTTCGTGATGTTAATGGTACCCCTTTGACCCCTCGGCGGCCGAAATCAGGCATCCCCGCCCTCGGGTGGCTTAATTCAGCCAGGTCAGTCTTTACCTTACAGGTTGTGATAGCTCATTATAGCTCTCCTTCCAGAGTTACTTTAGTTATTTCTTGTCTATTTTAAGGGGCATTTACAAATGGAGTGAAAGAGTGATACGAACAAAGGTGCGGGATTGGCCAAGCGCACTTGGTACATTTCAAAGGAAGATCCATATGGTTGTCACGCCAACAGTCTTGGTATGTCCCTGTCCGTCTCCCTTCACCGTGCGTTCGAACCCATTGCTGCCCCTCCCTCAACTCATCTGTGCCTCTTCTCGCAGCGCTTCGCCCGCGAGTATTTCTCCTGTCCTCACCTGGAGGGCGTCGAGTTGGAGAACCAGGGTGGCGTTGGCGTTTCTCTCTCGCATTGGGAAATGCGCATCTTGGGCGTGAGCTATTCATAATCACCTGGGTGCTCTATGCATATGCCAGTTGATCATGTGATTATGAAGAGATGCGAGTGTGGAATAATTTTGCTTCACTTTCTATCTCAGTTTAGAACTACTTAAGCTAGGCTATGGGTAGAGAAAGCAAGGAATACAGCTAGTCGAAATTCCTAATTATTTATGTCTCGTATCACCAAGCTTCCATGCTCATTCAGAACGAACTGATGACTGCAACCTATACAAACGTATTTCGCCTTTCCAATTTGACCTTGGCCTTTCTGGAAGATACTGGGTATATGTGGTTTCACCTACCTTTTCGTTAATTTACGCGGTTATTTATTGCATGATTGGCCTTTCAGTTGGTATTTACCGAACTATTCTCTGGCCGAACACCTAGCCTGGGGTGCAAAACGTGGGTGTGTCTTCTCGACTGCAAGCTGTTATTCCTACATGTTGGATCAACTAGCTAGGTAGGTTTTTTGCAGTAGAAACACTATTTAAGTTACGTAATCATGTCAATTGATGCATTTTGTAGAGAAGCGGATATCGCACCGTTTTGTCTGACTCCACAGGATAAGCCTCTCGGTGATCTCTTTGTCTGCACTCCAGGCCGACGTAGTTTTGGATATTGTAATCTTATCCAAATGGCACGGAAATCTAATGCTACCGATAGTCACCCCATGTACACCTACTTTGGCAATACCTCGCGTCTGAAATATCAAGGAAGGGCTATACCACATGATTATTTCGGTAAAGTGGACCTTGCCGACTTTTGTCCCTTTGTTCAGGTTAGTTTTCTTATCTACTTATCTAGAATTATGAGCGCGAGATAAGTCATAACTGAAAGTTACAAACAATAACACTTTTAACGTTGAGTAGTGTTTCAATCCGTAAGTAGTAGTTTGGCCATCAATTCATAGCTAGGTGTCTTAATGCCTCTCCCTCTAGACTTCCCAACTTACCACTTTAGGAGGTGACGTGGTTAGACCCGAATGGAGCGTCTTCACGCTCGAGTTACTGTGGTGACCCTCGCAGTTCAAAAGGCAAGTGCTTTCTCTAGTTGCTGTATAAATGACCGAAGCGAAGTCCCATTAGAATCCCTCGTTCAACTCGATCTAGGTGCTGATAGGAGCTCTATTTCATAGTTGGTTTGAGCTCAGCAAAATCAAATACTATTTTCATCAAAAATAGCTCTAACGAACCTGAACAACTACAACTTGGAGGTTTATGGACCAAATTCGATTTGTCTGTCCATCGCGCCCAATTGGATTCTACTTGGTAAAAAGTCAACGGCCTACGAAGCCCCTGTTCGCGGAGCCGGTTGCTATAAAGTAGGTTCACAGGGACGCATACTCAAATTACACACGCGAAGACACCGTTGTTTTACATTCCAGCATAAGATTAAATTCCATTCTACAGCAATCAACATGTTATTTGCTTGCTAAGAGTAAGCTAACCGAGACCGCTTACCCTACTACAAGTAGCCCTGGGCGAACTGTGCTGCTTTCATTACCTACCTTTTATTATCAGTTCAAAAACAAAGAATACCCTGGTTCATGTTATCGGCTAAACTGAAAACCTAGCTTGACAATCACCGCAGTTGCAGCGATTGTATCAACACATTCGGCTTTAGTACCGATGCAGTCACAAGGAAGGAGGCTTAATAGTGGAGCTGGCCGGAGGCCTTCAAATTCTTTGTCCCGCCGGGGTACCGACAACCCTCGTAAATATTTCGGTCTGTCTCCGCGAGTCCGGTCTGACTGTTCTGGGCCACTTCCACTGTCCCGAATGCACTTCCTATTGCAGTGTAAGACGTTCATCTCATTTTCACTGTAACTATGGTGAGCTTTCGTGTACACGACATACTTTTGCTTTGACATCCCCAACCTACTGATTTCAGTGGCATCTACGCAAAGAATGACCAATCAATCTAACCAAGAGGGTATTACCATGGGCCATTATTAGACCATAGTAGTGAAGGTTCTTTATATTCCTAGTAATCAGCATTCATTGTGTTCCCTATGCGCCATCCTATTTTCTTATTATTTAGACGGCTGTCTGTTTCTCACGCAACTCTTCCAAATCACCAGTGGTACGACCCTATCTTAAAAACGGGACAATGCTCTCCCAATCTCCAGTCTTTTTACAACCTTGCAGGGGAAATACTCTTGCTTCCATGTTTGAAGCCATTATTTTTGTGTTAACCTTCAACTCCATCAAATTCTGCTTCTAATGTGACCTTTGAATTTTGTGGTTTTAAGTGCTGTGCCGCAACGTGGCTTTGAAGGCCTCATGAAAATGACTTCAATTCTAAAATGCCGCAGTAACCTAACCAAATAATTGCTCATTCCACATATACTCCCGTCGATTAATGTCACTTGCAGTTTTCTCAACATCCCGATATACGATCCATGCAAATGTAAACTTCGCAAATCAGAGTGTGCGCCACTTGTTCATAGTTTCATTTCTCATGACACTAATTCAATATCGGGGAGCAGTAAACTTACGTACTCAGGTCCTTCTACTCGACTATCCGTCACATAGGCTTTCGTAAAAAACGCCGACAGCAATTGCATTTTCTTCAAATAGATGTTTAGCTCTAACTGTATTTCGCTGGGATGAAGGTCAAATATAGGGTAAGCACTATTGAATAACGTCTACTCCAGAAAACACTTTCGTGCCAACGACGTTCTCTGATGTAGAGGGTATGAACTAAGAGCATTACAATCTTAACGCTAATTTGATTGATCACAATTTAGCAGTGCATGACATGAGTCATTGGGTAATGTGAGGTCCCAATTACCAAGACATGTTAAATGCAGGTTGATGCATCAATGAAGATAGGAAATGTCGGAACCGTGCTAATAAAAGTATTTCAATAATTACTTAACATAGTTAGAGAGAAGGAGACTCGCGTTAGTGCCACCGAACCCGAAAGAATTTGTCAAAACTAGTCTTCGTCGTCCGTTATTTTCGGTTCGCTCAGCCCAATCACGGTCTGAATCAAAAGAGATATTTTCGAAAAGTCTCTGAGCTACTGACCTTGCGGTCTTCTCGTTACTACCATGTTTAAGTATCTCCACAACTTCTGCCGATGAAATAGGGCGCTCCAGATTGCGATTGCCAACGCATACACCATGGTGCGCAGCCATAGCCGAGTAGGCTGCCTCCACGGCACCAGCCGCACCCAGACAGTGGCCTAGGTGGCCCTTCACTGAGTTCACGTGAATTGGTTCACTGTGACTTCGCTTTCCGTAAGTCGCTATTAGCCTGGCTACTGCCGATAACTCGATGACGTCTCCCACAGGCGTGGATGTCGCGTGACAGTTTATGTGACCCAGCTGAATTACAAACAGTGGTAATCAGTGACGTGACTGGAGTGAGGGGGGAACAAGAAAACAACGCGTAAATGAATAGTAAACCATGGGTATTTATAGTGGTGTTTTCAGTGTCAGAGGTACCTAACGGTAATGACTGAAATGCTTAGCATAACCGGTTTGTAAAACTCAACATTTTACCGCTAACGGAAGCTAAAATGATATTATTAAAGCTGTGGGACTCGGAAATTGCATTGGTTTATCACTCGAATCAGAAATATGGTACTGCTTACCTCATCAAGGGAGTCGATACCAGCATCGTCTAAGGCGGCCTTCATACTTCTAAAGGCCCCGTCACCAGATGGTTCAGGTGAAACCAAAGAATATGCATCAGCTACGAAAGCAAAGTTCAAACAAATGCTATTCTTACTGACAAGCTCGGTAGACTGGAAAGGGTTGGACTCTAACATTAAGTTAAACCAACAGGTGGCTCTTAGTAAGCCGTAATGAAATCATACAAATTAAATGGAAACATTAGGACAGCAACAAGGCGCTCAGCCGGAAATCGAATTCAAGACCGCCGAATAACAAAAGGACGCATGAAACTCGGAGACCTTATACACATACTCACCAGATCGCCCGAATCCAAGAACTTCTGCAATAGGTGGCTGGGCGGATGAAGAAGTAGGTGAAGGCCACGATTCAAGTACGAGGGCTGCAGCACCCTCTGCCATGACGAAACCGTCACGGGCAGCGTCGAAAGGTCTAGATGCACGTTGTGCCTGTGTCTCCATTGACAATGCCCGAATACGCGAAAACGCCATCAAAGACCATGGATTTAAGGGTGCTTCTGCGGCGCCAGCTAAAACCATATCTGCTTCACCATGCTGTACTGAAAACAGACGCATAAATTCAATCCATTAAGAAAGAGCAAGTGATGGAGGAAGAGAAAGAGGTACTCATTCGGAATGCCTCTCCAATGGAGTGGAGGCCGGAGGCGCAGGAGGTGCTGCATGCCATGTTGGGACCACGCAGGCCCCAGGCACGACTGATGTGGGCCACGGGCATGTTGGCCAAGGTGCGCGGTAGCACATGCGCACCCATGCCGGCGTAACCGTGTCTGTCCACGCGCGCCTGGCTACTCAAAATCTCAGCCACGCCCTCCAGACCTGTGCTAAAGTAGGTGCCTACAAAAAAAACCACATAAACATTGGCCTTCCTACTGATTCACTGCGAATCCTCAAAAGTTAAAAATATGACCTGGAACATACTAGGCTATGAACACCAAAGAAAATGTGGAGATCCATTCAAAAATTGGGTTAATTCGGCAGGGCATCAATGCCATTTAAATTATAGCTAAGTGCACAGCTTCAGTGAAGATTCAATTATTCTGGTGAATAGAGAGTGGTCATGATGTCTTTAGGCGCAAGTTAAGCAGTTCATGTTAGCGAATGCACCGCATCATCTGCAACGTAATTTGGGTCCCGCATTTGGGAAAATCATAACACAAAAAAGCGCACAAAACACTACTGACGCACAGGTGATCAATTCGAGAACTTAGATAGCGAATACTTAAAAGACCTGAATAACCTTTTATGTTTGTGGTAAAACACACGCGAATGAGGTGATGAAAACACGACCATAGTTCAGTGGAGCCAAACTCACAAACAGGATCCACCTCTAAGAAATACCACAACGATACGAATCTCGAAGTGAAATTACCCGCACGGTAGCTAACATCATTGAGTACAGAGTAGTTTCGGGGAGGCGAACCGGAATGCTGAGGCAGCCATCCAGATTGCTTGAGTGCCTCCTGAGAGGCCAACATACCAAGCACACTAGCGCGAGACATGGCTCTGCGATCGATCTGTCTTTCAACACCAGGAAGAAAGGCCTGCTCTTCCTCTAGTAGACGCCATCGCGATTCCATTGCTCCATTATTCACTCTCCCACCGATGCGACAAGGCCCACCAGCACAGTTACCTATGCGAAGAGAAGTTTGATAGACACATCATAGGTAAAGTATTTGACAAGTGGATTGCAGCACTCCGTACCATCGAGAAGGCCAATCCCACAATCATTTCGCAAAAGATGCATCCAGTTTTCAGACACTGTCACACCAAGGCATGATACCAATCCAACGCCACGAATTACCACTCTTCGAGACTTTTCCAACATACCAAATCTAATTTATTGCAATTTAAAACGAACACATTGATTAAAATGCAGTCAAAAGCAATGGAACGTTGGAAATTCACAAAATTGCAACTTGAAATCACAATATTTGCAGTCTGAATTTAACGTACTTGAATATTGTCATGAAAAAGAAAAACTTTACATAATTTTATTTTCAGTAAATGAGATGAGTGATGGGTGTACAGGGCACTGCAGGTGATAATACTGCTTTTACAGATTCGATAAGGGAATATATAACATATTTTGTGGAAGGCGTAATGCGGAAATATTCAAATACTGATGCGCAAAAGAAAGAACTGAAGGCATTTTAAAGCAAACAAACATATGTGAACAGAACAAGCTTATAAATGCACTAATCTTCTTTGTCATCAAGGGACTTTAGCTGATCTTCTTTGTAAGCTAGAATAATAACACCTATAAGAACTCCGTGGACCATAAGTACAGAGACGACAGCAGACGCAATGTAAACCGAGCTGTTAGAGAGATCAAAATATTCTAAAAAAAAAGTGAATGCATGCCACCTTACCTTTAAAAATACGGCGAGATAAAAAATAAGAAAATATCGGCAAAACAAGCATAAGGAAGGTGGCTGATAGAAGAGTCCTGGAAGTGTTGTATTTTTGACCAAGCATTCCCTACAAGAAAAAACCTAAAAAGGAGTTTAACTTCACCATATTACAAGGGTAGGATGTCTGCGGTACAACTGCAATATAACTCAAGTATGCAATAAGGAGTGCGAAAATGAGAGTTAATCTGCTTTAACCAAAAACTAGCAACAAAAACAAAAAGACGCTAAAACCGGCCCGTTAAGAAATTTTCAAAAACGAGTGGATGAAATAAGGTGGAGCTAGCTTGTACAGGAGGCAGCGCCCAGTGCTTTTAAAAAAAGAGGCAAGTGCTTTAATAGTTATAACATTTAGGATTGCCAAATAAAGCAAATTTATTAAAATATATTTTTAGACTCCTTTACTGCTCAAAGAGCAAAAAAAATTTTGTGCATAGATTTACTCGAGGCAGTTAACTTTGAAAATGCCACTCTCACATATACTAGGGAAAATTACTCGTCAATTGAAGGTTTTTTGAGTTTTACATGCCATGTGAATTACAAAAATAGTAGGCTCTGTACAAACTTGTTCTTAGACACGCATTTAAAAAAAAACTAATAAATTGAGTACTGAATTTTGCATTACTTTAATCAAATCTTCTACTTAGTTGCGTTGAGTAGCGTCAGGTTATGGTCACGGATACTGCAACGTGCAGGATGTTTCACTTTCGGCTATGATGGCGGGCTACTGAGGACTCTGAAAGTGCACCTTCGTCGGGATGGCTCTCCTTCGGTCCGTGGCGGTAGCAATCAGCATCTCAGTATGTGAAAAATATGTATTCTACCTAAGTCTTATGTATTCTGTTCTCAGGAAAGCGCTACGTTGATGGCAGCGAAATGCATGTCCAGCCATTGAGCACCCCTATCTTGATTTCTTCCACAGGGTGGTAAACGCCAGTGGGGCGGAAAAAGTGCATGCGGTGCTGATGGAAAATTTGGCTATGATTTCTTGCAAAAGGTTCGCAAGTAAAGTCTGTATTTGAAAGATACTTTAGTCTCATGTTGTGCAGAAAAGCTATCAGCAATGGAATTAATAACCGTATATAATATGTGTAGCTTCTAATCACTGCTGCTTACCATACCCGTATGATGATATCAGATAAGTTGTTGCGTAATACTCTATTTAATTCTCGACTGGATGTGTTTTAATTAGACAGATATAGCTTGGCGGCAGCCAGTAGGAATAATATGTCAAAGCGGATTAGAAGCAGAGCTGTTTAAAACCTTGTACTTTATCGTGTAACGGCTTGTTGGCCAGTGTATTTACGACTGGCTATTGGCACGTGTGGTGGCCGGTACACCATCCTCTATTACAGTTTCTTAAAAGCCAGAATGCCTAGATTTAGTTAAATTGCTAACAGAGATCAATTGAGTTGCTGATTAACATCTGTAGAGGTGTGCGAAAATGTAAAGACTGACATGGCTGGTTAGTGTGTGCTCATTTACAGTGGAGGTTACGTGCTATGATGGTTGTCCAACTCTCGGTTTTAATGAAGAGGGACTTTCAACTTGGCCATTGTACCACGCAAGGTGAGCTGGCCTTCTGGCCATGTCGGTAGCCCAAATAACTTATGCATGCCTAACATATATATTCAGTTCGAGAACTATGTCTTCTCTCGACTTCAGGAAAGTGTTGAAGGCTATCTTTCCTGGTTTCCACTGCTAGATGATAAACCTTAGCGATGCGAAAGAAGTACATATGTTGCAAATGGGAGGATCGGCAGTGACCCAGAAACAGAAAGGCTAGAATTGATGTCTACCCTCGGAAACTACTCCAGCCCCGTGTTTTGCAAGAAGCGACACTAGCCATGAACCATCTGGAACGGTGTCTTGGCAAGGTTTCCTTACCGCATCTGCATGAAGTTATCAATATAGCGAACTCGTGCTTTTCTAGATATGGCTGAATTTTTAACAGGGTTCAGTGACGTTGCGGCCAAGCATCTTCTCAGTTGCATAGAAATTTGGCGACTAGCACGGCCATCTCGTGGGCGTTTCCTTCGAACACTGACTGCGTTGCAATGTCTGACTTGGGAGATTGACCAAGTGCAGAGCTGGGGACGACGCTCAAAAGAGGAGAGGGGATACGTATTATGACAGTTGTTTAACTCTCGGCTTTGGTGAAGAGCGACTTTTGAACTGGTCATTGGGCCACGCAGGATGAACTGGCCTCAGGGCCAGGCCAGTGGCCCTAGTAACTGCTGTATGTAGGATATATATACACATATATGCCTTTAGCCCCAGTATTATGTCTCCTTTCTTTATCAGGGAAGTCTTAAGGCACTACAAATACGTTGTGAGCCATGACATAGGCCCCGGACCCTACTGTCAAAAATATATATTTCGCTTAGGTATTTTGTCCTCCTCTTTTTAAAAAATTTTGTAGGGTGCTGCATTTTTAAGTGCTAAAAATTAGTTTAAGACCTCTTAAAAAATTCCATATTTTCTTTAAAAATGGCGGTGACCTCAAGTAGTTATTTTATTGCTCAAGCACCGCTGTCCTTTAAAAATAAATATAAAAGTTAATATTTTTGCTGATTTGTTTAAAGTTTTCTTAAAGCGTGTGCCTTTTGGAAAAAGGTTCACAGGCGCTTATTGTTTCTTGCCGGCCTTGTGGTTTACTCCAGCTTCTCATTCGAATCTAGGCTGACGGTTTTTTTGGCAATATTGTTTTTCTTACCTTGCATCTTATGATTTACTGTTTAAATCGGCATTTAAGAATGGTATTTTAATCAGTTTTCTGCTTCAGTACTTTTGCTTGTTATTTAACATTCTAATGTTATTCTGTCCATCTCCGTATATTATGAACTTACTAACACCTGATCAGTGCCTCATTTTGGCTGTGCAGCATTGCATTTTGTCCCTGGTTTACGCAACATTGCTTTATTTCCGTCTAGAACGTATACGCAAGCGGATCAGATGCTTTCGGACCCCGGCGAATGTTGTAACAATTTTACAGATGCTGTCGGCGACGTATGCAGGGATTTTCTCAGGAATGTGTGTAAGAGGGGAAAGAAGTGTAAATATAAGCACCCCCTTGTTGCCTCGCCTTTGGACACTTCGTAAGCAGCAAATACTATCAAAAATATATTGCCATGTGTTTCAAAAAGCCTTGATTTATTTTGCATATAAGGTTTGGTTCTTTTATTGTGCCTCCAGCAGAACTGCTTTGCGTCATTGTATTTTTATGTACCCTAGTATTCCCAAAAATAGAATTCGTGCGTTCCATTCTTTCTTAATACAACCATTTTTACTCAAGTTTATCGATTAACTTGACTTACTTAAGTTATGGTCTTTTATGATTTGCCTCTCTTTGTTTCTAGATGTGAACCAATTTTCTGTCATGATTTTCAAAACGGGGTTTGTCGCAGACATTCTTGCAAATTTCTTCATTATACAAAAAAAGAGGAGGGGTTTTTTCGCTTAAATGGAGTTATTCCACAGCTTCAAGCATCTGAAGACGAGTCTTGTGATGTAGATACACCCATTTGCAAGGTTGGACATAATTGTCATATTTTTCCTAATGTCTTGTTATATTTCATGCTCTGTCCGGCCTATTAGCCACATTGGAAAACTCCGTATGTGAATGCTAAGTCAACACTGAAGCGTTCCGTTCTTCTTTGCCATACAGGGATTCGGTGTGCCATTGGATGGGCATAATACTCAGACACCTTGCTTTTTGACAGTTGTAGTGTTTTTGCAATGATGTTAAAACTTGGTAGTTCTCACAAATGTTTTTATTTTCTCTATCAATTGGTACGTTTTCTTTTGTATTATTGTCATTTTTTGTTTAATCATTAAAAGGACTTCTTGAATCACAACTGCCGCCGCGGCTCCTCCTGTAAATTCCGACATGGCAAACCAGTCTCGACCCCAAATACTTCTTCCTCTATTGATTCTGTCTCCAATAAGCCAGCAATTTACCATAACCCAGATCTTCCTCACTATACCAATCTTCCAAGTCTTCTGCCGCAGCACTGTTTGCAATACCCCAATGGTAGTGGAGATGCTGTTCCCCCACCACGTACCTCTGAGTCGGCCGTGGCCACGTCGGAGACGACGGCGATGGTCGCTGCAGCGGCTGCAGCTGGCTACCTGGCCATGCAGAAGCACGGTCAACATCACCAACACCAGTACCACCAGCATGGAACCGCAGTCCGAGGTTCTTCACCCGTGGATTCTCTCTCTACCTCCGCCCTCCCTCCCGCCTCCGCGGCTGCTGTGGCCGCTGCTGCCGCTGCAACTGCTCTCGCCACTACGCAACAGCACCAGCAGCACCATGCTCCTGTAAATTGTCACAAAAGATCAGCATCTATTAAATAATTTAATGGACTCCTCGTTATCGACTAGTCGGTTTTACTTACTGTTTTTAGTATTCTGAAACAGTGTTAACTGCTTCCCAATCCACCGGTATTCCGGTTATGCGGTCTATATTGGGGGTAGTGACCAACCCTAATGCATTACATCCACGCGGTTCGAATGATTCTACCTTTTGTTCACCAACTCCGCTTCAGTCCACCTCGATCCCTACTGAGACCGGATGCCAATACTATCAAGGGAATGATGGGCCTATGAGCGGTCTAAAATCTCATTTCTGCGTTAATTCAGGTAAAATTTCCCTTAATTTGCAATAACTATCACTTCGGTATTTCTTTCTTTAGATGATCAAGACTCTTCATCGGTTGATTTTAACTTGCCATCTCTCGCTAATCATTCTGCGAAACCCGCCAATTATGTGAATTCTGATCCTATAAAAAAACCAGTGAAATCTCACGCACCCTTCAACCAACACAGTCAACAGCAGCAAGATGCTAATACAGCAGCTGCAGTGGCGGCTGCAGCATGTTTCGGTAATCTCATCGTTTTCATATGTTTCTACCGTCCTACATTTGTCGTTTGAATCAATCTCTGGATTATATTGAGATATGCCACCGATTCAATAACATCGTAATAGTAAATTATGTGGGTTGCGTTCATCTTTTTTTAATAGGTGCTATTCTGTCTCAACCAGTTGTCGCCGCTGCAGCGGCTTCACACGCTGCAGTATCAAAGCCGACAGCAGGAGCTATTCTCTCTCAGGCGGTTGGTGGCGATTGTGCCCTCTCTTCGATGTCTGCGTCTCCCACTGCAATAGTTCCGCAGCCTTCTGCTAGCGGTGTGACACCTTCGGCACCGCCGACTGCAGTAGCTGCCGCAGCCGCAGCCGCTGTAGCTGCTGCCGTGGTCAGTTCAGCTGGGCCTTCAGCTGCCGTCGCTGCCATCTCCGCGGCGCATCTTGCCACCTCCTCTCTATCCCGTGCGCACTCGGCTACGCGTGTTTCCTGCGCTCCCCCTGGTACCAACTCGGCGTTAACTGCCGGCGGCAGGTGGCTACGTTTTTTTGTCCACCATCTTTTCTCTGTGTTGTTTCTACCGTGCATATGGCCTATGTAAATGCTTTTTGAACCGGCAGTTATTTAATTTCTCTACTTCAAAGACGCCTTTTGATAATCAAATCGCTCAAATCCACTGCCGCGTCGATTTCGATTTTTTGTGGATGCCCCCCCCCCTCAGCTTTGCAAACTTTTCAGCTCTAATATGCTTTTGATAACTTATCTAATATTTGGATTATGTGCACGAAACGAATCTAGTGAAACTTATTCTTTTGAAGTCGGTATGTTGCAAACATGAAGCCTTCAGGAGCTGTTGATTCATTGGGGGTCGGTGGTCGTCACAGGAGAGTTTGTAACTCTAACGAGACACGGGTGGATGTGTACGGTACTGATGAGGCCATGTCTCTCCACCTAAATGTGCCTCCGTCTCCGCCACCACCACCATCTGTGATACCCACAATTGGTGCTGCTGCTGCTAATCCTTCGCCGCTGGGCTCTTCTGCTGCAACAGCCGCTTACACTGCTACAATGACGACTGCTGCTGCCGCCGCTGCAATGGCTGCTGCAGTGGCCGTAGAAGAACATAATCAGAAGAAAAACGCCGCTGCGGCGGCTATGGCTGCATTCAGCGAAACTGCTGCACTTGCCGTACGTTATTACTCTCGCATCAGACTTCCCTTTGTTAGACCAACTTTCTATGGCACTGTTAAGTATGTGGTGGCGAATAAAATGCAGTTACGGCTCGTATTAATTTTTTAGCATGAAGTTCAAAGTATGGCTCGAATCACTGATCACGCCTCTTTGTCTCCCGAATCCCTACCTTCCTCAAGTCTTACTCCAACCACCAAATCTTCCCCCTCTGAGACACTCACCGTCTATCCATTGCCAACTGGCAAAACTGTGCCGCAGCGTCGACTGCGTCTTCCTCGGAATCGCCGCCAAACTCACTTCTCAGCTTTCGATGTCGTCGATGATGAAAGTTACGAAGAGGGTTATTTCGAAGATGAGGAGGATGAGGGAGATGAAACAAGTTGTACTGTGTTAAACCCTCATCAAAACGACCGAAAGTGCTCTAGAATGGGTCGGTCATGTTCTCCAGACCACGTCTTTGGGCGCAGCCAGCCGATCGTGGATAAACCACGGCAACGGTCTCTCTCCTATCCCACTTGTACTTCTCGTTTAGAATCAGGTGCAAGCAAGGAAGAGTCATCAAAACGACCCTATGTTTTAAGTGCCTCTTCAATACCTTTATCTCCGCAAGCTTCGTCCATCAACTCGGCAACTGGATCACCACGCGTGTATCGTGAATGTGGTCTTCCTCCCAAACGGCCTAAACTCGTTGCCCCGCGCGACGGCGGTCGTATTGTTCCCTCTAATTCATCGACTTACACGCGTAGGAGATATCATCATTTCCCCCGACGAATGCAACAGATTGATATGGAATCGGAGATGGACGACGAGGAGGAGCTCTGCTACGCTGAGGATACTGAGTTCTACAGTCCAACAGCTGTGGTTACCCAACCGTCTTATAGAGAGAGGTTGCATGTGCTCAAGTGCGAGAACGCGCGACTTAGGTTGCATTTGCAAAGAGTCGTTCAACAACGGAATCAACTGCAAATTGAAAATCATACCTTGATCAAGCAGAACTTAAAATTACGCAATCTAGGTTCTGCGAACAAACGAACGAATATATACCCCAATAACACTTTTATGAAATCGACGGCAACGGCCTTGCCTTCAGAGGTAAAGCAACGGCTTTTGCGGTCGCCCTCCCCCTGCCCACAACTATCTTCAGCATCAAAACACAAAAAATCTAGTAAGTTTTACGCCTACCAACGCTGTTATTCAGGATTGTAAGCGATTTAAGATAACGATAGTCTCCCATGCATTTATAAGCTGATGCTTTATAAGATGCCAACTACTCCACATCTGCTCTGTTAAACTATTAGTATTCTCCCTGACTATTCAACAATACTAATCAATTCATCACTTTGACATTCGATCCTTTGATCCTTCTTCATCTCATTAAAGTTCCCGATGTGCTTGTACTACATTGGGAAACGTCTAATTCAAACCTGTCTAACACTTTATTTGGAAATTTCTCTTATTGCAGTACCTCGAAACTCGTATGCACCGGCGAAGTGAGCATTAGAGAACCCAACTTCGGCAATGCGTATAATTTCGCTTTTTTGGCTTCAATCGTTAACAGTCTTGCAGCTGCCTTATTTCTGCTCATGTTCATGGTGGGATCTCTAAAGAATAAATTTTTTGTAGAATATCAATGAAGGGGTACCGTATTTTTCATTTATTACTTTCAGGGGACTTTTATTGAAATTAGCTAAACATCACCAGGGAGTCTTCACAGCCACAGCAGTAGGACGACAGCCATTATGTTTGCTTGACAAGTGTCAGCTCCATAAAAGTTTTAAGGATGAGATCGATGTTCAAATTTGAGTGTTGCGGTTGGTCTATTCAACGAGCCGAGGTAACTGAATCCAACAAATCGTACGAAGAATAAAGCACAGGAATCTTCAAATGGTATTACCGCGTGGGGAGGCAGATAATGGACAGGACTGTTATCCGTACATTTCAACAGGCGGGGGCAGTGCGTCAACGCCTTTTCCATCTCTTAGTAACTTTTCCTTGTCCATAATCCGGGCCGGAGTGTCGTGTTTTCAGAAGGGGGATGGTTCTGCCGAGATGTATCAGCAAGGACTGGCGAGTGGGGAATCTGGGTGACTGATCATGCTTATAGTGAGGCCTACTCTGGCATGCAAGGGGACCCATCATCGTTCTTCAGCTGTACCCTAACGCGCCAGCGGTTTTGCGTTTCCGCAGGATCCCTCTCACGAGAATGAACCTAAGACATATTAAAACCCGTTTTTATACCTTATTTTCAGCTAAGTGCTGAAGTCCCATGTTCTGTAATATGGCGCAGATTTCGGTATGCTTGGGATTGTCGACGCCTTGCTCCATAGAAACCTTGCGCCCCTTCGCCCGCGTAACACGACTATTTAAATAAACTGGATAAATGCATATCCATCTCTCTTTGTCAGAATGTCGCATCAAAGGTGAAAAGGGTTTCGGAGCAGTGAGATCAGAAGCCATTTCAAACACCCGATAAGAGAATGCGCGTGATGAGCGGGATTCATGCAAACAACAATATATTGTTTACGCCTTTTGATTCTAAAAATCTTTGTAAAGATAAGAAAAAAATATCTGCTTTGCAATTTATAAAATCAATTTTTAAACTCTGATTAGGCTATTTGTCTAGGACGGTGCGAAATAGTTCCAAAGCTGAAATATTAAGCAAATTCCATACATCTGTTTATAAACCTTTTTACATTATTGGACCCTCAAAGAATGGAATAATTGTAAATGCCATTGGAAAATTTTTATAAATTCTTGATCTCTATGCTTCTAAAATTTGCCTGTTTTAGAAACTGTTAGCATTTCTTACCACGACCTGAATCCCTAACCTGTCACATTTTAGCCTATTGTCGGCCTAATTGTCTAGTCGTGCTTCGTACTGGACTATTTTATCAACTTTAAAATGCATCTGCCTGTATTCATCCCATAATGCCAAAGCATTGGATAATACGAATACGAAAACCGTCTCTGAATGCCGCTCTGGTCGTGTTTGTTGGAGGATCCACGGCTTTATGCGCATGGTGGTTAATTAGGCGAATTTTCCCCGAGAAATCAAATGCGAACGAGGCGCCGTCTGACCAGTTCATGCGGAGAGGAATCGATTCTGGTATCCCACACCCATCACAAAATCGCTTTGTCGACGTCTTACCTAAATCTACCACAGCTGCCGTATCTAATCACAAGTCATGCGGAGTACTTTCTCGTTGTACCTCAGTTTCCTCGATCACCTCTCCTGCCGTAGATTGTGGAACGATCGGTTTAGAAACATTGAACAAAATTGTGGACCAATTAGAGGATTGCATGAGTAAGATTAGTTGTACAATTCAACAGTTTAAATCGAAAGATCCAAGCACTGATGTTTTCGTAAAAGAATTGCAGAGATTTTTAGAGTCGTCATATCTCTTAAGGGAACAATTCAAGCGCGCTTTTATTCAGGAAACTCCGGCATTTACATCCGAACTACATTGCGTCGACTCGCTATCTGACGTTGAAACTGAATCGTATTTTTCTGCTGTCGAGGAAGTTGACTTTTCCGAACTTGAACTTCAGATTTCATCTAATTTTCACCGACCATTCTATAGAAGTGCTTTGAAAGAGTTAAACGAAGGAAACGTCACTTTCAGGTATGCTTGTCCACGCGGACATAAATTGCCACATCTTCTAATTTACTACTATCCTTGCCTAATCTCTGTCTATGAATTTCAATGTATCCTTTCGAGTTGGTCCGTATCCTTTTGCTTACTGGTCTTCTTACCTTTTTATGGGGTCCTACAGGCGTCCAGATGATGCGTCTACCATTTGAAGCCGAAGCTGTTGTACCTTTTCTCTGTCTATTTACCATACTTTAGGCAAATTTCAGTTGCGTATCAATTTAAAATGAAGTCACTACAGCAGGTTTTCACAGATGTCTTCGATGATATGCTGAACACTGAATCACTTTTCTTTTGAAAGTATTGGGTCGTTTATATTTTGCAACATAATTCATGTTCTTTTTGCGCAGATCCCTCCGCACAGAAATGATGAATTGCCAATCGGATATTGAATATCTTGGGAAACTAATATGCGTTCGACGCGGGTTTGACTACATCCTCGCCCATAATGAACAGGTTGCTTGGCTTATGCAAGCTGGAGAGTCCTTAGCGTGTGGTGCCCTCGTTTGTCTTGGATGCGGAACTATGGATTTCGAAGAGGCTTACTTGTGCGTTGATTCTTTTTTTGAACCTTTGGGCATGGTCGCGAGTTACTTAAGTTTTATCATGTTAGTGCGCAACATCATCCCTGCCCACTCGTTGAGCCCTTAATTGTGAACTGGTTTTTGGGTTTTAGATCTCTACTTACATATTTAAATTCAACTAAGGACCCCGAGAATCTTGCGAAGTTTGCTGATGAACTCGCGGGCAAGGACGTCCGAGCAATAAACTTTTATGATATATTTTTCGATCGTATCCTCATAGACGCCCTTGAGAACCTGGGCAACCCTCCCTCCTCCATTCTGGCGTTGACGCGCAACACGTGGCTGAGCCCCGGTTTCAAGCGCTCCGCTCTTGACTCGGCCGTGTGGACTCTCATGGCTGCAAAGCGCAAGCTGCTCAAGTACCCAGATGGCTTTTTTTCACTTTACTACCGCGTAGTGGAGACTGTCGCATCCGCGATGGCATGGGGCTTTCTTGGCTCCGATGAGGTGCTTAACACTTTCTGTGAATCCGTTCGGGAAGAAGTGGTCACTTTTTTGCGCTCGCTCTTTAAATTCACCGACATTAATGTCTCAAGCGTCAACGGTAGTGCATCTTCATCTGCTTCCCCCGACTTTGTGGAAAATGAGCATGATTTCGAGGACGATGACGTCACAATCACTCCTGATGGAGATAATCGACCATCTCTCCGTGATTCCTACACGGGCATGGATTTCACCAGCATTGAGGCGTTTTCTGCGTGCATCTACTCCAACATCGCAACTCTCCATCGACGACTAGCCACCTTAATTATCAGCTTTTCGATAAGTAGGAAAACGCCCCTGCAAGCCAGCATATTTGAGGGATTAAATTTACAACAACCACCGTTGCCACAAAGTTCCGCCGGTGATATCGCGCTATCATGCTTTTGTTAATAAAATATATGTTAGATTTTGCCTTCCGGTTTATTACTCGGCTGCAGCTATTTAGTACCTTTATTTCATAATTATAATTAATACTATTGCTAGAACCCGATCTACTGTCTATTACATCGTTGCCTTTTACTAAAGGTTCTCATTTCATTGCCGGATCATTATTTGGTGTGAAGTAGCGCCGACTTGTAATTTACGACCATGACTGCGTCAAGGTATTGTTGCTGTACAGAGGCTTTACTTTTGTATTTCGTCGGACTCTGCAGAGTACTTGTCCACCGAGCAAGGCGACTCAACTTATCTACCACCAGTCTTGCTTTCAACGTAGTATCAATAGCGCGCCCAGTATACTAATATGTACTTTTCACATGCAAAGTAGGCATTCTTTAGCCTTGATGCATGCAGGGGAAATCCGTATAAAAAGTGAATCATTACTGCAGTCAGTGTACCTATGTGAAGTGCAGTACGACTTCCAAAGTGATAACAAGTGCGCTAAGGACTCCAGCCGGTTGATTGTCAAATGGTTGAGAAATCCAGTTCATATTTGCTTTGTCAGATCAAAAGTAGAACAAAAGCTAAATAAGCGATTGCAGTATGTAATACCTGCTTTAATAAAAGTCCGAAGCTAGAGTTTCTCAACACAACTAACTAGTTATTGAAGAAATTGTGGAGGTATTCCAACGGGCAGAAACAGAACAAGCTGCCGCCTTAAACTTGGTAGTTCGGTGCGTATTTAATGACGTTTTGACAAATTTTTGGGGAACATGCCACAAAACTACAGAAAACGTTACAAGACTTCAATGAAAGTCACAAACCAATGGAATACAGCTGATGATGAATGACTGACGACCAACTTGACGGTACTATGCAACACCAAGCCCTTTAACCATCTTTTGGCGCCGGAGTATATGATCTTGTGAAAACTTTCTAGGCAAAGCATAATACTTTGCTTGCAACTACTTCTCAAATGCGTCGCGGTATCTGCCGTCTCAGTGATGAAGTACACGGCCTTGTAAAATCTTGTTATAAATCAGCCTCAAGGATGTGCGTATTTTAACGCGCCATTGAAAGATCTTATGCCTACTTAAATGTCTTGAGTAAGCTAAACTATTTCGATAATTCCAGAAGGGATGGACAGGGTTGCCAATCCTCAAATCAAACCTATTCGATATGCTGTAAGTGACGATCACTAGCTTAAAGCCACTATTCGCGTTCGTCGAGTCGGTATTCATTTATAGGTGTTATGAGAATCAAAATTGCACTTTTACGTGAATGGGGGACTGCGTATCCAAAACTCCCGATTCCGTATTGATCCGTCAAACCTTATGACTGATAAATGGTGACTACTAGTTTATTGAAACAAAGAGAAATTAATTAATCTTATAATAATAGTAGAAGCATAAAGGTAGATAAGGTGAGGAGTCAAATTCAGTTGTAAGGAAATTAACGAGAACAGGTAGACGTGAGCGTAGACATGAAGATAAAGAAGCCACAATGGGGGAGATCGTAATGAATGCACGATCCGGAGGCTCCTCGATATAAATAAATGGGCTTGGAGAGAGGGGGGATATGATACTAACCTAACACGAAGTCCTGTGTTATTACGAGGTTCCCGCCTTTCGGCCAACCAGGAGGTGGGTGCGCATCTCGCCTTTGCCCTTGACGAAAACATTACCACGATACTCAAATTCGTAGTGCTTGGTGAGGCGTCGCGCCACCTCCTCAGTCACCTGCACCCGACCTTTCTGACCTGTCGAATACATCCGGCTGGCCACGTTCACAGTGTCGCCCCAAATATCGTAGAGCAACTTCGTCGTGCCTATGACACCCGCTGTCACCTCTCCTATATTGTAGCCGATCTTCAACTCAAACTGAAAGTTGAACATTTGTCGGTTGAAGTCATCCAGAGTCTTAAGAAGCTCAATGGCAAAGTCCATTAGAGCACACAAATGATCATCCAGTAACGTGTTCTGCGCCCGCTGAACCAAATTCAAGCCGGAAGCAGCCATGAAACACTCAGCAATTGTCTTGATCTTCTCCACATCCTTAAATTTCACAGAGGAGAGGAGGTGCTCAAAATCTGCAAAAATTTCGTTTAACACCCGCAACATCTCCTGTCCACCTTGATACTGCTCATCGTAGAACTCTGAAAAGTTGGCTATTGACGCAAACATAACAGCAGCATCGGTCACGTGTTGAGAGTACTTGTTGGTCTTCCTCAGGTCGGTAAGCACAAAGCGTGGAATGATATTTTCCAGCAACCATTCACCCTGCATCTTCTCTCGAGTAATGGCCTTCTTGGCACGGCTCGCCTCAAAGTCGCGGTTGAAAGAGACACGAAAGCTGATGTCGATGTCGCGGTTGAGAAAGAATATGAGGATGAGATTCAGGATGAGTATAACGGTTATTTCCCATGGAAATAGGCTACTTTCAGCAGCAGCCAACCAGATAGGAGAGGTGCTTAAGTCTCTAGCTGTGGTCACGGCAGCAAAGCCAGCCACTTGGTCGGAGTACGCATAGGAAAAACCCGCGAAGGGCCAATGTATCAACAAACAAGCAATGATGCATAAGGTCATTGCCGAGAGAGATTTTGTCCATGAGGAGTAGTTTGGAAACAGTGTCAAATTAAACAGCATGAAAGTGAACAAGATCCCATGAACCATCCGGTATTCTCCAGTTGAGAAATCGGCCACTGCTGCGACATCCGCCGATCGACTGAACCAAAAGAGACAAATTTGGAAATTGGAGAGCACAAAAGCCGCAGGGCTACAGAGCATCAGCACCCCCATGATGTTCCTGGTGTACCAGTTGAATAGAAACCGGTAGATGTGCTGAAGGCGCTTTTCGGGGAGACAGAATCCTCCCCATGCTAGCAAATCCGAAAAAACAATAGCTATGAATAGGCAGTTAAAACAGAGAGCCAGTGCAAACACGACAAAGGGTGTCACGAGCGCCAGTCGACTGTTTGTTAAATTGGGAAAGTTAATGAAACAAGCCAAGGAGACGAGGAGGAAGAAGAGGAAGTGAGCCAGCCCATTGGTGACAGGGGTTAGACGGGGTGTTGCAAGTGTGATGAGGACAGACTGACGGGGAACACGAAGCACCTGCCGCCGGTAGGTCTGTTCGAGAGATTGTGAGAGAAAGCAAAGAGAAAAGCGTGAAATCGGTGGGAATTTGAAGACCTCTTCCGGCTTGGAGAGATTCCACAGAGCGTCCAACATCTCCACATCGGAACCACGAGCCCTCACCTCCGGTTTATCAGATCCAGGAGATGTTGTGAGGGTCAATTCGTTTGATCCCGTTGGTGATGCGATGATCTGGTCGACCGATGTCTTTGGCTGATCCTTGACAAAAGACGGTGTGTTGTTGGTCTCATTAACAGACGCAGATGCTTTGGACTTGAAGAAAAATTCGATCTTAAAACAAATGCCTTTGGTTTTTATGATGCACCATTGAAAGATAATGAGTTGGAACATTTAGTCAGTTATACATACCATTGAACAATCATAAGTAAATATGTCAAAGACCAAATTTCTTTTAATTGCATCAAAAATCCATTGTTCATATTTGAAGGGTTTTGGTCAAGGTTGTAAAGGAAATTTAATAGGACAAGAGAAGTAGATCGGGTTCATGCAAAAAGTGGAAGTTCATTCAATTGAAAAAGCGCAATATTTAGGATAAATACCAAGGGTAAGTTTATAAGGCATTTAGTTGAACGTACCTTATCTAACATGATAATCGGTTTGTTATCGAAACGTCTCTCAATGAAGTAGGTTTTAATAACTAAAATACGAACAACAGATACCTTAGTAGCAATACCGTGTATTAAGTTACAAGGGCCTATATATACTAGGTGCTGTTTCGATTAAGAACTGATCGGAAATGAGTTGAGTGCAAACGGTGTCGCAGTCACTTGGCGTGTCAAGGAGTCAGGATTTCGTGCCGATTACTGGCTAAGCAGCCACCTGCAAAAACGAGGACATTAAGGCGATCGTTGAATAGTGCGGCCCACGCAACCTCGAGGCACCAGGCGTACCTCCTGCCGCGCACTTCGCGGAGAGGATGAGGGTGGCCAAATGCATCGACAAAGAGAGAACAGAATAAAGTAAAATATACTGCAATCGCTCATTCTCATAGGCACAACTATGCACTGCTCTTGCAACAGCTCTCGAGTGATAGCTACGATAGGTAAGGAAGGGGAACGATGAATGTGGTCCACTGAAGACCGCAATCTCATCAAATCCGGCACAAATGCACCACAAAATCAGCACAAAATTAACATGTGCAAAAAACTTTTAACCTCAACAAAAATATCTTTAAAAACAATATTGCAACGGTGCTAGCACATCACCATCCCTGCACACAATGGAAAAAGCAAAGCAGAATTTAAAAAAATGAAAACAGGCTACTATGACACAAGCGGTACGCATTGCCAAATATTAGCCGCTTAGCAGTAAATGATACTCGCCAGTTTCAGGAATATTTAGGAAAATTTGGAGCTGTGTTCACACATGGCAAGCAATAAGACTGGCGACCGGTGTCTACATAAATTGGCTCAGTCGTAAATGCTCGCGTCAAAAGTTACCGGTAACCTCAACAACAACATGAATTTTGCGGTCGATGTTAAACGGTGGATTGCATGATACTCAAACTTTTACTTCATGAAATACTCTTACATAACGTTTCTGTCGAAGCAAAACAGCGAAAAAGATTGGGACTTAAATAAAATTATCGATTTCATGGAAAGAAGTCGCGCGTACAAAGGAGGAAACAATTCCTAAGTGGTATGCCAAGATGAATCAATTTATGAAATGCAAAGAAAATAATTATAATTTTGCCATATTCTGGAGTATTTCTAAACAATTGTTGAAACGATTTAGTTATTTTTACAAAATACTTGGTGCTCATGTCAAAGTGATGGACTTTTTGTATGAAAGGGAATACAACTTACGAGCTTGATCTCGAGTATGTTTAATGGCGTAACGTTGATCCTCCTTGTTGTAATATTCAATTAATACTTTTACTTTCCGAATGTCTACAAAAAATTCCCAAATAGCTGCATAAACAAAACACAAAGCACTTCATCAAATATGCTTTTACGCACCAGGAACTGGTTCGCCCTCTGAAACTTCGTAGATATCTTTGACAAATTCCAGTGTGGTTTCGGAGATGTGCACTTTACCTGCCTTACCTGAAGACTCCATCTGATTAGCTATGGTGACATCGTTTGACCAGACGTCGAATTTGAAGCGGCGCGTTCCGACCAATCCACAAATCACCTTTCCAGTATGCACTCCGACACGCATATTCACCTAAAATTGAAATCATTCACCAGATAGGTAAGAAGCGCACCAATTTTGTTTTGTCATGCGTAGAGGCAACTATTAATCAGATTGAAATATGAAAAGCCCAACAATGGTGACGTGAGTAAACGTATACGCATCCAAAATAAATTTCGTCTTCCGAATCGGTGTTATTTCGAATGAAGAAATTATAAATCTTAAACCCTTGGCTGTCTCGCATCAGTAGCCGATGGAAAATGGACCACCGGCGGGGCATACCATTTACAATGCTCACTGATGAGGTGAAGGACCATACCTGTTCGGCGTGATCATCGTCAAACTGCTGGATAGCCACGCACATAGAGCGACCCATTTCGACAATTCTCTCTGCATGGTCAGGCACGGCGTTGGGACAGCCCGACACGCAGTAGTAGCAGTCGCCCAACGTCGCTATCTTCTCACACTGGTTCAGCTCACAAAGGCTGTCAAACCTGTCAGGAAATAAACAAAGCCAGTAGCCAAGGTTCCAGGAGTTTACAAGGACTCAGTAAACCTAAAGCATTCTTTGCAGCAATAATTTGATGCGGATGTCTATTTTCGATCATTGATTGTAGCGTTAGTGGTATTTTAGTGTCACAATTAATAGTAAGCAACACTAATAACAGTTTATCAATTTTCACAAAAATGAACCGCCCTCGGTGCTACTATTTTTACCTATTTTTTGGGCGAAACAACAGAGAGTGCGTAAAATGATAGGCAGGGATAATGGGATATGATAGAGACTAACGTTTCAAACAGTGATGAAATATAATTTACGAAAACCTTAAGCGGGATTACGCACAAATAGGCGCCTCAAGAACACTTGCCCGGGTACATAAAAATAAAAGACAGCAGCGAACTCTTCAATGGTAGAGATGGTTGGTGGCAGGTTGATTTGTGCGAAAAATTTACACAGAAAAACAAAATAGTCTTTTACCCACCAATAAGCACCGAAACAAAAGGACGGCTTAAAAATAAAAATTTATACAACCATAGTATATTAACCACTCCAAGCATCTACCAATTGGTAAACGCTTTTTAACCTAACGGGACAAGTGATGGATTCTAACACATAATTTATGTACTAATCCAAACACGGATTGTTAAGAGTGGTAGCTGAAATATTGTCATATAAAATACTAACAGATGGGAAGGATGAGACCTGACAAAGTAATCTCAATGTGTAAAACGTGATTCGCGATGAAAATCTGACGGATTTCACCAGAACACTTGTTTTTACAGGGTTACCTTTGATTCATATTCCTCACATCCCTTGTGAACAATTTTAAGGAAAGTTTACAAATAAAAAAAGGCGAGAAGGGCCACTACCAAAGGAGTCTGGGGATCATAGGGCACTGCATTGGCACGGAAGTTCTGGTTAATATAGAAAACGTACGCGTGAGTCCTCCAGAATTTTTTAAATTAAAAAGGCATCGCCTTCAAGAATAAGTGGGGCATTGAGAACTTACCGTCCAAAAAGATCATTGAGAAGAAGCAGGAGTTGAGAAGCAGATTTGTTGGAGCTCATATTCGTGAACCCCACAATATCAGCAAAGAGGATGCTGACATTTTCCATCTGACTGACGTGGAATTTACGAAACTTCACAGCATGTCCGGCTGAGGGTCGCGGCAAGCTGGACGAAGACGCGATTCTCACATCAGGGTTGTGTACCCTATGCTCTCTGCGGGCTGCAAATATAAGTCAATGGCGAGATTCATCCAAAAGATCATTCAAAACGGGTTGAAAAACACAATTTTTTTCAGATACAGTGATTAGCTTTCATAGTCCTTACTCATTCTTGCTAAATGATGTTAACAACACGATCAAAACCGATTAAATTTGATTTTTTTTGATAAACCAAGGTCAGTGGAATTTGTTGTGCTTTGGACAATTTATGAACTTGCATTGTAGCAAATTCATGTAATGTTCGACAATGACAATGGTGCAATCTTAAACCATCCCCATTGCTTCCCATTTTGGCAGTAAAGGTACTCAATTTTAGCGCATAAAGCACGAAACACATAAGCGTAAAGTAAATCAATCTTTAACAGCAAAGGTGATTCCCATGAATGAGAAGGGGTACCCTTGAATAAGGGAACAAAGAAAAAAAAATATTTCATCGGACAGTTCCTATTAAGTCTGCCGTCGTAAAGTTGCAAAAGCATGAGATTTTCATCAGTTTGAGAAGCTATAACACAGCACAGTCCTTTTCCCCAAAACGTAATAGTGCGATGATTGGAATCAGAACGATCAAAATCGCAGTACTGAATAAAGATGGAAAATATGGCACCCGGTTAAGAGCGCATCACCCTCGCTTTAACGTTCCCATATGGATCGACCAATTTGGCTATCCACAGTCAGCTAACCAATCAGGTTCTTGAATCGTCTGGACCTATCAGCAATTGACTGTTTCTGCCATAACGTCAAGCTCTCGGATTTGATCCATGTTTAAAGTATCGGTCAGCATAACATCTTCCACCGGAGTAATATGCTAGGTCGGTGTAAAATCTTCATCGATTAGTTTTTCAGCAGGTAATGTAAAGGAAGAAATGTCCACAAATACTCGTCCTGGGAGGGGACGAGAGGTATAGACGCACTTGAGGATAAACCCAGAAACAATGATGAACCGATTTACCTGAGTGACATATCCACTTTTGTGTCGCGATCTATCATTAACCAAAGTAAAAAGTACTCGCTTTACTTCAATGGCTACTGATAAGTCAAAATTTGATGTGCGAAATAATTTTTGTGTTGTACTGAGAAAATCCCACTTATTCGATGGGGAAAATGACTAAAAAATACAAACAGTGCAAATACTAATATGTACTTGTAAAGAGGGGAAAATATGAATAGGATGGAAACAAGCGAAGCAATAATGAGCAAGCATCACCGACAAATAGTGATAATTTTGCCGCCTAATGATATTTCAAGTTCTAAATTGCTCACACGGTATTACAATGCTATCAAAATGGAGAAGGGTTTATAATTGAAATTCACCAAACTTCAGAAATGAAGCATCCTGAGGAAGTTAAAAACCATAAAGAGCTATAATGACATTCGATTCACGAATGAAGGAAAATATTCGAAGGACGATGTGCCAATGAATTCAACCGAATAATGGCGCGCGCTGGCAGTGGACAGTCATTCTTATACAGCAAACGTAGTGGTAAAACGCAAATCGAACCGTTATTAAAACTTTTAGCTCGAAATAGTGGTGAATGTGTGAGACATGAGTGTTCGGAGCACTACTAGAGTTCTGGTTAATGCATAGTTCATTTTGATGTACAACAATATAATTACAACTCAATTCGACCTAAAATATTTATTTCCAATAATCACTTCAGTTGTACCGAGGATTGCAATGTTTGGAAAGTTGCCAGTATTGTCAACGCCATATACATCTTGAAGCCAAATGCCAATAAACAGGCTCGCAGAGAGAAAGAACAAGATCAGACGGGAAAGTGTTATCAGTGGTAGCAACAGGAGTAGTGAAAAGTTAATACGAGTAAAGAAGAATAGCAACCGGATAATGAATTGGGAATTTTTGCGCTAACCTCCAAAATGGTCATTAAAACACCTAGCGTGAAATCCCAAGTATTAAAGTGGTACACCCTTGACAAATAGAAATAATACTTGAATATTTACAAATAGATATCCTATTGCGTCAGTTTCTGATTCATAAAGCAGGTTCATGCAGTACCATAAAAACTCGGATTTTCATTGCAGAAATGGCCGCATAACTAAGTTTGGTCTCCCTCAATTCAAACGAGATTTTATTGCCTTAGTAAAGTTGTATTGAAGCACGAAAATATGCAACAGAAAAGTCATTGCTATCGGAGTGATGCTGATTGTTAAACAATTATTTGCTAAAAAACCCACTACCAATACACTGTTGTAGCGTTTTGTTTTCCCGTACAGGAAGCGTATTTTAACAGCAATTCTCCCAATCAACTCCCAAACAATGTATTAGGATAGCAGATATTGTTCTGTTAGGATGATATTTAACCTAATCATGATTGAAAAATATACGAATACTGATAAGATAAAAACTATCCATGAACAGCAAGTACGGTGCCTCTGTATTGTTAGAGCTAACATGCAAATTTTGCTGCGCATAGCAAATGACGATGGAAGGGACAAAGCCTATCAATAGAAACAGTGATGCGGATAGATGGGAAAAGTTGGAAGGAAACAAAGGCATTGGCTCTGTAAAACTTACCTTTAGGCTTATATTTATTGTGGACCATTTTCTTATCATAACAAAAACGTGAGGTAGTTCAAGTCCCCAAAATAAGCAGTTGTAGTGTCTGTAACAAGTGATCCGGAAAAGACGGAAAATTTGATAAAATTAGCGATGAGGTAAGAGTTTAAAAAGGAACAAAGTGTAAGTATTGGGCAAGAGTAAATCAAAGTGCCATCCAGCAGAGCGTTCAGGCGTATAAAGAGAAATAGGTTTATGCATGCATAGGGCATCATCACTTACCCGTAAAACTTCAAAACGTGTGTATGAGTTAAAATTAAATGAATCCTCCAAAAAAACTATCGAAAGAAAGCGGCAATCCCGCATGCCTATACGACGCGGATGGCGGACGGATAGTGAACTCAGTGCATATCAAAATATCACCAAACGTAACTTCCAGGTGTAGACTCCGGGAAATCGCGCACATGGCTCGACTAAGTTAACATTTATGTGGCAACAGCGGAGAGTTTAGGACCCTTCACTCAGATCCTTCACGAAGGCTATCAGTGTGAGCGCGACGGACACGCAGGCAAATCGGTTCACATTAATACAAGCAAAAAAAAATTCCGTATTCCCAAAAGTAAATTACTTACTAAACATCTAGGTAGTTTTGTCATGCATTCGCAACTGTAAGGACCTTGATTTGAGAGTTCACTTTTAACCAGTCTGCACACCTCCCATAATGAGGCAAGAGTTTCACAAACTTAACGAGTTCTTTTTGTGCTATTATGCGGGCATTTGAAAGGAAAAAATATAGGCATTCATGAACCAGTACTATTTTACTTACATGTACTACCCTCCATTCCTCTCAAGGGCTCACTTTCATCGGCGCTATAGTCATCCGTATCGTCAGAGAAGCTGGCACTTCCCCTTCCCTTGGCGTTTATCTTCTCATGATTAGTCTCTTTTCCATCCTTTTTTCCCTTGCGAAAACTAACCATTCGCAATTCATTCCCGCCTTCGGATTCGTTTGCCTCATCCTCGTCTTCGCTGTTGTAGGAGCCCTGCATTACTTCGTGCGCGACCTTCTGAGGCATTAGGGACTGGATCATCTCATTTTGGATCTGCTGCTCCTTCTCCAAGGCTTTGCGCATCAGAGCACTGTGACCGAGGCGCATAAATGTTGAGCGCCGTCGCACCTGAATGTGCGATATATAACTTAAGTGTAAACAAGCTCCATTTCTCAAATCCTGTTTCGTGTACAAAAATCACGTTCAAAAAGGTAAGTTCACTAACATTTATTGGCCATCGTAGGATGCCAAAAAACAGAAGCAGCTCTGTTCCCAAAAAAGTTTTTAATGTACGACGATACTTGTAATTAAAATTTGCCATTTTGGATGCAACCATATAATGAATAGCATTACATAGCCGAGGACGAGTTTAGCTTTTGCCTAAAACTATATTATGGAGTTGCAAACTGAGATGAACAAAAATTTAGATTGGAAGACGAAGTAGATCCAGGAGACGCGAGTGATTGAAAATGACAATGGCGGAGAATGCACGATAAAGGATGTCATAAAACCTATATACATGCTTAGTATGGCACTTGCGATGATGGTATTTTTTTTTATTTAACCGTCAATTCATGCTCAACATGAAATTAAGGAAGTTAGTCAGTCCATGAGCACACACACGAAACCCGACAAATACCTAGGCATTAACGATGTATACAAAATAATTGGTTTGTGCCTTAATGATTACAGCAGAACAAAAACCTACCAGCAAAATCATTTCCGTGGACTTTAGTCTTTATGCAAGTTAGCAATCATGCTACACATTTGATTTGCACTAGCCATAGTTAGAAGTTGCAGGAAATGTGGATATGAATAGACATGTAGGAAAAATGCGTGTCTAATTCAAGGTACAAATAAAAAGTTATCAATAAATAAAAATAAAGAGTCGTTTTGCAGCAAACAAAAATATGCCTCAAGAAATACTCAAAATAAGCCTCAAACCAGTCCACAAGCGCGATTGAAATCTACACCTTGCAATTTTCGATGTATAAGTGTAACAGCAGCACCATATCCGAAAATGCTACGTTCATATAATACAGAAATGCACAATGGTAGTGGCTTCTGTTCAAAGGTCGAGCAGACATTCATAAATGGAATTTTTTTTAAACGTTAAACACAACTTAGCAAACGGGAATGTACAAAAGAAAACCAAAAAAGAAACCTTGGCTACAAACTGCAAGTGCTATATAGATAAACCAGTATATAAGCAAGGCGATGGGTGAGGATACCTAGGTTTTTATTTGAGAATCGGGGCATTTACACAAGGATTAGCAATGCCTAAAACATAGAAAACGAGATCGACTCATTAATCGCCAATAGGGAAATAGTGTAGACTCGGTACCACGAGAACTTAAAAACGATGGTGGTAAATAGATAAATGGATGCACCTAAAGACTTGCCCCTGGTTAACAAATTTTGAATGCTATCATCGAGTTAATGTTTGAAAATTGTGGGAGGATACCTTAATCATGCATGGAAATGTTGACAGTAATTTCTGCAAAGATAATCCAAATGCTACAAAAAAAACAAAAACGACTGCAAGTAGGAATGATTCGCCGGAAGATCTACTAAAGAGTTATGGTCCGCGCATCAATAATTAATGGTACAAGGGCTAAAAACCACCGTTCCGTTAAATGACCCTGCTAACTATTTTGATGACGAACGAATACTAGAAAAACAAGTAAGTCCAGCCCAAGAATCAAGCCCAAGACCCCATATACTAATAAATTTAGGTTCATGCTGAAATGTAGCAGATGACAGCATAGGTACCAACTAAACTGATCAATTAGAGAACTCACTTGTGATAAAATATGTTGTACGAATCCAATCATATGAATGCAGCAGTGTAAGAGAACATATATACAAGTTAACCGGGAATTTATCTTTCCACAAACAGTACACGACAGCACCACGTGTATAATGCTGACAGGTCCACAAATAAGTATTACTTGCCAAAGTCGAAGCGGGATATTGATGTAGATTATCAGAAGCAATTGAACAATCAGACTAGCGTTAAACGCCGAAGAGACTCCGACGGTTGGAGGAACAAATGCAAGTAGAAACAGTAAACTGAAGAATAATGCTAGTATTATGTACAAAACAAGGAAGTTCTTCTCAAACACGGCTTTTGAACAGGTAAGTGCAAACAGAACAATCGCCACTATAAGACCCGTGCCAGCTCCAGCAACGTATATCATCCATTGTTCCGTTCCTGAGGTGAAAAAAAATATCATCCAAGTTGCACAAACAAGAGCAAAATATGATACCGCTATTCGAAATCTGGACAAAGAATGAGGGAACGAGCAGAGAGTATAATAACTCTCCAGAACCGTAGAATCAAACCGCAGATTCAATACTCCACCAGAGCATCGTTCAAAGAGGTGAAATCTAAATTTCTTGCCGATGATAGGATTCCGCGATATTTCGTTCCCATTATCTTGCAGTTTGTGGACAGCCATTTGTCGAAATATGATTCGCTCTAGTCCAACAAAATAGAGCAGGGAACGTCAGAGCCCCAACGCAAGCACTACCCAATAACAACAAATCCTTGAAATAGAATGAAAATCGCAGTTTTATTGGCCTGCCAAGGTTAACATGACTTATTAAAACAATCCTCCCAAATATGTCTCGAGTTAATGGTATAATAAACCCCAAAATGCATCATATTACTCACATTCTATAAGCACTAGCCACCTCATTCTTAACAAAATAATATCAAAGGTCCATTTTTGCCTCCTTTCGACCTAAGGCCACCACCCACACCCCGACGATCCTGCCCCAGGAGCCCGCTACCAGGAATCATCGACCGCGACAATATGCCCACCAAAGCAGGAACATAACGCAAAACATCCGATTTACTCATCTAATGACTGAAAAAACGCCAGCAATATATACAAAACAATCACCGCCTACAATGCCGAGCGTTGGCAGATTTTCTCGAACGCCTCTTGGAGTTACCTGAGCTTGTCGTTGATTTTTCGAGGCGCTCACGCAAGCACTTTGGGCAGAACCACTGAGCAGAATCAGGTTCCTTCGATAGACCCAAGCAACTACTGTAGGCTCGCGAATACAAAACAGACGTTAAGATCAATCAAAGTGGGTGGGAAAAAAACAGCAACAACACTTTAAGGTATACCTGTGGTACCAATCGTCACAGCTGTCACACCCCACCATTAGATTGCCATCATCCTCAGTACGACAAATTGGACAAAGCCATATCTGCTCCCCAGCATTGTTCTAAACGAAAAATCTCGAAAACAACCTTAAGTTGACAACGGAATTATTGATAACCAGGCAAAACGCATCAAAACTGTCCAAGACTAAACAATTACACATGCCCCCGCACACACACAAACACCAAGCATGAGCTCAACCCTTACAAAGTAATAGGACGTTCCAGCCGAAGCAGCAATGATCTGAGTAGTTGGAGGGGAGATCTGGCTTGATGTTTGGGGTTTATCCCCCCCAAGTCTTCTCGTTTTAGCGCCGCATCGGTCTTGTTTATGACTTCGATGGCTGTCCCGTGGACGCACACTTAGTCTGTCCCCTGTGCTGGCAATCGCATCTTCCTCTTCGTCGTCAGAGAAGATTGAATTGACCAAAACTCGCTTACCACACGTTGAATGGGAGACCCCAAGTTTCGGTGGTGACTGCGACATAGGCCTTTCCCGCGATCTCTTCTTCCCACACTTGGAGGACGATTTATTGCTACGTTCTGTGATTACAAATTTGGTTAAAATGGCATTTATGAAAGCCAACGCAGCTTTAAGTGTGCCAAAGACAAAATGCACAAATAAAAAACAATTTAACTTACGTTCATAAGATGACGCAGATGAGTAAGTTGTGGATTTTGGTACGACGAATGATGGCGTCAGCATCGGAATAGGAGGCGGGAGTATATTCAAAGGTCGAAGATGTGGAGGCGATTTTCTGCATTCAGATGTGAAGGATGTCGCTTTGGAAGAGGGATCTTTCAGCAGCAAAAGTGCTGGTGGTTGAGATGATCGATTATTTGAATTCCTTGCACTTGGAAGCCGTTCCAATACGGGTAGATGGGGAGGCCTCGAGACGACAGTTTCCTCCTCGTCATCTGATGTCTGGCTTGAAGAACTTGAGCTACTGCTGCCCATGCTGCTAATACTACTACCACGAAGTTTTTCATGAGTGAAAGCAGGCTTTAGTTGTGGTATTTGTTGACCCAATGATCGTACAATACTAGTTGAGCCATGCTCATGACCACCAAATTTGATGACTCTAAAAAAGCGGAAAAAATCCAGCACCAATTAAGCATTTCCTAATTCCATGTATGGATGTTAATTCACTAAAGAATTTACGCATATATTCCAATCATACACGATACAAACGCGAAAGTAACCTTACAATTTGGGTGTTTTAACACTGAGTAATGGTTGCTGAGACATAGAGGTTGCGCGAAGCTGTGTTTTACTGATAAGAGAGCCAAATGATGACAAATTTTCGTGTCTTCTTTCCTTCGCCACAAGCGCAGGTGGAATAGCAGAATGACGTCTGGCAGCAGTCTCCTCATCGGAAACTTGGCCAGAGCTAAGAGGAGATGAAACGCTACTGCTGCTGCTGGTGGATAAGCTGGAGTTAGTGTTAGTGAAGGCAGGCTCGCTCGAGCGGACACTTAACGTCTCTCCATCAGGACCACCCAGACGGATCTTTATGCGAATACCGCTACCAGCGCCAGCAGTTGCAGGATGAGGAATTTTGACAGGCTCCGCAGCATAACTAGTGACTCCTGTTGGTTGCCGGGACGCCATTGAACCAGGCAATGAGGACGATGCACGGGAAGAGTGCTGAATTAAGGATGGAACCGATAGATAAAGCAAAAACACAGGAAGTCGCCTGCAAAACAATAGCAATTACCAGGTTGCTATAGTAAAGTATGAATATAGCTAACTGGAATTTCCGAGGAAAGTAAAATATCAACAATATTAGTATCGCAGCGGTCTTTGTAGTTGAAACACCAAACGGAGTAGAACTCACGTCGGAGAGTGGTTGTTGAATTGGCAGCCGTGAAGAAATGCGGTGTGATGATGATGTGATCAGTGGCACTGAAGGAACAGGCAACTTCGAAGAATCGGTAACCGGTGAGGAAGAAGAAGATGATGGTGAAGACGACGAAAGAGAGGAGGAAGACGGGGAAAAACTCGAACGCCTTGTTGGAGGAAAGTTGAAGGCACGTGGCATCTCGTAATCTCGACTCAGTTCCTCATTCGTTAGTGGTTCAGTGCACGAATTAGAGACTGGCGAGTAAACGTCGTCACTCTTCAAACATCTATCATTACTTGATGAAGTAATAAAAGGACCCTATAAATAAAAGGAACATTTTAACTTATTGCAAAATAGGGAACCTTAAAGCTTTATCTACGAGTAGACGGGAAGATCATATCTCAGAATTAACGCGCACCTCAACCCCTCGATCAGTAGGTAGAAGTTCTGTCTCAGTCAGGATCGCAGGACTTTGAGGTGTAGTTGGGGATCGCCTCGGAAAAGACACAGTACCATCTGGAATTCTCAAGGGACTTCCAAATGCACCAGAATCACCAAGTGCAGAGCTTTGCTCAGGCATTGGTGTGATTGATGGTTTAGGCGGCAGAGAAGGAGAACAGTGCGCTAAAGTTAGATGGATTAAGTAAGATACAGAAGGTTTGAAACTAGTTCTAGTTAACGATAGTTTTGATTGTCAGTGTTATATATATAGAGCACATTCAAACTTGTGAGAATCATTCTTCTTACAGGAAACAGCATAATTGATATCCCGAGAGTATCGTGTTACTAATAATGTGACAAGCACCGACAAGTTTTCTGGAGATAGAGCCCATTCAAATAAGAGTTTATTTTAACTGCATCAGTAAAAAAACGTCAAATTGTTATTGTTTAGTCATCCAGCTGATATTTTATTTACTGTTTATGATTCAGTGTTGTTAAATGGAATAAATGCTGATCAAGGATTTGACTTGCGAAAAAAACATACCATTCAAAGCAGCCGCATACACATCAGACGCATGAGTTTCTACGTTTTCAGAATCTAGTTTTACATTGTCCGAGTTCCTAACAGACGGCTTTACCTCTGGAGAGGGGCATAGGCTTGGTACATCAGCCAAAATAGGAGCCGCACTTCCGTCTTCTCTATCACTAGGAGTTAAGTGATTAGCATCCTTAGTAGCCTCTGCAGTTTCAATCACAGGAGACATAGAGGGCATAATTTGGTTTGTGTTCCGCTTTCCTATTGATTGGGACCGTCTTCGGCCAATGCCAAACCGTTTTTTCCGGTTTTGCGGATTACGACGACTAGTACTTTGGGAGAGTTTACTAATATGTAAGAATAACAAAGGTAAATAAACTAAAAATAATACCATTGCTTTAATAAGAGCAAACGTTAATGTAAACCGTCTTTGTAGTACGCATATAACACTGGGAGAATGCATATACTGTAAAAGTAATAAAACCTCAAGAAATAATTTCAAAACAAGTGTACGGTCGAAAAAGCATAAGTAACGGACCGAGATTTCCCTACGATCGATGGAGGGTATAAACTGTTTGGGTCAGCGGAATGTAGGAGAGGAGTAGCTTTCGCAAGTGTAGCATCAGAAGTATTTAACGACGTCGATGGAGAAGAATAAGCATCAATTTTTCTACTTGTTTGAGGTGACGATAGAGCAAAGGTCTAGAACAGAGGAAAAAGTCAATGAAGCATCAATAGCACATAACCATGAGCACTACAACACGCTTACTTTCAAAGCACTCTCTCGCATCACATCCGTGGTGCAAGCCGGTTTCGTACTGTGCACAACTAGCGCAGCCGAGGGGTAATCAGAATCAGATAACTGCGGCGTTCGTTGAGGTTTACGAAATGCCGACACTGCTGATCTAACAGAAAGCCCTTTTGTGGATGGAATAACTGGATTAACAGGTGGAGGTAAATCACGCTCCACCAATGAAGCGAGGCTCGAGTCGTAAATAACACGGGCAAGCTTGTACTTAGCTCTACCAGCCCAAAGTGGCAATTTGCGTTCATGGCGCCCCTGCGGTGCTGTTGAGGTCTGTCCGCTAGTGCTTTCAGCTTTATTTTCAGTAAGCAACTCGGTTACGTCTTTGGAGCACAAAGGTTCCCGCAACGTGTACGAGGACAATGGAAGTGGTTTCTCCCCCTTAAAAAGTACGCTGAATTCTATTCTACCAGCAAGGGGTATGCACATGTTCGGAGGCTTCGGAAAGTAGGATCCTGATTCCCTAGCGTATTTGACTAAACCAGAGAGTGATTCATTCATCAACTCCAGAATGGTCAAACCGTCAACGACACTAAAATATCCATCCTCAGCTAAAAGCAAAGTAGGAAAGACAATACTTACCTGCAAGATCAGCAACTGACTTCGAGATTGATTTTAGATATTTAAAAAGAATTTCAGAGAGGATATCAATAGCATCCATACTTGCAAATTCGAACCCAACATGTTGGGCGACTCTGCCCACCACACTTGATAAAGTTTGCTTCAATATTTGAGTTGGCATCTAGTGTATAGCAAAGGGTGTAATTAAGATGAAAATACCAGGAAATATTGCTTAAACGAAACTCCGCTACGAGAAGCAGTGAAAAAAAACGCAAAAAAGACTTAGAAAAAAGTAGCTTCATAAATAGACCGGAGTATGCATCTGTTATAATGCAATACGTAAATGCATGCACGGAAAAATCAGCACGTGGAAAACCACCAAAATCAGCAACGTAAGATAGCTGACAAATACTACACAAGAAAATCATTCAAGAACAAAAAAGCGATGTCTATGACGAAAAGAATTTTGACGGACAAACCTTAGTTTCAGCAGTACACAAGTAAGTACCCCGAGGCAACAACTGTACGCGAAAGTTTGAAAAGTACAAGCACGATACAAACGCATTCAAACCCTTGCATCCTTAAAAAAACTAAAACTTAAAATGCTTAAGACTACTGCCTAACGGTAACAACATTATTGCTGCGAAAACACAAGAATATAACTACTTAAAGAAGAAAAAATTTTTTGCACTGGAAAAACAAAAGTAAGAGTCCATGAGACCTAACACAAGCATCTCCTAACACATCTACACACACTTATGCAGAAGCTCAAACTCCTCATGGGACTTTGAAATCTGTGCTGGGCAAAAGCACTTACCGCAAGCGTCCAATCTCAGTCGCGTGATGAAAGCATGTCGGAGGACCACACCACCGGCTGGTGGCACCCCCTTCTACACACCCGCCACTCTACTCAGTGGTCTTTAACATCCCTTTTAAGCATCCAGAAACGAAATCAGTGTTGTTCCAGAGCGTATCGCATGGCAGTTCCGCTCATGCAGGATTTGGCCCTCCCCGAAGGTGCAACATGACCCACAAATTGAAAGGAATACCAGGTACGCAGAGTACCACAATCCTAACACGTTAACACTACACCAGGGGGACCAGGATACCGCAAGAGGTCTGAACAAATTCACCATGCGGCGCACACAAGGAGGACGCACGATATACGAGATCAGCCCCCCAAATGAACGGAACGATGTCGCGCATGCCACACTGGAGTGCCGGTTTCAACCATTCCAGGGCACCACTTAAACTTCCCACAAAAGTACTTTACTTTCAATGAAATACCTCCCATTCCAACTTTAGCAAGCATCACAAGTACTAGTTGTACCAAGTAAGACCACCCTGTAAAAAAAAACAGTATGAAGCGGAATGATTTTCATGCGAATTCACATAACTTTATCTGAAGGATGAAACTACGCAGTACATGACACTAATGAGCGTGCGCTTCACCGTAGCCCCTTTCATTATACCACTTCAAAAAGGCTGTTTGTCCGATGGTGTACGCAACAGCGATTGCAAGCCCCTGTGGCAGCCGATTGAAGAAGCAACTTTTACACAGTTGCCAGGGTGTTTTGTAAATGCGGGGTGAATAAACCCACACGTAATTTCTACAGTATAACAAAGTAGTAGTCAGTGGGGAACAAAGCAATTTACTTACCTCACCCAGGGGTCTTTTAATCCCAGTTCCTGCAAACGCTTCACATGCCTAACGACTGCGGGATGCTCAATTCTGTAGTCTTGCCAATTTGGCTTAGTCCAAGAAAAATGGCCTCCCAAAAGGCTGTAGGAGAAAATAAAAACTGCCTTCCCTAGATGTTTTAAGCAACAGCAGAACAAATCACGACGATAATGAAAAAAAAACGAATAAAACTTCATTTTGACCAGCTTAACAACTAATTGGGAAGCAGAGCACTAATGTTACAAAGAAACCAACCTAAGGGACGTGTGCATTACGACAGCACGAACATTTGAAGAACGCGGGTACAAATCTGCGCACATAAACACGAAAAAGGTTTACGCTAAAGGCTAAAAAACCTAAATAAAAATTATGAACTTTCGATTTCTTTACAGGCGAAAGATGAAGCCGCGTTCATGTGGAACTAATCGAACTAATTACGAACAAAAGAATGGTGCACCCCAAGTACAAGTGAAACAATGTGCCTACCGGATTTGCTCCCCGTTCCCCAACTCGGACCCCCATGCGAGCCAAACACCACAAATCCCAGCCCAGACCCAGCTCAGTGAACGTACAGCAACATCCCAGTCGGCACGCACAGATCGCGACCGGCTGACCGAATACTGACCGACAACGAGAACAAAACCTGACCGGCGCAACCCGCCTACGCGCGACTCCGCAGGGGCCCCAAAAGCGTTATTAACCACAACAGTACTGAACGCGGAAGGCACAGCCGCACATGCCCCCGCGGTCAGCACATCACAAGCGCAAACCCAACCGCAACAAAGCCGGAGAGTAAAGAACAACGTGTCGGGACATAACATACGCTGAATAGCCATGAACACATTTGCCAATACATAGCAATATCATCTGCATGTCGCCTTCATTTGCCCAAGAATGTTCCCCCTTTGGACCTCCGAGAAATGATTTACGATTTCCGGGCACATGAAATCCACAGCCTTTGGAATTTTCAAATATCGAATTTTGCGACCCTTACTGGCACGAGCGGCGACATTCTTTTACAATGGTCTGAAAAGGCCTACAAAACACCGCTACCTCCTCCAAACGTGCTTTCTTCGCCTCCTTATTTCCAGTTTGTAAAGCAGACAACTCCCGCTTCGCCGAGTGAGTGGAGCTCCCGGTACGCCTGCAAGAAGTCAGAAACTGACTACCAGGTCCTAAATATGCGAAGAAAAAGGAAGAATACACCCGAAAACAAACCCCACATTTCCACTAGCTTCATCGGCTGATGTCTTCATAACAGTGTGACAACCAGGGCGAACCAATTCAGGGAACACTGCTTAAGGGGCTAGCCTACTATTGAAGATCAAGTCAGGTTCAATGGGAATAAACAAACAGATATAATCGACCCAATTATAAAACTGTATGCAAGCAGTTTCGTATATCTCCCAGGAAAGCAAGCATTACTTTTTTGTCCTATAAAATATAATTTTGACAATAGGAGTGATTTGCCCAATTACTTGTACAGCGAGTTTTCCACCGCTAGTGTATATTGCTGAAGCATTGCTAGCTAATTCCGAGTGATCAATAGCAGGTTTTAAAATGGAAAATTCCTTCAACCTACTCTTTTTTCTCAATGACCTGAACATTGCTGCACAGGTGGATTATTAAAGTATGGGTATTAGTACAACCTCATCACCCCTCCTCAAAGCCGTGATATTGCAAACTTATATGAAGGATTATATCATTGCAAATTTGTAGAGTGACTGATGGCCTTAGGCATGATCATAACTCGACAGCGTAGAGCAGAAATTACTACAGAGAGTTGTCCGTGCTGTTCCACAAACAAACAAGATTACCAAGCGTTGGTACAACAATCCCATTTTTGCCGATGTTAGGATAAGCAATTTTGTTTAATTCCAATATTATTTCCACCATTTTTCATAGGAATGCACTGCAAGTTTTGGTTTAAATCTTGCTCAAATCGAAATTATATTTTAACTTTCTATTTGTTTCATGTTTTTAATGGACATGCATGTCTCCTTAGGTCATTCCTTGATTTTTTACTTCTTAAAACCAACCCGCGAAGCTCTTTATGCTAAGTGTTTGTGAGATTGGTGGCTCCTTTTGCTTTTGTGTTGATGGCTGGGTCTTTGCTCTCTTCCTCCTCAGAAATCATAGTTCGAGCTCTATCGCTGGAGTCGGAAGGCAAACTTACACAAACATTTGTCTGCTGTGAGGAAGGCATTGGGTTGTTGCTGAAGTGCTTGAAATGTGAATCTGGTAATGGTAGAAAAGTTTATTTAAGAACCGAAATTGTGGAAAAAAATCACGGCCTACATTTCACGCGCAGAAGAAATAAAGGAAAACATCCGGCAAAGGCCAAAAGGTCACCTCTTGAATCTTTGAGCATTTATGTAGCTTGTAAATACCATGAACACATTGATATAGCTGCCGATGAGACTGGTTATGGCTACTGCAAACTGTTTAGTAGATTTCTGGACGATGGCAAAGTAACATGCGTCAATGTTGATGACCCTTATACAAGGAATTCTTTCCAGGTAGTATGGTTCTATTGCCAATTGTTCAGATAGAGAAGTTCTCCCATTTCTGCGAAGTACTTGTTGGATCTGCGTCTCCTGTACGGCGTATAATTCTCCAAACTGGAGTTGATTGTGCCGTGAGTTTTGCCTTACGTCACATTGCGCACTTGAAGGTGTGTAGATTTTACGTCTTGTTGGATTTTGTGGTTTAACTTATTGGTTTAGTGGAGGGATAGCTCTGAACGGTTATCTTACGATCGTTTTAATTAGACAGCTAAACTTGGTCCTTTATTGTAATAGAAAAGAAGAAATAAGCTAGGCCCCTTTTTTGCCCTTTGGTGTTTATCTCACGTTAAGTTTTCTCCGTGCTGGTGTTTTTTTCATCTACGGCACTAATTTCTTTCATTCGAGCTGGTTTGCGAGTAAAGAACTTTTGTTAACCCTTTATTATATTATATTTTACAAATTATTCACCCGCGTGCACTGTAAACGTAATTGTGTAACCTCGATGTTCATTTGTTATTCAGGTTTTTCGCCCTGGAGCAAAGTATGTGATGGCAACGATTAGGTTGAAATGTAGTAATTTGAAATTTTTTTCTAGCTGGTTGTTTATCCACTTCTTCACCTCCGTCTTCCCAGGTCGTGCTTCCACTTTCTGGCATGATCGTCGGGCCATGCCAAAAACGTCCCAGCTCCTTAATTACGTTAGTAAAGTGCGTTCCTCTATACTACTTTGGTTTATTGCAAATTCAGTGGAGGCTGGAGGCGCCGCTGTTTACACGGTTTCAGTGTGTTAGTTTTCCTCACTTGTGGATGGTAAGAGGGAGTCTCTACTGAAATATGCAAAGTAACGTAAAATATGATTTAAGCCACATTTATTGAACCTTCACAGCTTGGCTTAAGAGCGGGATACGCGATTAATTACTATCTCTCTACATTTTACTCTATTTCTGGTTAGGGGTAAAAAGTGGTATCAAGCTATACGTTGTTTGTAAAACTTTATTAGTATTCACAATCATTTATTTCTCATTTCATTTTGAGATTTCAATAATGCTCTTTTCTTCCGGTCTCACGACAAATCTAAGGACAAACTCGTCCCGTTTTCCATATAGTTGGGGCACAAGTTGATAAGCAGTACGAAATGCGAACAACGTTTGACAAATTTGAGTTGACAATCATTTGGGAATTTCTTTCAATACTTGCAATTTAAACTGTCGTCAAAGGCGTCGTTTTAGCTGTCGACTAAATCCCACGAAGGGTTTATCGTTTGAGGATTTTTCGTTCTACTTTTTTCGTGAAGTATTGCATTGTGCTTGAACCTTTTTTCTCCTATGATCTGGGTGCATTAACGTGGGAATAGTTTTTAATGGTCATTTTTGATCTTGGAGTCAGTATTGGGAAGCCCGCTTATTTTACCCAAAAAAATAGCACTTTGTCTATTGATAGGAATAAATTGAGTCGCAAATTATTTGTACATTATATGATTATATGGCGTAAGGCTTGTTATTGAAGAGTGAGATGTTTCGTTTGTTTAGCTTATTGCACTAAATCGGGTAAGTTTGAGATGTTTATAGGTCATCTTTTAGGTGATAATCTTCCCAACAGCCCTCTAAATCTATGACTCTGCTTGTTGCGAATTGTCGAGACCTTATCTCGCCCCTAATGGATGAGCAACTCAGGTGGTATTTCACATATCAGGATTTTTCAAAACCTAGGCTTACTATTTGTTAATCTGCCTTCTGTGCTCTCGCCAAGTAGGTGCATTAGGGTGACATTGGTAGTTTCTAGCAGAAGCGTTTGCGTGTGTTCCTTTTTTTTGCAGCGTCGATGATTCTCCCTTTGGTGTAGTGGCACGATCGGTTTAGGGAGGGTGGGAGAGGCGGCGGTGGAAGCACGGAGAGTAATAATAAGTGGCTGCGTTTGCCGCCCAGACCCAGGCGCAAAGGCAAGACAGGAAAAGGAGTGAAAAAACACCTTGTGTTTGCTGACTCTTGTGCAGTTGTGTACAAGGACTCCTGCCCTAATTGATCACCATTAGCACTTGGCACATTTTTGACTCGTAACAGTTCTCCGTGTTCTCTGGATCCCTATTGAGATCAATAGTCATAGCTGCAAATTTACCCCTGTATGCATGCGTTCCGTAGATCCAGTGTTTGCTTGCGTGTAGTAAGCAGTAGTTTGTAATTGGGGGGGAGGGGGAAGAAGGGAATTGTTTGGCGATTCGGTGAGGCTGTTTCGTTTAAAATGTGCTTATTCAGTCTTAAATGCATGCTGTATCGAATTTTGTCCTTAAACCCTTCCACTTACTATGAGAGCTATTTGTCAGTCAGTCAGTCGATCAAATTTTGTGGGTTGCATGACTTTTTGACGCTACACACAGTACTCAATGTGGTGGACAGTAATTTGGGTGATTAAACCAATTGAAGGACAGTTTCAAACCACTTTTGGTGGTTGTAAAGTTTTGTGTAGGATGTCTTGACTCCTCTTGGAGTCATGCAAGAAATGCTGGTTCCCAAAATTCTTATTTCCACCTCCGCCTCTCATTAACCAATGCATGGGATAGTGCCAAATCCTATCCGAGAGGAAGCCTCATTTGCGCCACAGGCAAGACTATTGGCTCGCTGCTCATCGGAAAGGTGCTGAGTCATTGCTCGGTCAGTATTTTGCTAAGGCGTTCTCGCCGTTAAATCCCCACGCATGCGCGCGCTCACCCCCTTATTTTGGCAAGGAATTTGAGTGAAGGCAAAATTTAGTTCCTTCTCGAGTAGGAAGTTTGATGGTTTGGTAGATTTATTTCCCAATTTGATTTTTGTCCCGCAGGCTAGGCTCCTCACTATCCATTGCTGTTTCCCCTCGGTTGAATGCATACTTGGGCTAATTTTCTCCCGATCGCTAAGATTGCACCCCTACGGGAAGGTGACGTTAACGAAAACGGCCTTGGTTATTGATGGGGGACTACAAGGGCTGCGTTGTATGGTCATTTGCGATAGGCACTATTAAAGGTATCTTAAAACACTTTGAAGTAGGCACTAACCTTGTTAATTTTATCGCATTAGCTAATTTTTTTTGCTTACTGTAACCCTTTTATCCATAAACAGAAGGCTTTCTTGGTACAGACTTGGAATCACTCGCCTGAGGCTACTTATGTACCATACTTTTCACCCATATTTATATTCGCTATCGCTTATCCCTCTATCTAGAAACCTAAGGAACAATTGAAGAAGTTTGAAACTCGGAAGCAAGATCTACAACTGCGTAAAGTTGACTTCACATGGAATTTTTCTTCCTTGCTTCATGACAGGCAAATCCGGTAAGTTTTCCTTCACTCGGTTGCTGCGGTTCATCCATATCCTCTTTTCTGCGATAGACATCTTTTTTATGCATTTGCTTTTAATTGGTTATTAGCGGGGGGAAGTTTGGGATCACAAAATTTAACGAAATTCTTTACCTTTTTGCCATCGTTTCAGTTGATGGTGATGTCACCTTGGGGAATAGGGGTACTGGCACGAATTATATTGTTATGAGCTGCGCAGTTTTTGTCTATTCGCACCCTATGTGACACTTGTACTCAGAAAAATTAGAAAGGAATGGGGCCGCCAGGCTTCCTTAAAGTAGGGCGATATCGCATCTCGTGATCGCATCAGCTAATTTCAGGCCAGTAGAGGTATAATGTGAGTCCGCGGGGTGTTGTGAACATGATTTTTAAATATTGGTGCTAATAGTCCTATCTTTTATACCTCTTTTAGGTTTAACAATGGTTGGGTGGTCAAAATTGGTCGGGGTCTGGATTACATCAAAAATGCACCTTGCAAATTTGTCGGACTCGGCGTTCACGATTTTGATTTTAGACCCTGCTTACAGACTACCATAGATATATTTTACGAAGCCGAACCCCCCATTTAATTCTATGTATTTACGCTTTACCTAACTACCTTTCTACATCTGCCACCTTTGACCAATGCCTCTCAATTCATTAAATGCGCTGTGAAGCCTAGCGGCTGTTTCAGGTTTGCTCTACTCTCAAATTGCATTCGTGCGTTCGTTTTTTGTAAATACCACCTAATAATTAGCGTTCGTCTTTCTTCAGTTATGACATCACTGCATGGTCGGCGAATTCCCCAACCCACGTGCGAGTTTATTGCTCGTTTCTTCGACATCAAGTTCTCTTTCACTTTGTCGCACCCCTTACTGTACCGTGTGAACCGAATCCATGGGCACCGTTGGCGGCGGTCGTCGTTGGCGCGTGATTTCTCGCGCGAGTGGCACAATTTCAGGTTTCAGGTGTGCTCTTGGGTCAAATCGAACATTTTAAAATAAACAAAGCCCATATGGTCTTCACATGCTGGCTTTTATGATTTTCACCTGAACAGCTCCAAATGGAGCTTTGTGGTCGAACAGAAGTCCCTTTGTGTGATTTTGAAACGAAGCCGCTGCCCAAGAAGAGATTTTACACATTTGCGTTGTTTTCATGAATGTTTAAGGCGATACTACGCGGCATTGCCTTTAACTTAAATTGAGGTATGCTGCTGCTTTGTTACTACGTAATTGCATTTCTCCGTTTTATTGTGATCCAAGCCTAATGAATGAATTTGTGCTGGTATATGGATGAGGCGGTTTGTTCAATTTGTGTGTTGCCTTAATGGTACTACATGAGTCGTAGGGGTGCATATGCGACCACTGAGTTATGATAGCTGACTCGTTTTTTTCATGAAGAAGTAACAAACACTGACGTATTGATATTTCCTAAACAGAGAATTAGTCCTCTCATGCTCAGGATTATGGCATAGGACTTATTTTGCCAAGTGAGGATTCATATTTACCCATCGTTGGAGGCACAGTTCATTGAGAGGCTCTTTGGTGTTGGAAACAAACTTTAGTGATTTTGGATGGGTTAGTTAGCCCCGGGAATTTGATGAAAATAGTCCACAATCTACAATACCCTAAGTTACTTTTCCACTATTCCGTAAGTGGCAACGCCTTTTTTGAGCTTTGGAACTGGAGTCTCCTCACGTCAGAACCCCGCCAGTCCCACTGCTTCCGCCTGCACGGTGGCATGTGGGCAAAGGTGGCCGTAGGAATCAAACCTGAGTGATTGCACCCTAGGTGGCCGATGTTCGTTACATGCTATTGGCTCCGTTTGTATTCGCACGGTGGTCTTGTAATCGCATTGATTTTATTTCCTGTCCCAACGTACTGTCGCGCCTTCCGGAAAAAAAGCGTGGTGAGATTTAGTAATCCTCTGTTTTGATAACTTTTAGTCTCCCTGAGGTGGGAGAAGTTTACATTATTTTAGGACTCCAAAAATCCAACAGTTTCTGCTTTGTGCTAGCCTTATTTCGTAAAGGATATGCTCTGTAAATACTTTTAAGAATTTACTCCGAGTAGGGGTTATGTCGATGTTGTTTGTCCATGAGTGAAGATATACCAGTTTCTACTATTTCGCTTTCATGTGGACGTCGAATCGCAATATGCTCTTGCATGTTTCAGAAACCTCATTGCTGAGCGTGTAATGTTAAGGGCGTGGATAGTTGTGATTACCTACAAACACCTCTGTGGGAAGAACATCCGGATAGAAGTGACAGGCTCTATATCTACCCAACCAATAAGTGATTTTGGTTGCCTGTTTCAATTTAGAGAAACCTTCATTTAATATCAGGTCTACTGAATACCGAACAGATGAAAAATGGCGCGATGAGGTAATTGGTGCCGTTTTGCTCGAATTGAGTTGCCGGTTAGGTGTTTCAGAAATACCCGATAGCTGCGAGAGACTAAATGTTAATAGGATGAAATGAGGGTTACTGTTTAACTTTCAACAGTGCGGCTGGAACAACCTCCAATTTTCTGTTTTAATAGCTGGGGGAATTCGAATGCATAATAGCACTGCTAAATCTATAATGAATGTGTAAATTACAAATAATCACCGGTTAAAATGTAAGACAGAGCCTTGTCAAATTACCACACAGAGCCATGGCTAGAAGTCGTGACCGCGACACCTTTGTCCCTAAATTAGGGTCCTGCACTCGTAAATCGGTAAAGAAACCATGCCCAGGAGATTTTTATTCTGTATTCTCTTAAGCCTTTGAACCATTAGTTTTGTACTAAGTATTAACAGAATACTGCGCAATCAAACTACTTCCATTCAGCATGGGATAACAATGAAGACTTTCATCTCCTTACTGGTTCTTACTAGGAGTACTCATGGAAATTTGAGGCCTGCTAAAACTGGATCCTGCTCAAATTACTATAGTGGGACTCGCCTATGTCTAGCGGGTTGATTCCTCAATATTACAAACTTGGTCGTATCAAATGCATTGAGAAATTCGACGCCTATTTTTGTTGTTCATTCACTGTTTCACCACTTCCTTTGAGTCTCCGTAGGACCGAGCTCATAGTGCATAAGCGGAATCGGGAAGAAAACACGAAATATATTTGTGTATTTTAATATGTAAAAGAATACAGTAAGGAGAGTTTTGTACATCTTGTCTCAAGATATGTGTCGTGCATAATGACCTAAGAAAAAAACAAAGAGCCGAGAGGACTGGAGAGTGTGTAGTCGGGACGTTAAGGGGGCTCCGGAATGATTTGAGCCGCGTTCAAGGCTGTCGTCGTGAGGTTGGTGGGAACGAGAATTTAAAATAGGAGTTATAGATAGGAAAGGAAAACCGAGCCGCGTATTATGGATTCACGGAGATGAAAACGTTTGATACGTCTCCACAATAAATGCCGAACTGACAGACACGTGGACACTCCCCAGACTGGGTAACTGTATGCCTGATCGGCCGACATTCGGGTCTTCTGCACTGGTTCGGTATGGGCGGGCAGATGTAGAGTAAGTTCCACCTATTGGAGAGGCGATAGTTTGGACATACTGGCATATAGGGCTTGCGGTTGGCGAAGGCCCGCCCATTGGGACAGAAGCCTATATGCCAGGGAGGCTTGTGCAACTTAGACGCCAAATGAACTGCAACAGGAATGGAGAATTTGGCAAAATTATCACTTCGCGGTGGATGCTCTCGCTTGAGGCTGCGTCTCACTCCCGTTGGTTTACCACTGCTGCTGCTGCTGTTAGTGGCGGTGATGATTGTTTGAAGTTGAGACTCTGACTTGACTGCCGCGTGAGCTTCCTCTAGTGACAACTGCTTATGTGTGGACTTCGGGAGCTTTACCGGGACGACAAGCTTGCGACTTGGAAGAAAACCATGGAGGAGACAGCGGCGTAGGTTTATTCGTTTCTAAAAGCCATTAATCACCGAAATACTAATCGTCATTTATTCATGTCGTATTATTGATTGCGTATGAGGGTTCTTAGCTTATGTATTCCGAATGATTAGAAATGTCAAGATGATACATACATCCTTCTAAAAATGTCCCTGGAGTCCCTATCGGGTTGATGTAGGTTAGCCATTATTGATAGCTTAACATTGGCGTTGTTTCAAATACCTCTGCAGAATTGGGAAAGTTTAGCCCTTGTACCAAATAAACGTGTTTGGGGGATTAGGCGATCTCGTACCAGCAAAGCTTTGATAATAGCCACCGGGGTAAGTGAATGCTGGTCACACGAGGAAATGATCAGACCATACGTATCACCTGAACCCTTCGCCAATGTCACCTGGCGACAGTCTGTGCTCGGCTCCCTTGATGAGTGCACTCAAAGGCACAAAAATGCACTCCATTGGAATCAGTCAATAACGGCACTCACCTGTCATGCACCAAAAACTTGAGTACAAGACCATTTGTCTGCATTAACTTACACGAACCGTCGGCCTGCCGTGTTTGTTGAAACAAAGGAAGTGTCTAGAAGCCTTGTTCCGCAAAAATGCACCGGAATTTTGTGGTTGAGGTATCCATTCCCATTCGACTAATTAAGTAAAATGAAAGGAAAGAATGGGCAATGCAAACGTGTATTCTAAACTATGGGAACAAACATATGAAGGATTACAAGGAATTATCAAGTGATGGGTGCAGAATCCAATTCCATGTTTTGATATAGTTCGCTCACTACTTCGCTTCGACATTCTAGTGCAAATTGCAATTTTCAAATCTACTCAAGTGTCAAATCAAAATGTCGACAAAAAGATTTACTAACAACAACTCTCGATTATGCGTGTAAAACATGCGCGGAATAATTCCCTCTCCCATTTTCATTTGATAGTAAACGCCAACCAAGTTCTTCGATATGTCTGTGATAGAAGTTCTACCTCTGCTAAATCAGAATCATATACCAATTTTGAGTTGGACGGTAATTGTGGAAAATTGCTTCCTAACAATACCCTTAAATTTCCTGCACAAAGTGTGGAGGTAACACTGTAACCACTTTCAGACTGACTTTAAAGACGAATAAGTGGAGGTGGCATCATCTGCACTAGTGTATTTTAAAGGGTCTACGACAGCAAATTCTCATAAAAATTACACGCGTATGCATTCCTATTTGGGCCTCGTTTCGCAGGCATGGCCTTTTAAGTCGACTTATTAAACTGCAACCATTGTCGCATTAACTGAATTGTGCAAAACGATTCATATCATATTTTGAAAATAAAACATACTGTTCTGGCTAAAAGGGTTATGATCCTGAGCAACGACTTCACTGGTTAAGTTGCTTTTTGAAAGGTAGGCGTGTGTTTCGGAGTTGTAGAAGCGGAAGACCGGAAAGGCAGTCACTGCACCGAAGCCGCCGACTCCACTCTTCAACTGGATGATCGGAGTGCGCGAATCATCGACTCCGGAAAGACAATTAGAAAGTGCAGAAAAAGAATTGGCTACTTTGTAGATCCATGAGTTGAAATGCTCAAAGTTTATTTGCAAGTTTTGACTCGTGATAGGTAGAAGCCAGCTCGACATTCTGTTCGTTGTGGCTACCTGTGGCCGAAGGGGATTTGGCAATGAAGATGGTGTCTCCACTTTCC